CTCCTGGCTACTGCCTGGCCCAGCTCCAGCTACTGTAGGCATTTGGGGAGTGAATAAGTAGTTAGAAGATCATCCTGCCTTTCAAAAAAAAATGAAAAAACAGAAAAATGTAAAAAAAGAAAGAAAGAAAGAAAGAATCCAATTTATAAAATGGGCAAAATATCCAAACAGATTATTTATCAAAAGAAATATAGGTATAGGCCTTGAGCCTAGTGGTTATGACATCTGCTTCCCACACTGGAGTACATGGGTTCAGTGCCCTGGCTCCAGCTCATAACTCCAGCTTTCCACAAATACAGATCTGGGAGGCAGCAACGAAGGCTCAATTAACTGGGTTCCTGTCACCCCCATAGGAGACTGGATTGAGTTTCTGGCTTCCAGCTCCAGCTGAGCCTAGTTCCAGCCATTGTAAGCTTTGGGGAATGAAGCAGTGGCTGAGAGTGCCCTCGTAGTCTCTATCTCCATCTCTGCCTCTCAAAGAAAGAAAGAAATACAAATGGCCAATATAAGAAGAAATGCACAACAGGAATCAGCATTGTGGCTCAGAGGGTTAAGCCACCACTTGCAATGCTGGTATCCCATACAAGAGTGCCAGTTACAGTCCTGGCTACTCTGCTTACAATACAGCTTCCTGCTGATGTGCTTGGGAAGGCAGCAGAAGATGGCCCAAATACTCATACCACCCACATGAGTAACCAAGATGGAGTTCCTGGTTCTTGGCTTCTGCCATGTGGGAAGTGAACCAGCAGATGGAAGATCTCTCTCTCTCTCTGTCACTCTGGCTTCCAAATAAATAAATAAATCTTAAATGAAATTTAAAAAGAAGAAAAGAAATATACAATATCACTAGGCATCAGGGAAATGCAAATCAAAACCACAATGAGGTATTATCTCTCTCTGGTAAGAACAGCTATTATCAGAGGCGGGTGTCTGGCCTAATGTTAGTTAAGACCCACTTGAGATGCTCACAACCCATATTAGAGTGCAGGGATTCAAGTTCCAGCTCCAGTGCTGATTCCAGCTTTCTGCTAATGCACAGCCTGAGCGGCAGCAGATGATAGCTTAAGGACGTGGCTCTCTGTCACCCACACAGGAGACCTGGATTGAGTTCTTAGCTCCTTAGTTCTGCCAGTTCTGCCCAGCTCCAACTACTGCAGACATTTAGGGAGTGAACCAGGTTGTGGGAGTTCTTGTCTCTTTATACACACACACACACACACACACACCCCTCTCAAATAAATAAAACATTTAAAGAATGGTTATTATCAAAACGATGAAAAGAGGGGCAAGTGTTGTAGCACAGTAGGACGCCACCTTCCCATATCGGAGTGCCGGGGATGGAGTCCCACCTCTGCTTCCGATCTAGCTTCCTGCCAATGTGCCTGGAAGGCAGCAGGTGATGGCTTCCTGACTTCCTATCACTCATGCAGGAGACCTGGATAGAGTTCCTGGCTCCTGCCTTAGGCCTAAACCAGCCCCAGCTATCCAGCATTTGGGGCACAGAGGGAAGACAGTGTCTGTCTCTCTCTCTCTCACTCTCTGTCACTCACATAAATAAACTTTTTAATGACAAAAAAATTAAGCTGGACATGGAGAAAAGAAAACCCTATACACTGCTGGAAGGAATGCAAATTAGTAAAGCCATAACAGTATGGGAGTCCTAAAAATATAAACAAATAAATGCACCACATGACCCATCTATCCCACTTCTAGGTATATAAACCAAAAATATTAATTGAGCACCTGAAAAAGATACCTGCACTCTCATGTTCATCATAGCCCTATTCACAATAGTCAAGATATGGAATCAACCAAGATGTCTGTGGATGGAAGGAGTTTTAAAAAGTGATATATAGGGGCCAGCGCTGTGGCACAGCAGGTTAACGCCTTGGCCTGGAGCACCAGCATCCTATATGGGCGCCGGTTCCAATCCCAGCTGCTCCACTTCTGATCCAGCTCTCTGCACTGGCCTGAGAAAGCAGTAGAAGATGGCCCAAGTCATTGGGCCCCTGCACCCGCATGGGAGACCCAGAGGAAGCGCCTGGCTCCTGGCTTCAGATCGGCGCAGCTCTGGCCATTGCAGCCAACTGGGGAGTGAACCAGCAGATGGAAGACCTCTCTCTCTCTCTGCCTCTCCTCTCTCTGTGTAACTCTTTCAAATAAATAAATAAATCTTTAAAAAAAAAAGTGATATATATACATACATAATGGAATATCATTCATAAAAATAATGAAACTGACATCTGCAGCAAAATGGATGGAACTGGAAGATGTGTGTTAAGTGAAATAAGCAAGACACAGAAAGACAATGCACACACCCTCTCTCATACGTGGAAATTTAAAAAATAATTTCATCTGAGATTACAACAGTGAACACTAGCGGCTAAGAAGCGTAGGGGGAGAGGGGACATAGCGGCATTGGATACTGGGGGCACCACAACACAGTTAAAGTAAGTCCTACGGTTTCACAGCACAGTGAGGCAATGATAGCTCACAATAACATGTCATATACAATAGAAAGAACTGGAAGAGAGGAGCTGGTGGGCTCTAAACAGAAAGAAAAGGAAATGTTAACTGCCTGATTTGATCAGTTTGCATTGTATACACATATTGAAATACTGCATTGTACCTCATAAAAATGTGTATCACATATTTTTAAAATGTTTAATAATTATTAGCTTAAAATATGAGCATTACTAATAAACGTAACTAATGTTAAAAAAACAAAAAAATCTATTTTTAAAATTTAACCAATGCACACCACCGAAGAATCAAATGGTAATACAGAAGCTTGAACTACGATCTGAACAGAAAAAAGAATAGGAAGAGACAGATCACAGTTTCACACTAGCTGGCAACTGCAACTAGCTGTGGCAGAGCCAAAAAAAAAAAGTCATGTCAAAACAAAAATTGATAAGTATATAACATTGTGAGATATTTTCAGCAAAAAAGGTAACTTTTTTTTTTTTGACAGGCAGAGTTAAGACAGTGAGAGAGAGACAGAGAGAAAGGTCTTCCTTTTTCCATTGGTTCAACCCCCAAGTGGCTGCTACGGCCGGCGCGCTGCGCCGATCCGAAGCCAGGAGCCAGGTGCTTCCTCCTGTCTCCCATGCAGGTGCAGGGTCCTCCACTGCACTCCCAGGCCACAGCAGAGAGCTGGACTGGAAGAGGAACAACAGAGACAGAATCCGGCGCCCCAACCAGGACTAGAACCCGGTGTGCCGGCGCCGCAGGCGGAGGATTATCCCAGTGAGCCATGGCGCCGGCCAAAAGGTAACTTTTAATAAATTTATTCTCAATAACAGAAATCAACAAAATTAGTCACCTCTATCAGGATTAAATGTCCAGAAAAACATTTTTAAATGATTTTTAACAGGATCTGAGTTTGCAGCATTGGCCAACTGTAAGACAGACTAAAAGAAAGAACATGAGAGAAGAAAGGAAGGTAAGGGCATAGGAGTAAGGTAACCATTTTTAGCTGGAGAGAAGGAAAATAATTTTCTAACAAAATTTCTCCAACTGGAAGTAATTTGATTAAAGATACTTTAATTTATATGATTAGATATTTTACAAAAAGTTAAAGATCTTCACTTACATTACAAATAATCATTCATATAATATAGCATAAACTGATTCAAAACTGGAAAAATCCCAATTTTTTTGTTTAGCTTTATATGAGTGGTGCAATGCGAGAGACACTGAGCAATTACTAATTTACATACGAAGGTAATCTAAACCCAAAGAAAGGTTATCAATGCATAGCCTTAAAAACTGAATTTATGGTATAATTTTTTTAAATCTTTTATGTCTCAAGTAATTGGGTCCCTGTCACTCACATGGGAAATGCGAAATGAGTTCCTGACTCCCAGCTTCAGCCTGGCCCAGCACTTGTTGTTGCAAGCATTTAAGCAGAGGATGGGAGATCTCTTTGCCTTTCAAATAAATAAAAATAAATTTAAAGAAAACTTGGCCGGCGCCGCGGCTCACTAGGCTAATCCTCCGCCTTGCGGCGCCGGCACACCTGGTTCTAGTCCCGGTCGGGGCGCCGGATTCTGTCCTGGTTGCCCCTCTTCCAGGCCAGCTCTCTGCTGTGGCCAGGGAGTGCAGTGGAGGATGGCCCAGGTGCTTGGGCCCTGCACCCCATGGGAGACCAGGAGAAGCACCTGGCTCCTGCCATCGGATCAGCGTGGTGCGCCAGCCGCAGCGCGCCGGCCGTGGCAGCCATTGGAGGGTGAACCAACGGCAAAGGAAGACCTTTCTCTCTGTCTCTCTCTCTCACTGTCCACTCTGCCTGTCAAAAAAAAAAAAAAGAAAAGAAAAGAAAACTATATTGGGGACCGGCATTGTAGCATAGCAGGTAAAGTCATTGCCTGCAATGCTGGCATCCCATTTGGGTGCTTATTCGAGTCCTGGCTACTCCACTTCCAATCCAGCTCCCTGCTAATGCAGCTGGGAAAGCAGTGGAAGATGGCCCAAGTGCCTGGGTTCCCACACCCCCATGGGAAATCCAGATAAAGCTCCTGGCTCCTGGCTTCAGATTGGCCAAGCTCCTCGTTTGCAGCCATTTAGGGAATGAACCAGTGGATGGAAGCTCTCTCTTTAAAATAAAAAAAATAAAATTGGGGGCTGGTGCTGTGGTGCATCAGATTAAACGACCACTTGGAATGACAGCAATCCCGTGCACCAGTTCAAGTCCTGGTTGCTCTGCTTTTGAATCTAGCTCCAGCTAATGTGCCTGGAAAAGCAGATGATGGCCCAAGTACTTGAACCTCTGCCACCCGCATGGGAGACCAGGATGGAATTCTTGGCTCCTGGCTTCAGCCTTGCCCAGTCCTAGCTGTTGCAGCTATTTGAGGTGTGGACCAGCAAATAAATGCAAGCTCGCTCTCTTTCTCCCCCTCCTTGTCACTCTTCCTTTCAAACAAATAAATCTTAAAAAATATTAAAAAAAAAACTTACAGCTTCACTTCAATTTCATGACTATGAATCTAAGTATATACTTGATGTCAGCATGAAGTATAAAACAGTGTTTTGGGCAAATGTTGTGGCTGCAAGTTGATCAGGCTGCAATTCGCAAGGCTTCCATCCCACACCACAGTGCTGGTTTGAGTCCCATCTGCTCCACTTCTAATCCAGCCTCCTGGGAGGTAGTAGGTGACGGTTCAAGCAGTTAGGTCCTTGCCACCACATGGAAGACCTGGATTGAGTTCCCAGCTCCTGGCTTGGCTTGGCCCAGTCCTGGCTTGTGTGTTCATTCGGGGAGTGAACTAGCAGATGGAATATCTCAATTTCTCTCCCCACTCCCTTCCCTCTCTGCTTCCCTTGGTCTGTCTGTCTCTCACTGTTGCTATGCCAAATAAATAAAATTATAAAAGATAAAATAAAATACAGTTTCACAGGAATTCAATACTTCCTGCCTAAAAAGGCAGTGGACTCAGATATCAAAATATTATGGATAAGGAAGCCTGAATATGTCAAACCCATCAAACCGTATGAATTAAACACGTGCCATGTTTATTTTTTATCAATAAAACTGTTCATAAAAGTCTGACAAATTGACAGCCTTGCAACCTCCAAAAAACGCTAGGTAAACATTCTTTAAGGCAATTTTAAAAAAGTGAGAAATGCTCTGCAGTGATGAGGAAACTGGACACAACAGCACATTCAAAGCCACTCTGAGGCCGAGAAAAATTGGTTTGAGAAGTGATTATTAGTCCCTCGTCGCAGCATCTACTAGAAAGCCAGGAATACACACAAAGGTTTAAATGAGAACCCCTGACGCGGCTCAGCGAAACCCGCCCAGAGGACTGCAAGCAACGCCACTCCGCCAGCTCGGCTCCAGCGGGACTGTGGGCCCCGCGCCTCTCACGCACCCAAAGCTGGCCCGGCCAGGACGAGACCACCGGGGAGGCAGGCGACCCCGGCACCCTAAGGAGCAACGCAGCGCCGAGGAGCCAAACCGGGGCCGCCGCGGCCAGCCGCCCGCCGGCGCCCTGCCGAGCCTACCCGGCCGCCCAAGCGGGGTCCTCCCTCAGGTGCGGGGCGCCAGAAATCGAGCTTCCTCGCCCCCTTCCCCCACGAAATTACCGCTCCGCGAAGCCCAGACCGCTAAACCCGCTCGAACCAGAAGCCGCAGTCGCAGCCGCACTTACGAATGAGCCGCCACAATCACCGCGTCAGTAGGAGCCCCGCCCCCCGGACAGGTCCCGCCCCTGTCCCGAGGGCTCCTGGGAATTGTAGTTTCCATTGCCCCCTCTTTGCGCTTGCGCGCGGGCACGCTGAATCCACGCAAACTACAATTCCCAGAGACGCCACAAGGACGGGCGTTGCCAGGGAATGGGCTGCGCTCCTCCTTTCGGCCCCGACTCTAGCGGGTGACTGCGGTAGGCGGGCGGCGGGGCGGGAGGGAAAACCGTCCTAGAGTCGGGTTCCGCAGAGGTTGGAGACCCTGAGCGCAGAAGTCTTTGAAAACTGAGGGACGCCTACAAGAGCAATACATCTCCAAGTATCCCGGAAAACAGGGAGCGTCGACTCAAAGCTAACCTAGAGATCGAAGCTTTGGGAGGGTTTGGTTTGGTTTGGTTTGCTATTTTGGTATTTATTTTTCTCTTTGCTTTCCGCTTTGGCTGGGTAAAAAGAAAGGGCTGTTTGCTATACTATTTCATGAGGTGAAATAATAAGGGAAAGTAGAATATTCTAAATGCATTTTCTTTATCTAGTTCGTTTATTGAGAGAAACTGCAGGCCTCCTTAGACACAGGAACTGGCCCTGAAAAGCGCTCCTTGTGTAAGAAGAAATTTACATATATTTATGTTAATAAATACTGGATTCAGGGACAGCTTTTTCTGTCTGATACCCAATACGCCCACACCCAGAGTCTTTTCCCAGGAAGAAGGGTGGAGGCTGATTGCTAACCAGAGATGACAACAGGTGGCCGTTACCTGGGAGACCATCTGCCGAACAAGGCGGTGGCTGTCTGTGCACTACCCCCCCACCCCTCCCCTCCATGGTCTGTGCCACCTCCCTTTCCTCCTGAGTCCCATGCCCTCGTATAGGGTTCAGATCTTGCCCTCCTTTGAGTCTAATACTCCTGTTGTGGGGGGTTCTGTAGGGGTCCCCAGCTGGATTTATTCCAGGTTCCTATCTCGGCATAAGAGATTAACCTCAAAGCAGAGACATGGATGAAGTGCAAGAATGGGAGGATTTACTTTAAGTGATAGAAAGTAGCGTCAGTGCAGGCAACCACATGGGGGGAAATTGTGCCCACCGCATGAAAGTCACCCCCTTTATCCGACAGGGGGCGGTGCCCTAGTGGAATATACAAACCCAGTGATGATCGCTGGCATCTCCACCTGGAGTTCAGCATACAGGTGATCATCGTGTCTTCTCTACAATGGAGGAGGTTCAGGTTTGTCATGGGAAAGTAGATAGTCAAATTGGCGCAAAAGGGTGCAAGGTCATGGCAAGGACACTACTGGACGCATCTTAGCTCCTTGTCCTTCTCTAACTTCTTGGCTGGCCCCCATCACTCCCGGCATAGTAGACATATAGTTCCTGTATTGTTTTCCTGTTGCCTTTTGTCAGTGTATTTCATAGGCAAAAATGTCGAAAACCTTAGAGGGGGGAATTTAAAGCTTCTCTACATAGCCATGTGATAATTCACTCCAAAAATAGCTATCACTCATCATTTCTCATAGTTAATATTTATTTTGCAAGTGAACGTCCATTGACTATACAGTGATTGATTTGAATACTGAAAGTGCAGAACTCAGGGTTTGGTTTTGTTTTTTCTAATTGCCATCACAGGATGCTGCATAGGCACAGACACCCCTGGGAACTAGGAAGTTACAGACCTGTAAGTTACTGCAGTGACAGATCTGGCTCAGTGTCTGTCTAACAGTAGGCCAAGTAGAATTGCTAAGTAAATCAAATGAAGTGTCATTTATAACAACTGGTATAACAGTTGAAACAAATACACTGGTTAAGGATAATTCAAAACATTTAACAGAAATTTGTCCCCTCAAGATTTCTTTTGCTTTCTACTTCAACGAAAGTCCTCCCCTAAATCAAAGTTTTGATTTTGTTGCTTCTTTCAATTTAAAAAAAAAAAAAAAGTTCATTAGAGATGAGGAAACCAAAGCCCAAGAACTTCCAAGCTGACACAACTAATAGAGATGCCAGACAAGGACCCAAACAGTTTTCATCTTTATGATAATCCTTTGGCCCAAAAGTCTCATCATTTTCCTTAAAATGTTGTATGTTTTTTAGAGAAGTCACAATACCCTCTAGTTCATATGCCTGTTTTATTCTAAATTGATATGTAGTACTACATTGTTTGTTGGTTGAATAAATGAATAGATCTTTTATCACACCCAAGTCTTAAGGTTCATATATAAGTTTTCACCTGTAGCCCAGGTAGTTCCCAAAACTGCTCACTAGGCTGGAAGGGTTCTCCAAATCCATTAGAAGATGGAAGAGGTAAGGGGAAGGAACTTCCAGCTTCTATTCTGCCACAAAGAAAGGTTCAACATCGTCCACTGCTCCTCTCCTTGCTGCATCTTCAGGTATTGCTGTGGGAAAAAATTAGACTCACAGCTCCCACACAACAAGGTGGGAGCCCTGGTTAGCCATTCTGATACAGTCCTTTATGCCATCATGGGGCAGGAGGGCAGTGTCATTGTAGTGGTCAAGAGCCCAGGCTCTATAGTTGGGGAAGCCTAGGATCAAATCCTAGCTCAGCATTCAGAAAGCTTTGTGATCGGCAGCACTCCACCTTCCTGAATCTAGTCTTACCTGCAACACAGGGATGATGGTAATGACACCTACTATATAGGATGGTCAAGGTTACATTAGAGAGGCCTGTGCTATGGCACATTGGATTAAAGCCCTGGCCTGCAGCGCCAGCATCCCATATGGGTGTCGGTTCAAGTCCTGGCTGCTCCACTTCTGATCCAGCTCCCTGTTGGTGAGCCTGGGAAAGCCATGGAAGATGGCGCAAGTGCTTGGGCCCCTGCACCTGCATGGGAGACCCGGAAGAAGCTCCTGGCTCCTGGCTTCAGATCTGCCCAGCTCCAGCCGTCGCGGCCATCTGGGGAGTGAACCAGCAGATAGAAGACCTCTCTTTCTCTCTCTCTACTCCTGTCTGTAATCCTTTCAAATAAAGTAAATCTTAAAATTGTTTTAAAATTACATTAAAAGAAGAAAATACAAGCCGGCGCCGCGGATCACTAGGCTAATCCTCCGCCTAGCGGCACCGGCACACCTGGTTCTAGTCCCAGTCGGGGCGCCGGATTCTGTCCCGGTTGCCCCTCTTCCAGGCCAGCTCTCTGCTGTGGCCAGGGAGTGCAGTGGAGGATGGCCCAGGTGCTTGGGCCCTGCACCCCATGGGAGACCAGGAAAAGCACCTGGATCCTGCCATCGGATCAGCGCGGTGCGCCGGCCGCAGCGCGCCGGCCGCGGCAGCCATTGGAGGGTGAACCAACGGCAAAGGAAGACCTTTCTCTCTGTCTCTCTCTCTCACTGTCCACTCTGCCTGTCAAAAAATAAAAAAAATAAAAAAATAAAAAAAAGAAGAAGAAAATACATGTAAACAACACAATGCCTACTAAATAATAAAAAGTAAGATGGTTCATCTTTATCATGACTTGAACTCTTGGTTAACTCACTTGGCCAAAATTCCCTACAGATCACATCAAATGGTGTGCAAGATACAGAATAATAAATTATAATTTGGGTATGAAAGATGTTTGGAGGGTTAGAAACTTGTCATTGCTAGACAGTAATGTAGTGGTGACTCTCCAGAGGGGACAAAAGTGCAGACCTAGCCCAGGGGAATATCCCCAGGCCTGGGTCATCCCAGGCTAGCAGGGGTGACTCCCACAAGCTGAGAGATGTGAGTGCTGGCCCTTAGGCAATGGCAAGAAAACACAGCCACTCCACCTTTGGGAAGAGAGGAGTTCCTCACCAAGTCCCAGAACTCCGATTTCTAGAATTTTAGCTCAGCAGAGGAGTTTCTCACAACATCAGGTGCTGCTACACTGCCACAGTTTGTGCTTGCATAGGTCGACTGCATTGCTTTCTTTTAAAGGTGAATAGCAGCTGTGGCGGGGGGCCTCTGCACTGGGATGAACAGCGCTCCTAGTGGAGGCAGAGAGCACAGCCGGAACGTGGCCAGCACCATGGTAGCAGTTGAACTGACCATGCTATGGTGGGATTTACAAGTTGTTATGTTTGGCAAGCCACAAAGCATACAGAGCCTCAAGTAAAACAAGTCTTGCAGGTCTACCAAAATCTGTTTTTCACGGTGGTTTTCACAGAGGTGGCTTTGAACCCAAAATGACAAAACAGGAAGCAGCATGAAAACTAGATGTAAGATTTACTGTCAATAAAGGAAAAATAAGAGATGCTCATTGATGAACTATGCTCTTAAATCACCCAAAGGAGGATATCCTTATATAGTAGCAAAAAAAAAAATCAATGAAAATAAAGATTGGCCGGCGCCGCGGCTCACTAGTCTAATCCTCCGCCTGCGGCACCAGCACACCGGGTTCTAGTCCCGGTTGGGGTGCCAGATTCTGTCCCAGTTGCCCCTCTTCAAGGCCGGCTCTCTGCTGTGGCCCGGGAGTGCAGTGGAGGATGGCCCAAGTGCTTGGGCCCTGCACCCGCATGAGAGACCAGGAGAAGCACCTGGCTCCTGGCTTCAGATAGGCGCGGTGCGCCACCAGAGGGGCCACTGGGGGGTGAACCAACGGAAAACGAAGACCTTTCTCTCTTTCTCTCTCTCACTGTCCACTCTGCCTGTAAAAAAAAAAAAAAAAAAAAAAAAAAAAAAAAAAAAAAAAAAAACACACACACAACTCCCATCCCCTGGTTTACATCCCAAATGCCTGTAATGTCTGCAGTTGGGCAGGGGCCAGAGCCAAGTACCAGGAGCACAATCGGGTCTCCCACATAGGAGGCTGGAACCCTATTACTTTACTGCATTGGTAAGAAGCTGGAGTCAGAAGGCAAGGCTGGGAATTGAACTCAGGCATTTTGGTGTGGGACACAGACATTTTAATTGTTAGACCTGGCTGTTGCAGCCAGGAAGTGAACCCCAGTGGGTGAGAGATTCTCTCTCTCTCTCTTTCTCTCTCTTTGCCTTTCAAATAAAAAAATATTTTAAAAAGCAAATCAGATAGGAATAAATAAGTTTTAGAAACCAACACTATGATACCATTGCCTCTTATTCTTACCTTGATCAGTGTTCCTTACTTCATTTGACTTCAAGTTACTGTCTGATGTTCTTTCATTTTAAGATAAAAGATTCCCTTTAACATATCCTCTATGTTGAGTCTACTTGCATGGAACTCTCAGCTTTTATTTAACTAGCAATGTCTTTATTTCTCCATTTTTGGAAGATAGTTTTCATGGATATATAATTATTCATTGTCATTTTTTTCTTTCAGCACTTAAAATATATCATCCCACAGGGGCCAGCACTGTGGCGCATCAGGCTAATCCGCTGCCATCCCATATGGGCACCGGTTCTAGTCCCTGCTGCTCCTCTTCCCATCCAGCTCTCTGCTATGGCCTGGGAAAGCAGTAGAAGATGACCCAAGTCCTTGGACCCCTGCACCTGCATGGGAGACCAGGAAGAAACACCTGACTCCTGGCTTTGGATGGGTGCAGCTCCAGCCATTGCAGCCATTTGTGGAGAGAACCAGTGGATGGAAGACCTTTCTCTCTGTCTCTCCCTCTCACTGTCTGTAACTCTACCTCTCAAATAAATAAATAAAATCTTTAAAAGATATATATGTGTATGTGTGTGTGTATGTATATATATATATATATATATATATATATATATATATCCCACTGCCTTCTGGCTCCGTAATTTCTGCTGAGAAACTGGCTTATGGAGGATCTTCAAATATATTGATCACTTCTCCCTTGCTTTCAAAGATTCTCTTTGTATTTGTCTCTTTTTTTTTTTTTTTTTTTTTTTGATAGGCAGAGTGGACAGTGAGAGAGAGAGACAGAGAGAGAAAGGTCTTCCCTTGCCGTTGGTTCACCCTCCAATGGCCGCCGCTGCAGCCGGCGCACCGCGCTGATCCGATGGCAGGAGCCAGGATCCAGGTGCTTTTTCCTGGTCTCCCATGGGGTGCAGGGCCCAAGCACCTGGGCCATCCTCCACTGCACTCCCTGGCCATAGCAGAGAGCTGGCCTGGAAGAGGGGCAACCGGGACAGAATCCGGCGCCCCGACCGGGACTAGAACCCGGTGTGCCGGCGCCGCAAGGTGGAGGATTAGCCTATTGAGCCACGGCGCCGGCTTGTATTTGTCTCTTAACAGTTTGACTATGTGTATCCTAGTGAATCTCTTTGAGTTTATTATACCTGGAGTTCATGGAAATTCTTGGATGTGTTGCTCTATATCTTTATCAAATTTGGTACTCGTGGGCCGTGATTTCTCCTGATGTACTTTCTGTGAATTTCTCCCTCTCACCTCTTAATGCATATATTGGTGCCCCTGATGGTGTCTCCTGACCTTAGCTGCTTTGTCCCTTTTTCTTCATTCTTTCTGCTTCTCAGACTTGATTGACTGCTATGTTGAAGTTTGCTCCTTCTTTCTTCTGCCTGCTCAAACTGCTGTTAAGCCCCTCTTATAACTTTCTCATTTAAGTTACTGTACTTTTTTCAACCGCAAAATTTCTATCTGGTTCCTTTTCATAATTTCTGTATCCACACTATCTGTTGAGACATTGTCCTCCTGGTTTCTTTTCATTCTTTGTCCATGTTCCCCTTTAGTTCTTTGTGCATGTTTAAAATACTTTATTAAGTATTTGTTTAATTATTCCTGTGTCTATATTTCCCAAGAGACTATTTCTATTCATTTTTTCCCTTTGAGTTGGCCATACTTTCATGTTTCTTTACATGCCCCATAAATTTTTGCTGAAAGTTGGACATTTTGAGTATTATGATGTGGTAACTTTGGAAATCAGATTCTTTATTCCCATGATTTCTTGTTGTTGCTAGCGGTGAGTGTTGCTGTTTGGTTGTTTACGGGTTTTTAAAAACTTTTTGTAAAGACTGTGTTCTTTGTCATCTGTTGTCTCTGAAGTCTCTGTCCTTTAGCTTATTGCTCATCCAGTGATTTAGCTGGGTTCTTATTAAATGCTTGTAGAAAAAAAAAAGAGAGAAAGATTCACTGGATGTTTGAAGACTGGCTTTGTTTTGAGGCATTCCTTCAATGCTTAGCCAGGCCTTTTTTTTTTTTTTTTTTTTTTTTTTTTTTTTCCAGACAGGCAGAGTTAGACAGTGAGAGAGACAGAGGCAGAAACAGAGAGAAAGTTCTTCCTTCCTTTGGTTCACCCCCCAAATGGCCACTATGGGCGGTGCTGTGCCAATCTGAAGCCAGGAGCCAGGCGCTTCCTCCTGGTCTCCCATGCGGGTGCAGGGCCCAAGCACTTGGGCCATCCTCCACTGCCTTCCTGGGCCACAGCAGAGAGCTGGACTGGAAGAGGAGCAACCAGGACAGAACCAGCGCTCCAACTGGGACTAGAACCCGGAGTACTGGCACCGCAGGCGGAGGATGAGCCTAGTGAGCCGTGGCGCCAGCCTTAGCCAGGCCATTTACAAAAGGTTTTCAAAAAGTTTGTGGAAAATGCATATTATAAAAACTATGCATGGATTTCAAACATTTTTTGCACCAAAATAAGATTTTAAAAAAAGATTTCATATTATTTAAAGTTTTATTTATTTTCATTTTTTAAAAGATGTATTGATTTATTTGAAAGGCAGAGTTAGAGAGGAGAGAGAGAATGAGAAGCAGAGCTGTCCTCCGTCCTCTAGTTCATTCTGCAAATACAACAGACAGGGCTGAGCCATACCAAAGCCAGGAGCCCAGAACTCCATTCAGCTCTCCCACATGGGCTCCAAGCACTCAAGCCATCATTCCACTGCATCCCAGGATGCACATTAACAGGAAGATGGATTGGAAACTGAGGAGCTGGGATTTGCACCAAGTACTCTGATATGGGCTATGAGCATCCCAAGAGGTTACTTAATTGCCTGTTCATAAATTTATCTTTCAATTCCATTTTCCACAAACTTTTTAAAGTATAACTCTGCTTTAGCTGTCACTTCCTGCTTGCACTGAGCACAAAACCAGCCACAGGTGAAATTAGTTTTCCTCAGCAAGCATCTTGCATTAGCATTGCATGGAACTTTCTAGATGCCTCAGTTTAAAGGGAACCTTTTTCAAAGAAAAATTATTTATTTAAAAGGCAGAGAAACAAACAAGGATCTCCTATCCACTGATTCACTCCCCAAATGCCTGCAACAGCCAAGACTGGGCCAGGCTGAAGTCCAAGGACAGGAATTTGATGCAGCTCTCCTATGCAGGTGGCAGAGCCCCAAGCACTTGAGCCATCAACTCCATCAATTGCTATCCCCCACAGTACACATTAGCAGGAAGCTTGAATTGGGAGCCGAGTTGGGACTTGAACCCAGACACTCTGGTAAAAGGACGCATTTCAAAGCTCTTCCATCTCCAAAAATCTCACCCTTGGCTTTTCCTCCCAAGATTTCAGCAGCTCTGATTTCTGCCTGTGGTAGCAAAAATGTTCACTTGCCTTTTAATATTTTTGAGGCACACCCTCCTTGCAGCTGCTTTTTTGCTTCAAGAAAGTTCTGAACTAAGAAAACAAAGGTAAGCCCCTTGCACCAGACCCTCTGGGAGGCCACAGAGAGGTCAAAATAGACAAACACTGGCGACAAAGTCTACTCACTCCAGAATGAGGTATCCACACCAGGAACGATGACTGACCAGGGGAGTGGAGCTAGGGTGAGTTAAAATGCCATAAAAGATCTACCTGCGGGCCGGCGCCGCGGCTCACTAAGCTAATCCTCCGCCTAGCGGCGCCGGCACACCTGGTTCTAGTCCCGGTTGGGGCGCCGGATTCTGTCCCGCTTGCCCCTCTTCCAGGCCAGCCCTCTGCTGTGGCCAGGGAGTGCAGTGGAGGATGGCCCAGGTGCTTGGGCCCTGCACCCCATGGAGACCAGGAAAAGCACCTGGCTCCTGGCTCCTGCCATCGGATCAGCGCAGTGCGCCGGCCGCAGCGCGCCAGCCGTGGCGGCCATTGGAGGGTGAACCAACGGCAAAAGGAAGACCTTTCTCTCTGTCTCTCTCTCTCACTGTCCACTCTGCCTGTCAAAAAAAAAGATCTACCTGCTTTCAGTCGCCTTTTTCCTGGTTAAACATTTCCTTGTTTGCTTTTAAACTTTTGACTTTTAGGTTTCAATAAGATTCTGCCAGGTGTCTCTTGATTTTTTTTTCTTATGCTTCTGGACAGGAATAGATTCAGAACCCACTAGTGTGCCACTTTTTCTAATACCACCTAAATTATTTTTATGCAACCTTATAAGGCAGGTCATAAGGCAAGGACTTCCAGGTAAGGTTCTGGTCCTCAGTCTCCTCAGTAATAAATGGTAGAGACAGGATTCAAAGCCATACCCTTTCCACTGGATTATCAATTCTATACCTTCCTGTCTCATTCTGTTTCCTGGGAGTCTGATTCTTTCTCATTACTTTACTGCCTGAATAGTGAGTCTCAGATCTAAGTATCTAGCTCCCACCTCTCTTGACTGGGAGATACGGTCAACCCTCCTTGTCCATAAAGGATCGGTTCTAGGAGCTCCCACACATGCCGGAATCAAGGGTGCTCAAGTTAAGTAGAATTTGCATAGAACCTACACATATCCTGGACTATACTTTTTATTTTTTTTTTAAGATTTATTTATCTGTTTGAAAGGCAGTTACAGAAAGGCAGAGACAGAGAGAGAAAGTATCTGCTGGTTCATTCCCACAAATGGTTGCAACAGCTGGAGCTGAGCCAATTCGAAGCCAGGAACCTGAAGCTTCTTTCTGGTCTCCACATAAGTATAGGGACCCAAGGACTTGGGTCATCTTCTGCTGCTTTCCCAGACCACAGCAGAGAGCTGGATTGGAAGTACAGCAGCCAGGACTCAAACTGGCACCCATATGCGATGGAGGCACTGCAGGTGGCGGCTTCACCCACCATGCCACAGCGTCGGCCCCCTCGCCTGTACTTTAAATCATCTCAGGGTTGTTTGTAATACCTAATACAATGTAAATCACATATAAGTAGTTTTTATACCAGATTGTTTAGGGGATAATAAAAAAAAGTCTATATGTGTACAAGCGTATTTTTAAAAAAATATTTATGATGGGAAGTTGGTTGGAGCACAGACTGAATATGGCTACCCACAAACACTGTCATGAACTTCAACTCCGGAAAGTCCTGAACTGAATTAATTATCTCACTTCCTGTGACCCAGATCCGTAAAACCCTCGCACATTTTACTTCTTTCTGCCTCTGGGGATTGCCCTATTTTCTCACTTCAATGGAGTTCCCCCTTGGGCAAATCCCTCCAGAAGAATGAACCCGAGATGAAGTCCTGAACCGTCAGACTGACCCTGGAAGAGGGACTGGCCTGAACTCGGTCCCGACCCGCACCTCCGGGAACCGGCCTACTCGCTCGGTGCGCGGGGTTGGGAGGGGCGCAGGGCGGAGTGCGAGGGCGCTCGCTTCGCCCCGCCCGCCTGGCCGCTCTCCAGGGCTGTGCTGGAGGCGGAAGAGCCCGGAATCCCGCAGCGTCGGAGCAGCGAGCGCCTGAAATCGGTGGAGCGCCCGGAGCGGCCGGATTTTGTGGCAGGTGCGTGGCGCCCGGGGTGTCCGGCACGGGGTTCCGGTAGTCGTGGCCAGCACGGGGTCCGACCGCGGCTATGCAGATGTTGCTTTGGGCTTCAGGCTGCGGGGATCTGTGGCGTCCTCAGGCCTGGAGTCGGCTTGGCGTTGGGGTTACTGCCCACGGGGCGGAGGGAGGGCGTCCACCGCACCTGGCTGCAGACGCGGGTCTCCGGACTCCAGCTTTGCGCTGCGAAATGAGCGAATCGCGGTAGAATGCGGTGTTTCCTGTTTCCTGGGTGCCCAGCGTCCCCTCTTCTTTCTGATGGTTAGGCTTCAGAGGAGCTTGTGCGAATGTTCAGTGGTTTGATGAACACGCGGGAAGCCTAAGCGGACCGGACCTGGGGAGGGATAGGGAGCACCCTGACGGAAGCAGTGCGCAGGTTGCGGGTCCGACGGTGTCTGCAGGGGGGTCTGGTGGTCAAGCTCGGTTCCTGGAAAACCCGCGACCTAACTGAAGCGGTTCTCCGATCCCGGCCTGCTAAGTGGCAGGGAAAAGTAGCGCTATTCCGAGCGCAGTGTGCTGATACCGGAGAAGTGCACCCTGAGTATGTTCGTCCTCTGCGTTTGACTTGATCTTTTATTCCACAAGTATTTATTAGGCCCTATGCTGTATGCTATGGGGATCATTGGAACAAAAGAAAAAAATAAAAAAGAGTGCCTCTACTTTTTACCGGCTTTGGGATCCCGTTAGGGAGGTCGTATGGATACCGTTTGAGTTCGAAAGCGCACGCAGCGTCAGAAGGCTTGGCCGTGACCCTGGGCTATCACTGATGAGGAAGGTTTCTCAGTGAGTTCGCAGTTACTGCAGGCCCTACGGTGCATCGGAAGTGGGCCGGATTCTAGGCACGGCCCCCACCCCGCAGCCCTGACCCTCGGGAGGAATTGCCGTGACAGTGGACTGCTGCCCGCGGGGAGGTGTGCGGCCACCGCGAGGCCCGGAGGAGGGCAGCCCATCCGAGGAGAAGGGCCCCGGAAGACTTCTGGGCGGGGACGGCCCGGGGCTTTCCGACAAGAGCCGACGCGAGCTCCGGGTGAAGGCGGGACCTGGGAATCCGGAAGCCTCTTGCCCACTGCTGTGTCCGCGATCTGCGGATGCTGCAGCCGGTTGCGGGGTAGGAAGGCGATGCGCCCTTGCCCTGGGGTTGCGGAGGGGGCAGACCGGAGCGCCTCCGTGCAGACTCGCCCTTCGAGCCCTACGCACCTGTAAAGAGTGCTGGCGAGAACTGAGCGGGCGCTGGCAGCAAGCAGGAGGAGCTGTGAGACAAGCGGGAGGCCGGGCTTGCGACCTGGCACTCCGGTAGGAGCCGGGAGAATGCAGGAGGAGAGACCTTAGGTGTGCTTTCCTGTCTCCTGGCAGCCTCGGGTGCTGGCAACAGGCCAGAGCCTTGTATCTGAGATGTATATGCTATGGGTTCACAACGGGGTGGAGGTGGGGGGGGCTCGGTGCCACTGAACTGCACACTGTTTAAGCGTGGTTGAGATGGTAAATTTGGTTACCTAGATTCTATCGCATCAGAAATAAGGGCTGGAAAATGTTCATACTTTTTGATTCAGTAATCCCACCTCTAGCCATTTATTCTTAGAAAACAATGACAGATTTGGCCACAAATTTAAGTATAAACATTTTCCTCAAAGTATATATGTAATAATGAACAGGTTTTTTTTTTTTAAAAAAAAGGTTTACTTGTTTATTTATTTGAAAGGCATAGTGACACAGAGAGAGGGAGAAAGAAAGATTTTTTCCAACTGCTGGTTCACTCCCTAAATGCCTGCAACAGCCAGGCCTGGGCCAGCCTGAAACCAGGAGCCAGGAACTCCATCTGGACATCCCCAGTGGCTAGCAGGAACCCAAGTACTTGGGTCATCATCTGCTGCCTTCCCGTGCACTTCAGCAATGAGCTGGATCAAGGTGGAAGTGTTGCACCTGAACGAGTGCAAACACACACCACACTGATAAAATTTGATGGTCCTTTATTGCCAATAGTGGACAGCCGGCTCATGCCCTAAAGAACTCTCAACCCCAAAGCTCATAGCAACAGGGTTTATAAAGGCAAAAACCACAAGGAAGGGAGGGGGGAATGCATGGTTGCTAGGGTCAAGCTGACCTAAAGCATATGCAAAACCAATATCGATTACAGTCTTAACAATACCAGTTACAATCTTAACAACACCAATTACAATCTTAACCACACCAATTACTATCTTGACATTTGTCCAGGTACTGACCTAAATCATATCTGGGACATAGACAAATAACATTAATCCAAGTGCAGCCAACTGTTTTAGGCTTGAGCAAGCCATGTGAAGAGATTTCTATGTTCTGCCAAGTGGCAGGTAGTGTACTGTTATTGTCTTAGTTTTAGACCATAGTTAAGTTTCAGCCCATAGTCTCACACTGGGGAGGGGGGTACTTTCTCAAGATGGAGTCTTGGATGCTCTAAAATGGAGCCCCTGCTGTCAAGGTGTCACTTCAGAGGAGCTGGGACTTGATCCCAGGACTTCTCTATGGGATACTGGTGTCCCAAGCTGTGGCTTAACCTGCTGAGAGCACTTTTAAATAACCAAATATCCGGTGACATGGTGTGAAATGAAATGAACATAGCTTATGTAGCCACTGCAAATACTTTCAAAGAATATTTGATGACTTGAGAAAATTCTCATTAAAAGAAAAATAAGAGAGGCTGGCATTGTGGCACCGCAGGTTAAACCATGGCTTTCAGTGCCAGCATCCCATATCAGATCTAGTCCCGGCCAGTTTTAGTCCCGGCTGCTCTGCTTCTGATCCAGCTTCCTGCTTATGCACCTGAAAAAAGCAGCAAAAGATGGCCCAAGTACTGGGGTCCCTGCCACCCACGCTGGAGACCTGCATGGAGTTCCTGGCTCTTGGATTCAGCCAGAACCTGGCTGCAGCCATTGCAACCATCTGGGGAGTAAACCAGTGAATGGAAGATGTCTCTGTGTGTCCCTCTCTGTTTCTATTATGCTGCTTGTCAAACAAACAAACAAACAAATAATAAATAGAAACTGGCTACAAAATTAAATACACAATAAATAATGTATATTTTTATTAAAAAGTTATAAAATGTAATGATACAGGGAATAGTAATACCTGAAAGAAATATATCAAAAATTCCAACAGTGGGATTATTTTTGGATGGAGGGATGGTAGGTACTTTTGAAAAACAACTTTATGGGGGCCGGCGCTGTGGCATAGTGGGTAAAGCCACTGCCTGCAGTGCCAGCATTCCATGTGGGCACCAGTTCAAGTCCTGGCTGCTCCACTTCCAGTCCAGCTCCCTGCTATGGCCTGGGGAAGCAGTAGAAGATGGCCCAAGTCCTTGGGCCCCTGCACCCACGTGGGAGACCCAAAAGAGGCTTCGGATCAGCTCCGGCTGTTGCGACCAATTGGGGAGTTAGCCAGCGGATAGAAGACCTCTCTCTCTCTTTCTGCCTCTCCTTCTTTCTCTGTGTAACTCTTTCAAATAAATAAATGAATCTTTTTTTTTTTTTAAAAAGCAACTTTATGGAAGTATGACTTACACACCATTAAATTCACCCATTTTAATTGCACAAATCAGAAAACTTGTAGGAAAGTTACTAAATTGTGCTCTATCACCACAATCTAGTTTAGAACATTTCCATCTCTTGGAGAGCTTTCTGTATTTCCTTCATGGGGGTTAATTTTTTCCTTTTATTACATTTTTAAAATTTATGTTCAATTTTTATCTATTTATTTTTAATTTACTTAAAAGGCAGAGAGAAAGTGAGAGAGATCTCCTGTCTGCTGGTTCATTCCCCAAATGCCCGCAACAGCCAGGGCTGACCAAGCTGAAACCAGGAGCTTGGAACTCCATCCAGGTCTCCCACTCCGGTGGCAGGGACCCAGGTACTTGATTCTTCACTGCTGCCTCCCAAGGTGTGCAGCAGGAGGCTGGAATGGAAAATGGAGCCAGGACTTGAACCTAGACACTGCAGTGTGAGATAGGGGCATCCTAAGCTGGGGCTTAACCACTGTGCCAAACTCCTATTCCAATGATTGATATAAATAACATATTGAAACTCTTTGAATTCAGTAATTTTACAAAGATTCACAAGCAAACAATTCATTACAGCTTTTTCTGATATGAAATTAAAAAACATTTAATTTTCTAACCAGAAGTAGTTTATTTATGGTATATAATTAAGATAGCCTCTACTAAAAGTGTTTTTCTTTAAAAAAAAGATTTATTTTATTTATTTGAAAAACAGAGTTACAGAGAGAAGGGGAGAGACAGAGAGAGATCTTCTATCCACTGGTTCACTCCTGAAATGACTTCACCAGCTAGGGCCAGGCCAGGCAGAAGCCAGGATCCCAGAACTGTATTCGGGTTTCTCACGTGTTTGGCAACGACCCAAATACCATCACCGGCTGCTTTCGCATTAGCAGAGAGCTAGGTGGGGAGAAGAGCAGCTGTGACTTAAACAGGCACTCCCATATGAGATGCTGGCTTCACGGGCAGTGGCTTAATCTGCTGTGCCACAACACCAGCCCCTACTGAAAGTGTGTTCTAAGAATGTTGAATGGCAAAATGCTAAAGACATCATGCTGGGACAGCGCTATGGTGTAGCAGGTAAAGTTGCTTCTTGGCATACCATATGGGCGCCGGTTCTAGTCCCTGCTTCTCCACTTCCAATCCAGCTCCCGGCTGATGGCCTGGGAAAGCAGCAGAGGATGGCCCAAGTGCTTAGGCCGCTGCACCCGCATGGAAGACCTGGAAGAAGCTCTTGTATCTTGACTTCTGATTGGGCCATCTCTGGCTGTTTCAGCCATTTGGGGAGTGACCAGCAGGTGGAAGATCTCTGTCTCTCTGTAACTCTTTCAAATAAATAAATAAATCTTTTTTAAAAAAGATATGATATTGACTGATAATAGCAGGATAGGTATTGTGTATATAGTATAATTTTAATTTTTATTTTCCATTATAGACTTAAAATAAAAAGCCTGGAAGAAAAAAGACAGAACAAGATATTTTAATGTAACCCTTAGGTTTTGAGTTTTCCTTTTTTGCTGTTATGCATTCTGTTTTTCCAAATTTGCAATAGTTACCATGAATTACTTTACTAGAAAACATTAAAAACACAAGACAAGAATATACCCGGGGCAGGCATCGTGGCGCAGCAGATGAAGCCGCTGCCTGTGACATCCTCATTCCGTAGAGGATGCCTGGTTTGACTCATAGGTACTCTACCTCCAATCCGGCCTCGTGTTAACGCATCTTTGGAGGCAGCCAATGATGGCTCAAGTCGTTGGACCCCTGCCACCCATATGGAAGACTCAGGTAGAGTTCTGGGGCTCCTGACTTCAGCTTCGAACAGCAGGCATTTGGGGAATAAACCAGTGGATGAAAGATCTTTCTCTCTCTCTTTCTTTCCTCTCTGTTGCCCTGCCTTTCAAGTAGATGCAAATAAATGTAATAAAAAGCATTTTAAAAAAGAAGAATACAGCCAGGACAGAGCTGAAGGTGGGCCTGAGCAGCTGCCTACTTCAGCCTAAGGTAGTTGGCAGAGGCCAGAGGAATGGTATTGCATGAGGGTCTTCAAAACGTTTGTGGACAATGGAATTATAAGATAGATTTATTTTACTGCAAAAAAAATTGAAGTAAACACATAGGTATTCATAATATGCATTTTCCATGAACTTTTTTTAAAAGATTTATTTGAAAGGCAGAGTTACAGAGAGGCAGAAGCAGAAAGAGAGAAAGGTATTCATCTGCTGATTCACTCCCCAGATGGCCACAACAGCTGGAGCTATGCCAATCCAAAGCCAGGAAGCCAGGAGCCAGGAGCTTTTTCTGGGTCTCCCGCATAGGTGCAGGGGCCCAAGGACTTGGGCCATCCTCCTCTGCTTCTGTGGAGTTAACTAGTGGATGGACTACCTCTCTCTCTCTCTCTCAGTCCTTGGGCCCCTGCACCCACGTGGGAGACCCGGAAGAAGCTCCTTGGTTCCTGGCTTTGGATTGGTCCAGCTCTGCCGTTGCAGCCATTTGAGGAGTGAACCAGTGGATGGAAGACCTCTCTCTCTCTCTCTCTCTCTCTCTTTCTGCCTCTACCTCTCTGTAACTCTGACTTTCAAATAAATAAATAAATCTTTAAAAAAAAAAAAAACCTTCCTTTGTGTGGATTTCATGTTTTTACACAGAAATAAGTGTTTCCTTTTTTTAATATAGATTTTTTTTAAGATTTTATTTGTTTATTGGTAAGTCAGTTACAGAGAGAGAGGGATAGACAGAGACAGAGAGAGAGATCCACTGGTTCATTCCCCAAGATGGCCAAAATGGCCAGGGCTGGGCCAGGCCAAAGCCAAGAACCAGGAGCCAAGCGCTTCCTTCCAGTCTCCCACGTAGGTGCAGGGGCCCAAGGACTTGGGCCATCCTCCGCTGCTTTCCCAGGCACATTAGCAAGGAGCTGGATCAGAAGTGGAGCAACTGGGACTCAAACCAGCATCCACATGGAATGCTGGCACTGCAGGCGGCAGCTTTATCCACTACTCCACAGCGTTGGCCCCCAGTCTATCTGCTTGTTAACTGTCTGACGTTAATAATAGGCTACATTAACCTAAATAGTGTGATGTGGTATCTTCTAGAGTATGCATCATTTTCAGCCCTTATACCTACTCATATGCTAACTATTAAATAATTTGAACGTAAAAGGCAACCGACAATTATTAAACTAGTAAATGTTAAAGTTATGGAAAAGCAGAGTGAAATCAACCAGACCTCATTAAAAGAAAAAAGAAATGAGGGGACCTCTGACTTGTTCATTCCTTGAACAGACCGCCAGATGCTGGGAGGGTGTACAGCGTGGGAGGGGGCCTGTAGGAGGCCTGAGGACTGTGCCCTGAAGTTTCACCATGCGACAAGGCTGGTGTGGCCAGGACGGGGTGGGGGAGAGAGAGGGGGCAGTGCAGGATAAGGCTGGAGAGAGCCAACAGGCCTTGAGCTAATGACCAAGAATTCAAATAGTATTTGAAATTCAGTTCCCACAAACACAAGAATTTTGGAGCTACGGAGTGGAGAGTGGAGTGGAATTTGGAGTCAGGGCCAGGTAGAAGTGGAGGAAGGAGGCAATGAGGCAGAACTCAACTGGTGGGAAATGGGCCATGGTGGCAGCCAGCTGGGCTGTATGGCACACAGACTGGGCTGTATAGGTGGAAAGTTAAGGATCGCTGGGGCAGCTTGAGAGGCCAGCAGGACAGCGGTAGGCAGTTGCCAAGAGGGGACCGGGGTGGGGGTGGGGTGCGGGGAGGCCTAGGTTAGGGTCATGGCATATCGCGGTGAGCACGGGCAAGTATCTGGGAGGTGGTGGCGCTGCGCCGGTCGCTAGCAGGGCAAAGGAACTAGGCGGCCTAAAGCCCTATTGTGGGAGCGGGACGCCACGAGGGGGCGCGAGGGGAGGGGGTACAGAGCCTAGAGGGAACGCGGGCCCCGCTGCAGGGTAGTAGGGTCGGCTATTCCAGGCTGCCAGGAGCCTGGTGTTCTAACAGAACTGCGTTCCCAGGCGCGCGGTGAGACGCGGACAGATGCTGCACCTGCGGGAACCCGAGCCCACCAGCCTGCCTCGCCGCAGCTTACTTTGTGGAGTGTGTTAGAGCTGGCTCTGTACTTCGGAAACATCCTGTATGGGAGTGCCTGGTTTCCACGCCCGAATACAGTCTCTGGCTAATGTGCCTGGGAGGCCACTGATGATGGGCCAAGTGCTTGGGTCCATGCCACCCATGTGGGAGGCCTGGATTGAGTTCCTGGTTCCTGGCTGTTGTGAGCAGCATTTTGGGAATGAACCAGCAGGTGGAAGATCCCCTTCTGTCCCTGGGTCTGTCTCTGTGCCTTTGATATAAAATGAAAAAAAAAATTTAGAATATTTATTTGTTATTTTGAAAGAGTTACAGAGAGAGACAGGGAGAGATCGTCCACCCTCTGGTTCACTTCCCAGATGGCCTCAAACACCAGGACTGAGCCAGGCATAAACCAAGAGCTTCTTCCGGGTCTCCCACATGGGTGCAGGGGCCCAAGAACTTGGGCTATCTTCTGCTGCTTTCCCAGGCCATTAGCAGGGAGCTGGGTTGTAAATGAAGCAGCTGGGACTTGAACCAGCATCCATATGTGATGCTGGCCCTACAGGCTGCAGCATAACCCGTAAAACTGTGACATTGGCCCTAAAAAACCTTTCTTTTCTTTTTTTATTTTTAGAGAGAGAGAGAGACAGAGAGAAAGGTCTTCCTTCTGTTGGTTCACCTCCCAAATGGCCACTACGGCTGGCACGCTGTGCCGATCCGAAGCCAGGAGCCAGGTGCACCCCCCCCCCCGTCTCCCATGTGGGTGCAGGGCCCAAGCACTTGGGCCATCCTCCACTGCCTTCCCAGGCCACAGCAGAGAGCTGGACTGGAAGAGGAGCAACAGGAACAGAATCCGGCACCCCAACCGGGACTAGAACCCGGTGTGCTGGCACCACAGGCGGAGGATTAGCCAAGTGAGCCATGGCGCTGGCCCCAAAAAACCTTTTAAAAGCTATAAATGATTCTAAAAAACCAGGACACATATTGCAAGCTAGGAGAATGTTCATTTTTGTGATTATATAATGGTCACAATTCTTTAAAAAGAATGGCCATTTTTTTAAATGGAGTCTTTTTTTTGAAAGATTTTTTTATTTATTTGAAAGTTGGAGTTACACAGAGAGAGAAGGAGAGGCAGAGAGAGAGAGAAAGAGAGAGAGAGAGAGTCTTCCATCCGCTAGTTCACTCCCTAATTGGCTGCAACGGCCCGAGCTGCGCCAATCCAACGCCAGGAGCCAGGAGCTTCTTCTGGGTCTCCCATATGGGTGCAGGGGCCCAAGAACTTGGGCCATCTTTTGCTGCTTTCTCAGGCCATTAGCAGAGAGCTGGATCGGAAGTGGAACAGCTAGGACTCAAACCAGCACCCATCTGTGGCTACCCGGTATGCCACAGAGCCGGCCCCATATGGCCATTTTAGGGTGGTGTTTGGTGCAGTGGCTGACATGCTGCATGGGACTCCCACATCCCATATTGGAGTGCCTAGATTTGAGTCCCGGCTCTTCTGATTCTAAATTCCTGCTAATGTGCCCCCTGCGAGGCAGTAGGTGATGGCTCAAGCACTTGGGTCCCTGCCACCCACAAAAGAGTCTCTGACTGAGTTCCTGGCTCCTAGCATCAGCCTGGCCCAACCCTGGCTGTTGTGTGCATTTGGAGAGTGAGCCAGCAGCTGACGGTAACAAACTTTTTTTTTTTTTCTTTTTGAAGAATGGTTGTCATCAAAGTGAGCGCAAAAGGGACAAAATGACATTGTGGCCCAGCAGGTTAAATTGCCTCTTGGGACACCTGCTTCCCATATCAAAGTGCCTGGGTTCAAGTCCCCCAACTGCTTCCAATCTACCTTTCTGCCAGTGTGTCTGGGAGGCAAGAGATGATGGCTCAATTATTTAAATCCCTGACATCCATATAAGGAGACCTGAATAGAGCTCCTGGCTCCTGGTTTCATCCTGGCCCAGCCACAACTATTGTGGCCATCTGGGGCATGAACCAGCAGATGAAAAATGTGTGTGTGTGTGTGTCTGTCTGTCTGCCTTTCAAAATTAATAAAAATAAATCAATAGAAATAAAATAATAATGGCCATTGTCTCCACAGTTTGCATGTAGAATAATTCTAAATTTATTGTTAATATATTCACCTAAAAGAGAGTCCTTAAAAACTGTGATTTGCAATATTCTTTCTCGCAGGATGACTATGGGAATCTTTGCAAATTGTACCTTCTGTTTGAAAGTCAAGTACTTACCTCGGCAGCAGAAGAAAAAGCTACAAAGTGACATTAAGGAAAACGGTGGAAAGTTTTCTCTTTGGTTAAATCCCCAGGTATTTCCAAGTCTCATAAACTACTGTATGATAAACATGGTGCGTTCAGGGAACAAGGGTCATGGTTATAAGCATGAAGCAGAGAAGATTGGTAGCAGGAGAAATTGTGGCATGGTCCCCGGATGGTTGGGCCAGGAGTGGCCTAGCCCCTTCTCCCACGGGCTGCAGAAAATCCCGCATGTCTTTGAAGACATGTTGTTAGAGCACAACCAAAGACATGAATAGAACTTCAGACCAGCCAGATTATTCTCAGAAGAGAAAAGTGACAGTGCACAACGTTTGCAAAAAGCGCACTGTGGTCACTTACCAGCATGCCTATACTGAGTGACACCCGTGAGTGTGGCTCCCACAGGACAGAGAGGCATCCAGTATCAGCTGATGTTTGTCGTGGAGCTTGTGCTATTTTTACACTTATTTAAAGGCCAGAGGAAGCTCGCTTCCCTCTCTTGAAATGAACTGTCAATCTGAGAATTTAGATAATTTCACAGCTGGATGAAGTCTTGGAAGTAATCGGGGCTAATTTGTTTGTTAATCACCTTCTTATGAAAAGTAGAAATTGAGATCCAAAAGCATTCGCTCCAGGGTTTGCTTGTCCCAGACCTTTGCCCCTCTCTTTATAGAAGGGGCTGACCCAGCCTGCCTCTCCCTGGACCATAGCCCTAAGGCTTGGCCACAATGAGCATCAGGTGTTCTGTGAATCACGGGGTCAAGCTGAGTACGGGAAATGAAATGGCTATATTTCCCTCCAGTCTAGGTAGAAATCCCTCACTCATGAGGCTTACCATCTCTGCAGGTGGATGAGTCATACACACCCACTCTACCTTCTCAGTTTGTCTTCTGGGTGGAGAACTGCCAGCATGCTCTCTTGGCTTTAGAAGCACTCACATCCTGTGAGTGCAGCCTTTTGAAAGTTTTTTTGGCCAGTGTACATAAACTTTTTTTTTATTTGACAGGCAAAGTTATAGATAGTGAGAGAGAGAGAGACAGAGAGAAAGGTCTTCCTTCTGTTGGTTCACTCCCCAAATGGCCACTATGGCTGGCGCTGCACCGATCCGAAGCCAGGAGCCAGGTGCCCCCCCGCCCCGGGTCTCCCATGTGGGTGCAGGGCCCAAGCACTTGGCCCATCCTCCTCTGCCTTCCTGGGCCACAGCAGAGAGCTGGACTGGAAGAGGAGCAACCGGGACAGAATCCGGCGCCCATATGGGATGCCGGCACCGCAGGTGGAGGATTAACCAAGTGAGCCACAGCGCCGGCCCCAGTGTACATAAACATTTGAAATGTGCATGCCAGCTGTTATAAAGGAGACAGCTCTATATGGAACAATGAGGCAAGATCTGCGAAATAAAATCAGTGGCAAAGCAGGTACACAGCAGTGGGGGTGGCATGCTGCCATTTGTGTGCTCACCTGTGTGTGTTGTCTGTGCATAGAATAGTCTGGAAGGATCCAGAGGGACAAGTTACAGCAGGTGTCTCTGGGGAGAGGAACTGGGAGCAACAGTGGAGAAGATAGCATATGATTATTATTGTTTTACTTTTTACATAGTCTACAATGGCCATATGCTATTTAATCAAAACTAAATTTGAAATTGTACACATTAAACAAATAAACTTCCTTTTCTGACTCAAGGAGAAAACTGAGTAAGTCGACAAGGATGTACATGAGGCTGTTCATCACAGAGCACTGCCAAAAATAGTGAAAATTCAGAAATAACTTGTAGGGATGATTAACCAATCCTAGTGCATTTATATCCATACTATTTAAAAACTGTTGATTTAAAAAATATATGATCAGAAATTGTACTGTTTGTAAAGAATTTAGAAATCTGATGAAAATTATTACAATCTACCATAAAATTAGACTTGTTAAGGGTGAAAAGTACAGATACAAATAATTGGTTTGCCATGGCACAGTAGCTTAATCCTCCACCTGTGGCACCAGCATCCCATAGGGCGCCAGTTCTAGTCCTGGCTGCTCTTCTTTCCATCCCTGCTGTGACCTGGGAAAGCAGAAGATGGCCCAAGTGCTTGGGCCCCTGCACCCACATGGGAGTCCAGGGGGAAGCTCAAGGCTCCTGGCTCCTGGCTTCGGATCAGCGCGGCTCCAGTTACAGCAGCCATTTGGGGAGAGAACCAGCAGACAGAAGACCTCTCTCTCTATCTCTCCCTCTCACTGTCTGTAACTCTACCTCTCAAATAAATTTTTTTAAAAATTGGTTTGTGTTTTGTTTTCACTGATAGATAACAAATTGATTTTTCGCCTTTAGTGTACACATTTAATCTTAGATAATGCTGATCTTCTGAGTCAGTACCAACTGGACTCCATCCGAAAGAAACACATCCATATTGCAAGCCCAGATTTTGTCTGGGAATCCATCAAAGAAAGGAAACTCTTGGACATTGAGAGTTATGGTCCCACTCAGGCACTGGACATCACGCTACCCCCTGATCAAAAGACAGGCAGTTCTGGTAGGTATTTATATACATCCAAGAATCTGAATTCCATCAGTTTTGTTAACTCATTAAAATAAACCTTTGAGCAGTAAACCAGTGTTTTGTTTGTTTTACTCCTAGATGTGAAAGCAGATGATCTCCCCCTGGATGATGTCACGGAGAAAGAGAGCATTGTGGAACCCACCAAGTAAGTAATCCACCTCTGATTCTCAGGGCTCTGCAGGGTTTATGTTTTGTAAACCTCAAGCACAGTATTAAAATATTATTTGTAGGCTATTATTATGTTAGCTTATTTTGCTTATCTAACTCTACTAGTTTTTTTTTTTTTTTAAGATTTTATTTATTTATTTGAGAGAGTCACAGACAGTGAGAGGGAGAGACACTCCCCAGGTCGCAGCAATGACCAGAGCTGCACTGATCCAAAGCCAGGAGCCAGGAGCCTCTTCTAGGTCTCCCATGCGGATACAGGGGCCCAAGGACTTGGGCTATTTGTACTGCTTTCCCAGGCCACAGCAGAGAGCTGGATCAGAGGAGGAGCAGCCGGGACTAGAACCGGCGCCCATATGGGATGCCGGCACTGCAGGCAGAGGATTAACCTACTGCGCCACGGCGTCGGCCCCTCTACTGGGTTTTTATTTAAGACTTTTTCTGCCAACTAGGGTTGTGATGATCATTTCTGTCTTCTCAGTTTCATGAGGTTTGATGTAATTATTAGATACTTTGATTTTAAAAAAAGAAAGCCACTGGTGATGAGGTTTGGGCAGCTTGCTGGCTCTGTTACCTTAAAGAGTTTGATACTGTTGTTATATTTGTTACCAGTGATGTTAAAAAGAGAACAAAATCCAAAGTACAAAGTTCAGATTTAAGAGAAGTCTGAGTCCTTTGTTTTATAGAGGAGGTGAAGGTGTTCCAGGCTGGAGTGAGCACCGTGGCCTGCACACAGAGTAGACGGCCCTATGGTTGGTGCCTCTGCTCCTGGGCATGGACACTTTCCTGAGGAGCCAGGCCGGGCTCAGTGCTGGGCACCAGAGCTCATGAATTACGCAACTCATTTCCCACAGTCTGGAATCCATTTCTAGAACCCTAAGAGGGCATTAGGGACTTGTAACATATTTCATAAGGAATTAGGAGGTCTACAAAAAAATTTTATGAAATTTTGTTTAGCCTAAAAATCTACTTTAATGTTAACATTTTAATTATTCAATTTCAGGTTTCATGCAGAGAATGTTGATTTTCCTCAAGATTTTGAAGTTGCAAAATATAACACCTTGGAAAAAGTGAGTCTGATTTCTATTTAGGAAAAGAAAGCATAATGTCTTCTGAGTGTTTTTCCTGTTCAGTCACTTTCTTGTTGTTTTGAAAAATTGTGCATATGCTGAAAATCATATATTCTGTAATATATGAACTGATTTTTAATAGTGAAGGAAATAAAAATTAGTGCTTGAGTTTTACTATCAAAGAAATGAATGTTCATAGAAGACATTTTAAACTCTACAAAGCATTCATACGGCATTAAGAAATAAAACTGCTCCTCTCTGTTGCTAGCAGTTTCTTGGAATTTTCTTAAAGACTTATCTGATTTATTTGAAAGGCAGAGTAACAGAGAAAAACAAAGAGATCTTCCATCTGCTGATTCACTCCCCAGATGGCCACAAGGACAGGAGCTGGGCCAGGACAAAGCCAGGAGCCCAGAGCAGTATGCTGGTCTCCCATAGGGGTCGCAGGGGCCAAGCACTTGGGCCATCTTCCACTGGTTTCCCAGAAGCTTTAGCAGAGAGCTGGATCAGAAGCAGAGCAGCTGGCACTCAAAGACTGACATCATAAGCAGCAATTTAGCCCACTGTGCCACAACATCAGCCCCCAATTTCTTGCATTTTAAAAGCATAGATTTGATATGAAGTATTTATGCCATGTTGAATTTCTGTTCCTTTTGCATTAAAAATAAAAACAGGAAACTTTTCTTTGGTAAATTCACACAAATAAATATCAATACTCATCTTCAAAGTTATGCCCCATTTGTATTTTTTTACATAGCTGATAAAATTTAAAAATAATATTTAATTTGAAAATAACATTTCCGGAGCTGGATCTGTGGCATAGTGGGTAAAGCCACCGCCTCCAGTACCCACATCCCATATGGGTGCTGGTTTGAGTCCTAGCTGCTCCACTTCGGATCCAGCTCTCTGCTGTGGCCTGGAAAAGCAGTAAGAGATGGCCCAAGTCCTTGGACCCCTGCATCCATGTAGGAGACCTGTAGGCTCTTGGCTCCTGGCTTCCGATCTGCACAGCTCCAGCCGTTGCTGCGAATTGGGGAGTGAACCAGCAGATGGAAGAATTCTCCCTCTCTGCCTTTCCTTCTCTCTCTGTGTAACTCTGACTTTCAAATAAATAAATAAATCTTAAAAAAGAAAATAACATTTCCCTCTGTGATAAAGAAAACATGAAAAGTGGTACAGCGTAAACACACAGCCATTGGAATATGCAAGGATTTCAAAACTTTTTTGCCCTGTAATTAATGTGTCTTTTAATTCCGTTTTCCACATTCTTTTTGAAGTACCCATGTATCTGTAGTAGAGGAAGAAAAGTATTAATAGTGATTATATCTTTGTGGTAGGAATTCAGGTGGTTTTTATTGTCTTCTTGTATTTTTAAATGTGTACCTCCTCATCAATATGTATGGATTTGTAGTTAGGGTCAGCACTCTGAGTGCTGTGCGTGTTTGCTGTTTCCCAGCGTAGCTGCTGAAACCACGCCCTGTTTTCCAGGTGGGAACGAATGACGGCCCGGAAGTGGTGGTGGTGGAGCTGTGCTGTTCCCGGGACTCTGGGGACTGTCCTTTCCTGATCTCCGCACACTTCCTGCTGGCTGATGGCGTGCAGGTGATGCTCTGTGTACTGATCCCTGTGTGTTTATCCAACCCCTGTTCACAACTATTGCAGTGTCCTTAAAACTGGTCAGTGAGCCAGCCAGCCTGCTCCCCTTGCTTTTCTTACCTGATGTCAGCTCAAGCTGCTGTAACAAATTCCACAGGCTGGGGGCTCAGACAACAGACATTTCTCACACTGCTGCAGGCTGCACCTCCAAGGTCAAGGTGCAGCAGGATTGGTTTCCTCTGAGGTCTTGCTCCCTGGTTTGCTGTATCCTCACATGGTCTTCTCCTCTTCTTAAGGACTCCAGTCATACTGGATCAGAATCCACTCACATCACTTTATTTTACTTAAAAAAAAATTTTTTTTTGAGGTTCATTTACTTATTTGAAAGGCAGAGTTACAAAGAGAGAAGCATCTTCCATCCACTGGTTCATGCCCCAAATGGCTGCAAATGCTGGGGCTGGGCCAGGCCAAAGCCAGGAACCTGGAGCTCCATCCAGATCTGCCATGTGGGTAGTAGGAACCCAAGTACTTGGCCCATCTTCCAATGCTTTCCCAGGTACATTATCAGGAAGCTGGATCTGAAGTGGATTAGCCAAGACTAGAACTGGTGCTCATATGCGATGCTGGTGTCATTGGCCGCAGCTTAGCAGGCAGTGGGTTTGCCTCCTGCACCACAACACTAGCCCCACTCAACTACATCTTTTTTTTTTTTTTTTTTTTGACAGGCAGAGTGGACAGTGAAAGAGAGAGACAGAGAGAAAGGTCTTCCTTTGCCATTGGTTTACCCTCCAATGGCCTCCGCGGCTGGCGGGCTGCGACCAGTGCACCGCACTGATCCGAAGGCAGGAGCCAGGTGCTTATCCTGGTCTCCCATGGGGTGCAGGGCCCAAGCACTTGGGCCATCCTCCGCTGCACTCCCTGGCCACAGCAGAGAGCTGGCCTGGAAGAGGGGCAACCGGGACAGAATCTGGCGCCCCGACCAGGACTAGAACCCAGTGTGCCGGCGCTGCAGGCGGAGGATTAACCTAGTGAGCCGCGGCGCCGGCCTCAACTACATCTTAAAGTCTCTGTATACAGGGCCGGCACTGTGCATAGTGAGTAAAGCCACCACCTGCAGCATCAGCATCCCATATGGGCACCTGTTCTAGTCCTGGCTGCTCCACTTCTGATCCAGCTCCCTGCTAATGAGCCTGGGAAAGCAGCTGAAGATAACCCATGTACTTTGGCTCCTGCACCCTCATGGGAGACCCAAAAGAAATCCTGGCTCCTGTCTTTGGATTAGCCCAGCTCCAGCCATTGCAGCCATTTGGGGAGTGAACTAGTGGATAGCAGATCTCTCTGTCTCTCTCTCTGTAATTTCAAAATAAATAAATAAATCTTTTTTTAAAAAAACTTTATGTACTTATACAATCTCACTCTGAGGTACTGGGGGTCAGGACTGTGCATTTCAACCAAGTGGAAATGGTTTCCCTTTGGAGTGTGGGAGGTAAGGACAGCACACCAGACCAGAGCATCACAGGGTCCTGCCAAAGAGAATAGTCCCTGAGAAGGAGACACATGGGATTCCTGCCCTGTTCCACACCACTTATGGGACATTTTTCTAATGTGTAAACCTCTAAAGCAATCCCTTAATACGTTCATCAAGCACCACCTGCTGTGTACTAAGAATCTAGTGCAGCTGGAACCCAAAGAGAAAACACTCTTGTCACTTTGACCCTCAGAAATCACCACCTGGATGGAAGCACACCCACTGTGACAGTGCTGCTACCCAAATGTGTGTGCAGCATACAGGGTCGGTCGGGGTCACAGAGCCCTGGGAATGGCAGAGGAGACTATGCAAAGGCCATGACCCTTACCCTAGGTCAATACCAACTCAGGAGCACAGTTCTCAGCTAAAGCATGTAAGAGACAAAAACAAATTCAGTTAATGCCTAAAGTTCAAATAAAATGTGAAACATGCCAGGTGTCTTCTCAACTATTCAGTTACAGATCCACCGTGGTCCAGGAAACAGCAGAACACCCAGCACTGCTCAGTGGGAGGGGCTCACAGGCACTGGACGTGTCTTACTGTGCCTCCTCCCCAGGTGTCAGCTCAGGTGCAAGGCAAGGATACGCAGGTGCATACAGATCCACCTGCCCCACAGGAACCCTTAGCTCTTATACCATCAGCCTTGGTTCCAGATGCCCTCGGGGAAACACCACTTACAGGAGTCATCATTGAGAGGGAAGCCCAGGGTCTGGGTCTCCCACCATTTGTTCATGAACTCCCAGTCTCTGTGCAGTGTATCAGGGAGAGGCCATATTGGCCAAGCAATTTTGCCAGTGTAACAGCTGACATTCTCACTGCCATCAGGTTTCCATGGGAACAGCTAAAAAGTTAATCCAAGGTCAGAGACATCCAGGAAGGAGACTTTGAACCCAAATTGTTAACTTTGAACCCAGAATGTGTACTATGTTTTGTGGAGGGTTTAGTTGTTTGGGTAAAAAACAAGTAAACATGAAGTAGAAAGCCTTGATACTAGAATGTGTTACAATGTTCTTTCTCCTGTCGGTCCAGGGAACTTTCCAACCTTAGCCAGCCAGAGTCTAGAACTCTCCTTGGGTGAGCCTGTCCACCTTGCAGAAATGAGTGACCTCTTAACCAGAAATGAAAGAGCTCCTCTGCAGTTTACTCTTCTTAATAAAAATGTTTTGGAGCAAGCATTTGGTGTGGAGGTCAAGATACTGTTTAAGGGGCCAGCACCATGGCTCACTTGGTTAATCCTCCGCCTGCAGTGCCGGCATCCGATATGGACACTGGGTTCTAGTCCCGGTTGCTCCTCTTCCAGTCCAGCTCTCTGCTGTGGCCCAGGAGGGCAGTGGAGGATGGCCCGAGTGCTTGGGCCCTGCACTCGCATGGGAGACCGGGAAGAAACACCTGGCTCCTGGCTTCAGATTGGCACAGTGCCGGCCATGGCGGCCATTTGGGGAGTGAACCAATGGAAGGAAGACCTTTCTCTCTCTCTCTCTCACTGTCTGTAACTCTACCTGTCAAAAAAAAAAAAAAAATGAGATGTTGCTTAAGAAGTCTACATCCCATATCTGAATGCCTGGATTCAAGTCCTGGCTCCTCTCCCAAATCCAGTTGCACTCTAGGAAGCAGTGGGTGATGGCTCAAGTGGTTGTGTCCGTCCATCTGTGTAGGAGACCTGGACTGAGTTCCTAGCTCTCAGTTTTGACCTGGCCCAGCCCTGACTGTTGAAGGCATTTGGGAAGTGAGCCAGCACATGGAGATCTGCCTGTCAGTCTCATTCTGTCTTTCTCTCTGCCTGTCAAATAAGTAAAATAATTTTTTTTGACAGGCAGAGTGGACAGTGAGAGAGAAAGAGACAGAGAGAAAGGTCTTACTTTGCCGTTGGTTCACCCTCTAATGGCCGCCGTGGCCAGCACGCTGCGGCCAGCGCACCACGCTGATCCGATGGCAGGAGCCAGGTACTTATCCTGGTCTCCCATGGGGTGCAGGGCCCAAGCACTTGGGCCATCCTCCACTGCACTCCCTGGCCACAGCAGAGAGCTGGCCTGGAAGAGGGGCAACCGGGACAGAATCTGGCGCCCCGACCGGGACTAGAACCTGGTGTGCCGGCGCCGCAAGGCGGAGGATTAGCCTAGTGAGCCGTGGCGCCGGCCAGTAAAATAATTTTTTTTTTTTGACAGGCAGAGTGGACAGTGAGAGAGAGAGACAGAGAGAAAGGTCTTCCTTTTGCCATTGGTTCACCCTCCAATGGCTGCCGCGGCCGGCGCGCTGCGGCGGGCGCACCGCGCTGATCCGGTGGCAGGAGCCAGGAGCCAGGTGCTTTTCCTGGTCTCCCATGGGGTGCAGGGCCCAAGCACCTGGGCCATCCTCCACTGCACTCCCTGGCCACAGCAGAGAGCTGGCCTGGAAGAGGGGCAACCGGGACAGAATCCGGTGCCCCGACTGGGACTAGAACCCGGTGTGCCGGCGCCACTAGGCGGAGGATTAGCCTAGTGAGCCACGGTGCCGGCCTAGTAAAATAATTTTTAAAAATCATTTTTGGGGACAGCATTGTGGCATAGTGGGTTAAGCCACCACCTGGGACACTGGCATCCCATATGGGCACCAGTTCGAGTCCTGGTTTCCCCACTTCTGATCCAGTTCCCTGCTAATGCACCTGGAAAACAGCAGAGGATGGCCCAAGTCTTTGGGTGCCTGAACCCATGTAGGAGACCCAGAAGAAGCTCTTGGCTCCAGCCTGGCCCAGCCCTTGTGCTGTGGCCATTTGAGAAGTCAACCAGTAGATGGAAGATCTCTCAATCTCTCTGTCTCTCATTCTCTCTGTGTAACACTGACTTTAAAATAAAATAAACAAATCTTTAAAAAATCATTTTGATGGAAATATTCCAAAATTATGATAAATTCTACCTACTTTAAAATTATTTATATATTTAATTTCATTTTATTTACAAGGTCCAGAGACAAAGACAAAAGGACAAGTTGAGATCTTCCCTCCATTCGTTCATTCCCCAGTGCCAATAACAGCTAGGGCTGGGCCAGCCTGAAGTCAGGAGCCAGGAGTTCTGCTTGGACTTCCCACGTGAATGGCAGAAACCCAAGAATTTGAGCCATCATCTGCTGCCTCCTGGAGTGTGCATTAGTAGAACCCTGGATTGGAAGTAGAGGAGTTGGGACTTGAACCCAGGCACTGAAGTATGGCATGACTTGCAAGTTAGTGACAAACTTCAAAGCTACTTAGAATAGGAGATAAAATAAGAATCTGAAGGCTCTGAATGAACATTTGAGTCAGCTGGTGCTGTGGCTCAATCGGCTAATCCTCCACCTGCGGCGCTGACACACTGAGTTCTAGTCCCAGTTGGGGTGCCGGATTCTATTCCTGTTGAAATCATAGAATTAAAGAATAATTAGTTATTTTTTAAAAAAGATTTTATTTAATTATTTGAGAGGTAGAGTTATAGACAGAGAGAGGGAGAAGCACCTGGCTCCTGGCTTCAGATCAGTGTGGTGCACCGGCTGCAGCGGCCATTGGAGGGTGAACCAATGGTAAAGGAAGACCTTTCTCTGTCTCTCTCTCTCTCCCTGTCCATTCTGCCTGTCAAAAAAAAAATTTTTTTTTTTAGTGACTCCCCAAGGAGTCACATGGTCTTTTCTCTCTGTTGTGCCTGCTCAGTCTTTTTCATTTTACTCCCAGGTTTTAGGCTGTTTTAGGTTTAAGTAACTCCTTCATGGCAGAGATCTTATGCCTTGTGTGTGTTCAGTATACAGTAGGTATAAATAAAATAAATAAAATAAAGATGGATGTGTGAATAAGTTATTGTGCCCTTGCTGTATACTATCATTCACAGACTAGAAGACAGGCCACTGTAAAGAAAACCTCTGCAGAAGCAAGTGAATATTATGAAAACTACATTGAAGAGCTGAAGAAGCAGGGATTTCTACTAAGAGACCATTTCACACCCAAAGCCACCCAGTTAGCATCTGGAAAACTGCAAGCAGTAAGATTGATTTGTGCATGTTTATGGATTGAATATTTTGATAGGCGTGTGTTCTTTCTTAAACACAAAAGACTGGCAGGAGAGAAGAGGAGGAGTTAGGGAGAGGAAAGGTGGGCCCCTAGACAAGCATGGAAGCTGAGTGGGGAGCGAGTCCCAGGCCCAGCCGTGAAAGGTATTGCGTATTTCAACAAAATCCACTCACAGCATTTGAAAGATTTCATGACAGTTTAGGCCATGAGCAAGGGCTGTCAACCTTGACTGCGTGTGCTTAATGCCAGTACCAGACCTGGAGCTTACACGGTGAAGGGAAAGGCAAGGGGAAAACTGAAATGAGAAGAAAAGAGCTGAGGGGCGGGGAGAGGAGGCTCAGAATCAGAGAAGAGAGTGGAGGAGGTGGAGGCCCGGAGTATTACAGTGACTCTGTCTCAGTCTGTTTCCTGATACTGTAACAAATACCTGGAGCTGGATATTTTATAAGTAAAGAGGGCTCTGGATTCTGGTGGCAGGAGAGTCCCAAGAGCTGGTGTCAGAACATGGCAGAGAAGCAGAAAGACTGGGCATTTCCTCCAGAAAAGCACTCCCCCTTCTGTGGACTGGGTCCCCTCAGACCACAAGGCCTCACCTCCCATGCTTCCAGCTCTGACCCCTGCGGGGATGCAGGCCTGTCCTGTGAGGCTCACACTGTTGGGATGCTGGGGCAATGATGGCGTTCTTCGACAAGAAGTATCAGAGACAGTTTTGATGAACATGTCCATTTATTATCAGGCACAAGCTTTTACAGGGCAGGCAAAGAGGAGAGTAGCTAATTCAGGGCAACACTAATTCTATAGGATAAAGCCAATACTGGCACCTCTATGCTTCTCCAATCAGCTTGAAGGTCACGTAACCCACATAGCCTTCCAGGTGGTCTTTATGGGTCTGGGCCACACCCAGGAGCTGTTTACTTGGTTGACAATTACAATGTTCTTCAACAGGAAGTGGGAATGAGGGAAATGTGCCTGGGGCTTCTGCCACCTGCCAGCAGTCAGGTCATGTGTGGGTACCAGTGTTCTGAGCCCCCGACCAGGGCCTTTCCCAGGAGGCATGGTATGCCATGACCTCTTAACCTCCTGCATGGGCTAGGCAGGCAGTCTGCCAGCCAGGCACAGGATCACCTGCAGTGGGACACACTTGAGCAGCACCCAAACAGTGGCACCAGGCTCAGGTGAATTACTTCTCTCACCTCTGCTTTCACCCAGCTCACTCACAAGGCCTTTTTGGTGGTGTTTCTTTGTCGTGTTGCAGTTGCTTTTGGAGGAGGTCCTGGGCGCCAGCACACTGAGCACAGAGGTGAGCGATTTGGTGGAGCTGCTATGGGCCGAAGCCCTGGGCCATCTGGAGCACACACTGCTGAAGCCAGTGAACAAGATCAGCCTCAATGATGTGAGTCAAGTGCCTGAAACACCGCGGGACAAACTACTTCCTGGCTGCTTAGCTCAAGTAGTAATGCTATGTGTGCATGCTAGGTAGATTGTTTTGGAATTCATTTCTGGCTGTTCCTTCCTAAGATCCTGAAGAAAGGAAACATTAGGAGCGGGGCAGGGTGGGGAAGAGGGGAATAAGCCTCCCAGGAACCCAGACATCCCTTTCTGGCATTATCAACCCCTGGATGACCTGAAGTCGGCATTCAATGCAGGCTAATTAAGAGGCCAAAAGGTTTGTAATAGACCTGAGGGTGATGGCTGGTCTTGATCCTAGTTGGATGCCCGGGCTCCAAGCTGCACCGCAGTCTCATACCTTCTGAGTATCTTGGGCAAGGCAGGTGTGCTCTGGTCCCCAGAAAGCATGCTTCCCTCCTGTAGTGTGTGTAATTGCAAGTGAAAGAGCAAATGAAAGAGGATCTCTCCAATGGGACAACTTGTGCACTTGCGTTGTCATGTGGAAATAGTACAGTTTTTCTCTATAGGTTTAAATTCATTTATTTTGGGGAGAACAGTTCCCCAGGGCAACAAGCATGAAGCACTTGTGTAATGAGAAACACGATCCAGGGGTCTTGTTCCTGCCTTGATGCGGGCATCTTTCCACATGGGAAAAGCAAGTCTCCTCCAGTTGTATTAGTATCTCTTTCTCTGTGTGTGCATATGAGGGCTCTTCAAAACCTTCCTGGAAAAACTAGGCATAGATTTCCAAAAAAATTGTTTGCCCCAAATAAGCGTACCTTTTAATTCCACTCTTCCATGAACTTTTTGAAGTACCCTTGTGCACATATGGATACAAGTGCATGGAGGTTCTTTCTTGTACGTCATCTGAGCCCAGTTTTGGAGGAATCCTCCTGGCATCATCCTCACAAATGAGATGTATTTCCAAGCAACATCCTCATTCAGTTCATGCAGCTAACAGTAAACCATGGATAATTGTGCTGTGCCCAACAATTATTTTTGATATTGTTATACATGCTCATTCATGTATGAGCTACATTTAATTTTTAATAAGCATATTTGATCTCTTTAAAGGTGAGCAAGGCAGAGGGAATTCTCCTTCTAGCAAAGTCAGCACTGAAAAATGGAGAAACAGCAGAGCAATTGCAAAAGCTGATGGCTGAGTTCTACAGATTAATACCTCACAAAGGCCCAGCCACTGAAGAAGTGAATCTGAAACTGTTAGCTAAAGAAGAGGACCTCTGCCAGGTAAAATTCTGAAATAGGAAATTTAATTCAAAATATGTTTGGGTGGAGGGTGGTCCTTAAAAACCTGATGAATGGGGCCAGCGCTGTGGCCAAGAGGGAAAAACTGCTGCCTGCAATTCAAGCATCCCATATGGTCACCAGTTCGAGTCCCAGCCTCTCCACTTCCGATCCAGCTCCCTGATGATGCACCTGGGAAAGCAGTAGAAGGTGGCCCAAGTCCTTGGGCTCCTGCATCCACATGGGAGACCCGGAAGAAGCTCCTGGCTCCTGCCTTCAGATTGGCCCAGCTCCAGGCATTGTGGCCATTTGGGGAGTGAACCAGCAGATGGAAGACCTCTCTCTCTCTCTCTCTCTCTCTCTCTCTCTCTCTCTCTTTGTAACTCTGCCTTTCAAATAAATAAATAAATAAATCTTAACACCAAAGCACAACAGTCATCTTCAGGGCTATGATCAAAAATAGTTGAACCATTCTAAAATGTTCTGGGTCTTTAGGGAAGTTTTCTAAAGTATGTTTCTAAACATGTGCAGAAATATGTTTAGAATCACCATGTTGTGAACATAATTTCCAGGTCATGGCTTAAACAATGAGGACATCAGTGGTCCTAGACAATTACAAGCCCAGGTGTGGGGTGGCTGATGGCCCAGTCCCCTGAAGATGATGCCTGTTTGCCAGTGGTATCATCAGGGTATCTGTGCTTTCCATCTCATGGCTCTTCCTATAAAGCAGCTCCTCCCCTCCCAGCCTGCCTCCCTCAGTTCCAGCGTGGAGCTGTAGTAGTCCCAGCAGCCCATCTGGAATACTTGCTTTTGTGTCTCAGAGGGCAAGTCTCCAGCAGACACCTACTTCTCAGGGCAGAATTGAGTCTCCTGAGCTTCCTTGAGCCAGTCACACGTGAGGGGAGCAGAATGACCGCCTCTTCCGAAATGGGCCATCTCCTCCGAGCTGGGAGGAGGCAGAAGGCTCTGTTGGCTAAGAGGAAGTGGCTGCAGCGGCCACTCCTGCCTCAGACGAGGCTGACTTCCCACTCAAGTCTGAGTTGCCTCTGTTTGGGCAGGACTGGGACAAAATGGGAGATGCAGACCAACCTTCAGGGGCATCTGTGGAATGGTGAGTGTTCGGGGGAAATGTTAGCCTTGAACGAATCCCCAGAAGCATCAAAGTTAGTGAAGAACCAGTAAATGAGAGGAGATACAAGGCCCTTCCAAGTGTGAAGTTCCATGAGATGTAGAATCTCATGAGCACATTTGCTGAGAGGGAAAGTACGCAGATCAGCCAAATACATTTTTAAATGTTTGTTTATGTATTTATTTGAAAGGCAGAGTGACTCAGAGAGATGGAGAAAGAGAGATCTTCCATCCACTGATCCCCAGATGGCCACAACCACCGAGTCTGGGCCAGGCTGAAAACAGAAGCCTAGAACTCCATCCTGAAGAAGTGGCCATCAAAGAAGGAAGTACTTTTCTCCAAAGGGAGGACAGAACTTCCACTTCACTAATGGCCTTATCTAAATTCTGATGGAGTTTGTGGATTCAAAAGGCTTCCATAGTCTAGAGCAGAGCCTAGTCATGTCAAGAGCCTCAGGTGGTCATTGATGTCATACATAACAATTAACACTCGTTAAATTAACAACAGGAGTCACTGTACACTAACTCCCCATGCAGGACCTCTGTCCTCAATGCGTTGTAGTCTGAGAGTTGAATGTGATACTTATTCTCAAACAGTTTGTGTTTGTGTGTATATGTGTGTGTCTGCAAATTGTTGAAATCTTTACTTAGTATAGAGTTGGTCTTCTGTGTACAAAGTTTTTGAAAATGAATTTTAATGGAAAATGGGACTGAGAAGGGGAGAGGGAGGAGGTGAAGGAGGGGTGAGAGTATAGGTGGGAGGGCAGATATCATGGGGAGAATAACTATATTCCTAAAGTTGTACATATGAAATTTGTATTCCTTAAAAATTAATTAATTAATTAATTAACAAAACAACTTCATCCTGGTCTCCTTCATGGGTGACAGGGGCCCAAGTACTTGGGCTGTCTTCTGCTGCTTTGCCAGGTGCGTTAGCAGGGAGCTGGATCAGAAGCAGAGTAGCTGGGACTCAGACTGGCCTTCTGATACAGGATGTTCCCATTGCAAGTGGTGGTTTAACCTGCTGCACTACAATGCCAACTCTTCCAGATAGTTCTTAATTGGAACTTACATTTCGAATAGACAAAAATATCTACGTGATTCAGAAGTCAAAATTATGGTAAAAATACGTACTCAGAGAAATCTCTGGTCCACCCTTTCCCTCTCCCTCTGCTTTCCAAATAAATAAAATAAATCTTTGAGAAGGGGGGACAGTGTTGTCACATAGTGAGAAAAGCCGCAACCTGTAATGCCGGCATCCCACGTGGGCTCTGCTTCGTGTCCCAGTGGCTCCATGTGGTCTGGCTCAAGACTACACTCCTGGAGTGCAGAACACACTCAGTGAACTTTTTTTAAGCTGAATTGGACTTGAAGTCTACTGATCCTAAGATCCCATTTACTCACTATCCACTCCTCACTGTGGGATCTTTTTTTAATTTTAATTTTTTAAAGATAAACACTTTTTTAAAGATTTATTTATTTATTTGAAAGTCAGAGTTACACAGAGAGAGAAGAGGCAGAGAGAGGGAGAGAAGTCTTCCATCCGATGGTTCACTCCTAAATTGGCAAAAATGGCTGGAGCTGCGCCAATCTGAAGCCAGGAGCCAGGAGTTTCTTCCAGGTCTCCCACACAGGTACAGGGGCCCAAGGACGTGGGCCATCTTCCACTATTTTCCCAGGCCATAGCAGAGAGCTGGATTGGAAGTGGAGCAGCCGGGTCTTAGAACTGGTGCCCATATGGGATGCCAGCTCTTCAGGCCAGGTCATTAACCCGCTGCACCACAGCGCCGGCCCCACACTGTGGGATCTTAAGCAACTGATTTAACTTCTCAAAGTCTCACTCTCCTTATCTGTATGACATTTCTTCAAGAAATTCATGGAAAATGGATTTAAAAAATTGAACTTTATTTTTGTGCCAAAATTTTTTTTGAATCTGTGCATAGTTTTTTCATTGCATGTTATTTTCCATGAACTTTTTGAATACCCTTTGTATAATGAGGATAATAAGCCCTCCTCCGCTATTACAGTAAGGATTAAATGAATGATGTAGCGGTCAGCATTGTGGTACAGAGGATTAATTCACTGTTTGGGATCCCTCCTCCCATATTAGAGCATTGGTACACCTGCAACACCAGTATCCCACATGGGCACCACTGGTTCAAGTCCAGGATGCTCCACTTCCAATCTAGCTCCTTGCTAATGCGTCCAGGAAAGCAGCAGAAAACAGCCTAAGACCTTGGGTCCTTGCACCCATGTGGGAGACCCAGGTGGTATTCCAGGTTCCTGGCTTCAGCCTGTCCCAGCCCCAGCTGTTGTGGCCATTTGCTGAGTGAGCCAGAGGATAGAAGATCTCTCTCTCCCTCTCTCTGTCTCTCCCCCTCTCTTTGTAAATTTGCCTGTCAAATAAATAAATCTTTTTTTTTTTTAAAAAAAGGCCCAACTGCTCCACTTCTGATGCAGCTCCTTACTAATGCTCCTGGGAAGCTGCAGAAGATGGCCCAAGTGTTTGGGCCCCTGTCACCCGTGTGGGAGACCTGAGTGGAGTTCCAGGTTCCAGGCCTAGCCTGGCTGTTGCAGCCATCTGGGAACTGAACCAGCTGATGGAAGATATTTTTCTCTCTCTGTCTCTCCCTCTCTCTGTCACTCTGCCTTTCAAATAAAAAAAAAAACTTAAAAAAAAATAAATGAACCATCTTCCAGGCCAGCTCTCTGCTGTGGCCAGGGAGTGCAGTGGAGGATGGCCCAAGTGCTTGGGCCCTGCACCCCTTGGGAGACCAGGATAAGTAACTGGCTCCTGCCATCGAATCAGCTTGGCGGCCATTGGAGGTTGAACTAACGGCAAAGGAAGACCTTTCTCTCTGTCTCTCTCTCTCTCTCTCTGTCCACTCTGCCTGTCAAAAAAAAAAAAAAAAAAAAAAAAAGAGAGATACATATTGCTATCACCGTGCATTGTGTGATCAGAGAACCAACTTTGTTAACCTTAATACACCACTAATAGAAAATATTGATCCAAAGCTTTGGTGAAAAAACTGGTTTTCCCATTCCTTTTGAGAAAAATGTTAATGTGATATAAATAGACATTTTGATAGGTGCTGAGTCTAATGTCTGTATATCACTTCCGCCTACAGCTAATAAGGGACATGGTTAATGTCTGTGAAACTAATTTGTCCAAACCCAACCCACCATCTCTTGCCAAATACCGAGCTTTGAGATGCAAAATTGAGTACGTTGAACAGAATACTGAAGAATTTTTTAAGATTAAAAAAGAGATACTGCAGAGCAGCCGCAGGTAAGCCTAAAGGAAGTACCTCAGGAGCTGCGATGATGTGTTGCCCTTTGAGGTGCTGTTAAAAAAGGGTTCAGCCTTGTAACTTGGATGCTGGTTAAGGCATCCGCAGCCTACATTGGAGTGCCTGGGGCGGATACCGGGCTTCAGCTCCTGACTCCCGCTTCCTGCTAGTGGGAGGCAGTGGTAATGGTGCTGCTGTGAAAACTTAGACGCTTGGCCAGCGCCGTGGCTCACTTGACCAATCTGCCATCTGCGGCGCCAGCACCCCGGGGTTCTAGTCCCGGTTGGGGCACCGGGTACTAGTCCCAGTTGCTCCTCTTCCAGTCCAGCTTTCTGCTGTGGCCCAAGAGGGCAGAGGAGGATTGCCCAAGTGCTTGGGCCCTGCACTCACATGGGAGACTGGGAGGAAATACCCGGCTCCTGGCTTCAGATTGGTGCAGCGCCGGCCCTAACAGCCATTAGGGGAGTGAACCAACGGAAGGAAGACCTTTCTCTCTGTCTCTCTCACTGTCTAACTGCCTGGCAAAACAAAACAAAACAAAACAAAACAAAAAACCAGATTCTCTCCGTTTCATTTCGCCAATAACAATTTCTTCATGTTGACTTTTTTAATGACAAAGTTGCTGTTCTTGGCTGAATGTTTAGAAAATATGTAAAAATAGTTAACATCACCCCAAATGGTGCCACCTCATTGGTTTAGCACCTGATGGGTGGCTTTCTTGCCGGCTAAATCTTGAGGTGGCCCAGGGCATCCCCAGGAGTGTGTGGTGGTCTATGATTATGGAGTCCTGGGGGCTCCACCCTCACAACCTAATTTAGTCGAATCACTTCCCGCCAGCCCCCCACCCCACCTCCACACACTGTGATAATTCTACCCTGGTCCCATCATTCGCTCACCACTTTGGGGCCCAAGCCTGTAACACATGGGCCTCTGGAGGAACTCCCAGACTAGTATGCAGACCACAGCAGTCGCCCACCCAGAGCCACTGTGGGTTCCCGCTCCCTCCTCTTCACATCACGTGTCAGTTCTGCTGCCCGATGCCTTCAGCCCTCAGCATCTTGCTGCTTACTGTGTTGTTAGTCCAGACCATGCCATCCCATCCTCTCTGCTACAACATCTTTCCAGATGTTCTTTTCCACTGCTGCCCTATCCAACCCATCTTCCCACAGCAGCCAGCTCTGTCGTAAAATATGCATTATATTATGCCATATTCCAGTAAATCTCATCTCCAAAGGGAGGCCTTACTCAATCACCCTTTCTCAGACCTGGTTGGTTTCCTGGGTAGCACTTAAAGTAAGGTGTTTAGCACCATCTTAATTTTTGTCTGTCTCATTAGAATGTATGTTTCAGGAAACCAGAGACCATGTTATTTTATTTCTCATGTCTGAATGTTTGGCACAGATGATGTCTGTTGAATGAATGAACCCGTTCAATCTGTTTTCACTGTGTATGTGTGTATTAGGGGTCTTCCGAAAGTTTGTGGAAAATGGAATTAAATGATAGGTTTATTTGGGTGAAGAAACAATTTGAAATCCATACAGAGCTTTTTGATAATGTACATTTTTCTTTTTTTAAAAAAGATTTATTTATTTATTTGAAAGAGTTACACAGAGAGAGAAGGAGAGGCAGAGAGAGAGAGAGAGAGAGGGAGGGAGAGAGAAAGACAGAGGGCTTCCATCCACTAGTTCACTCCTCAATTGGCTGCAACGGCCCAAGCTGCACCGATCCGAAGCCGGGAGCCAGGAGCTTCTTCCGGGTCTCCCACATGGGTGCAGGGACCCAAGGATTTGGGCCATCTTCTACTACTTTCCCAGGCCATAGCAGAGAGCTGGATTGGAAGTAGAGCAGCCAGGACTAGAACCGGTGCCTATATGGGATGCCATTACTGCAGGCAGCAGCTCTACCTGCTACACCATAGCACCGGCCCTGACCCTTTTACATTTAAGTGAAACTATACACTCAAATGGTTGCTTAATGATAGGAATACATTCATATGAAATGTGTCATTAGGCAATTTCATTGTTCTGTGAACGTCTTAGAGTGCATGTACACTAATCTAGATAGTATAACGTACTACACCTAGGCTGTAAAATAAAAATGAGTTCACAGCATAGCCTATGGCTCCCAGGGCTGTGATGAACAAAATACAAGAAAGATTAAATCAAGTGCAGGGGCCAGCTTCTGGCACCGCAGACTAAGCCACCACCTGTGACACTGGCATCCTGTATGAGCATTGCTTCTTGTCCCAGCTGCCCCACTTGTGACCCAGCTCCTTGCTAATGCACCTGGGGAAGCAGCGCAAGTTGCTCTGGAGCCTGGGCTCCTGGGTGAAGCTCCTGACTCCTGGCTTCTGCCCAGCCCAACCCCAGCAGTAGTGATCATCTGGAGAGTGAACCAGCAGATGGAAGATCTCTCTGTCTCTCTGTGTGTGTCTCTCTCCCTCTCTGTAACTCTACCTTTCAAATAAATAAATAAAACTTTTTTAAAAAGTAAACTGGGGGTTGGTATTGTGGCATAGCAGATAAAACCTGCACCTGCGTCGCCAACATCTAATATGGGTGCTGGTTCAAGTCCCAACTGCTCCAGTTTCAGTCCAGCTCCCTGCCAATGTGCTGGGAAAACAGCGGAGGATGGCCCAAGTGCTTGGACCCCTGTATCCATCTGGGAGACCCAGAGGAAGCTCCTGGCTCCTGGTTTTGGTCTGGACCAGCCCCGGCTGTTGGTGGCCTTTGGGGAATGAACCATTGGGTAGAAGATCTCTTTCTCTCTCTCTTTCTCTTTCTCTCTCTGTAACTCTGCCTTTCAAATCAATAAAACAATTTTTTTCCCTTCAAATCAGAACTTCTAAGAGTTGTTTTTTTTTTTTTTTTTTTTGACAGGCAGAGTGGACAGTGAGAGAGAGACAGAGAGAAAGGTCTTCCTTTGCTGTTGATACACCCTCCAGTGGCCGCTGTGGCCGGTGCGCTGCGGCCGGCGCATCGCGCTGATCCGAAGGCAGGAGCCAGGTGCTTCTCCTGGTCTCCCATGGGGTGCAGGGCCCAAGGACTTGGGCCATTTCCACTGCACTCCCTGGCCACAGCAGAGAGCTGGCCTGGAAGAGGGGCAACCGGGACAGAATCCGGCGCCCCGACCAGGACTAGAACCCGGTGTGCCGGCGCCGCAGGCGGAGGATTAGCCTAGTGAGCCGTGGCGCTGGCAATAAAACAAATCTTAAAAAAAAAAAAAAAATTAAAAAAGTAAACCATTTCCAGGATGTATTGTGTTATGGGTCATGGAATTAGTTTTCTGACAGTGGACATTTGGGCCGTTTCAGGAATTCAATGGTTAATAATGATATTTTGTGTGTCTTTTGCTTCCAATTATGTAATCTCAAGGTCTTTCTTCTGCTTCTTACAGGAAAAGCCCAGTGAACATCTTGCAGATATTTAGAGTTGGCAAAGTGAATGAAACCACAGAGTTTCAGAGCACACTTGGCAACGTGAGGCTCCTGTTGCACGGATCTCCTGTACGGAACCTTGTAGGGATCCTGTCCCGGTAAGAGCAGCCTCACAAATGAGAAATGCTTTCCTTTTCTCTCTAGTTTTTTCTATACGGCATGGGTCTTCTCAGGTAAAATCTGCCAACTTACTGCATTCTAGAGGAAATTATATGCCTCATCATTAAACATACAATTTAAATTATGTATTTTTATTTTTTAATTATGTATTTTTTATTTTTTAAAAAATGTGTTACCTGGGTATGCATTGTTACTGGAACACTGTATCATATGAAGACAAATGATTCAACATTTCATGGCTCTTCATGTGTATCTAGTTTGGGGATAGCCCAATATTTAAAGAGACAGATCTAGAAATTAAACTACCCATATAACGTGGGTTACTAATTCAAAACATAACTCTAGTTTTCTGTTGACTTTGAATAACCACTTAACATTAATGCTGAAACTGAGCTCATGGGGACAGGGGAAAGCCTGATTAAATTTGGTCCTTTAATTAAGTATTTAATAAGAAAATGCAAGATCCACCTGGGAAAAACTTGGAACTGCTATTGCTTAGCATGCCCACATCAGGGTCCTAGCGCCCCATGCTGTTCTGATCCGGCTTACTGCTGATACACCTGGGAGTCAGCAGATGATGGTGTAAATACTTGGGTTCCTGCCACCCATGTGGGAGACCCTGATTAAGTTCCCTGCTTTAGGCTGGTCCAGCCTGGCTGTTGGAGGCATTTGGGGAGCAAACTGGCAGATGGGAGGTCTCTGTCTATTCCTCTCCCTCTGGCTACCCCTCTCTCTGTCACTCTGCCTTTCAAATAAATAAATATTAAGAAAAAAAACCTGCTGTTGATGAACCCAAAAGATATTTGCATTAATCAGAAGGATGTCTTAATTTTCCTCAAACTAATTTATACATTCGGTGCTGTAACAATGAAAGTACCAACAAGATGTTTTTATTTTTAAAAAAATATCTATTTATTTATTTGAAAGGCAGAATTACAGCGAGAAGGGAGAGATATAGAGGTCTTCCATCCACTGGTTCACTCCCCAAATGGCTGCAACAGCAAGAGCTAGGCCAATCCAAAGCCACAAACCAGAAGCTTCTTCCAGGTCTCCCATGTGGGTGTAGGGGCCCAAGCACTTGGAACATTCTCTGCTGCTTTCCCAGGTGCATTAGCAGGGAGCTGGATAGGAAATGGAGCAACTAGGACTTGAACTGTTGCCCACATGGGATGCGTCACAGGCGGCAGTTTTATCCATTATGCCACAACACTGGCCCCAGTAACAAGATGTTTTTAAAGAAATTAAAAGCTGCCTGCATCGTGGCACAGCAGTTTAAACTGCCACTTGCAACACCAGCATCCCATATCAGAGTGCTGGTTTGTGTCCTGGCTGCCCTGCTTCTGATCCAGCTTCCTACTAATGAGCCTAGAAATGTCGTGGATCGTGGGCTAAGTGCTTGGGCCCTTGCCCAAGGATGAAGTTTTTGGCTCTTGGCATCTGCCTGGCCCTAACCTGGTTATTACAGCCATTTGGGGAGTAAGCCAGCAAATGGAAGATCTCTGTTTGTCCTTCCCTCTCTGTCTCTCCACCTTTCAAGTAAATAAATCAACCTTTAAAAAAGAAGGAAGAAATTTAAAGCTGCTTTTATAGCATATATTTTTAAAAATTTTGATGGGGCTGTCACTGTGGTATAGCAGCTTAAGCAGCCACCTGCAATGCCAACATCCCATATTGGCACTGGTTCAAGTCCTGGCTGCTCCACTTCCAATCCAGTTCCCTGCTAATGTGCACAGGAAAGCACTGGAGTGCTTGGACCTCTGCATCCATGTGAGAGATGCAGAGGAAGCTCCTAGCTCCTGGCTTCAGCCTTGCCCAGCTCTTGCTGTTGCAGCCATTTGGGGAATGAAGCAGAGGATGGAGGACCTCTCCCTATTTCTCTCTGTAACTCCACCTTTCAAATAAATAAAATAAATCTCTAAAAAAATTTTGACATCACCAGGATAATTCTAAAGATGAATAATAATGAAAAAATTAACTGATCAGACATTAAAAGTATTATAAAACCATATTAATTAAAACAGTGAGGGGATGCATAGATGATTGAACAGAATAAATATGTATCGAAAACTCAGAAGAAAATGAATATAATAAACTCAAAAGCAGAGAGGATATAGGATATGATAAAAGTAGCTTTTACTTCTGCAAGAAAAACTCTAACACTTTGAGGGATTTTCAAAAAGTTTATGGGAAATGCAAATTATGAAGAAATTATGCATGGATTTCAATTTTTGTGCCAAAATAAACATATCTTCCAAATATTTTAAATTTATTCATTTATTTGAGAGGCAGGCAGACATACAGAAAGAGCTCCCATCTGCTGGTTCCCAATTCAAATGCCCACAGCAATTGCGGCTGGGCTGGGATTGGAGCCAGGGGACAGAAACCCAGTCCAGGTCTCAGATGCGGGTGGCAGGAAGCCAGTCATTTGAGTCATTACCACTATCCCCCATGGTCTCCATTAGCAGGAAGCTGGAGTCAGGAACTAGAAGTAGGTGTGAAACCCAGGTACTTTGATGTGGGTGATGCTTTTTAAACAACCACCATCTCTCTATTATTACAAGCCTTAATAAGAAGCTCCTTTTTTTTTCTGGTAAATCGTTGTAATACCCTTTTCTTTTTAGGGGGTTGCTTTTACCCAAAGTGGTTGAAGGTCGTGGCGTGCACAGAACAGACGCCGGAAATCTTGGGAGTGGCATTTATTTCAGCGATTCCCTCAGGTTAGTCTGTTCTGTCCTGAACCAAGAAATTGTCTCTGAGGGCTTTGCTCTCGTCTTCCCCTGCCTTTCCTTGGGGAGGGAATTTCTGACCCAAGAAACACATCGTTGAAAGCAACCAGTTTTCCCGATCTCCTATAGAAGCATCCTTCGAGGTGACTATTTGGGGAAGTTATGTTTGAACTCGTCCTAGTGACTGCACACATGGTTTCTCCCAGGATCGTTACAACAGTGCCCCAGGTCAGTCCTCTTAGTTTGCTCTGTCACAGAACAGAAACAGGAACGCTGCGGGCGGCCAGAGCGCCTTGCCTCAGCTCACGCAGCTCACTTAGGACGAGGGCAGAACATCTTCACTTTTGCAGTCCACAACCTCTCCCCTAATTGCTATTCTTTAAACATTTGTATCATAAATGCTCTTTCCTTTGTACAAAATGTTGCAAAGTAAAAATATTTAGATGCTATATTTTTAAAAACAGTGTGCCATTCAGATGCTTTTAATACAATGGAAGTCCTCTGTAAGTTTGAGCAGCTTGGCTTCCTTTAGTGCAGGGAATCAAAGCTGCTTTTTCTTAATGAATGTTTTTTTCTTCTCTTCTGGCATTCTGGTGCTCTTTTCCTAATGAATGCTTTGCTTCTCTTCCCCACTCTGGTGCTCACTGCGGCAAACTGTGTACATTTTAGAATCTAGCAAAGATTGGCAGGAGCAGTAGAATTCATCTCTCCCTGAGAACAAGTGCTTGGAGCACATGACCTGGCACAACCAAGGGCCACATATACGTTTGCCATCTAAACTTTTAAAATAAATAAGTTCGTAATGAAGTTCTAAGTTGGATATTTGTAGATATCTCAATAGCGGTAAGTTTTGGAATAGTCTTCTGGGGATGTTTTTTCAACCATACCAACTGAGGGTCCCTTATCCTAAATGCATGGGATCAGAAGTGTTTCAGATTTCCAATTTTTGCAACTTTTGGAATATTTGTATATCCATAATGGGAAAGGTTGGGGATGGGACCCACACCTACACGTAGATTCATTAATTTATGTTTCACATACACCCTGCACACCTAGCCTGCAGGTAATTGCATGCATGTTCAGTGCACCTGTGTTTTGACTGCAACCCAGTGCTTGAGGCCTGGTGTGGAATTTTCCATTCTGGTGTCATGCAACACTCAGAACTGTTTTGGACTTTAGAGCACTTCAGATTTGGGATTTCAGAAGAGGGGTGATTGGTCTGCAATAAAATGCTACTGACCCATAGCTGTAAGTTATAAGTCTGCTTATTTCCTTTTCACACGCAGTGCAAGTATTAAATACTCCCACCCCGGAGAGACGGAGGGCACCAGGGTCCTGGTTGTGTGTGATGTGGCCCTCGGGGAATGCATAGAATTCCACAAGAAGGACTTGTCCTTGACCGAAGCCCCACACGGCTACCACAGTGTTCATGGAGTCTCACGAACAGCCTCTCTCAACACAGATTTTGAGGTATTTTTCTATCAAGAAATAGACAAAGAGGGTCCTGGGTGCCCAAAGCACAGCCTCAAGTTTTGCTTCTGCTTAACATTAAAACGATTAATTGTACATCTGCCAAATGAATCAGCAAATCCGATAATCTGCTCTTCGGAGAACATCCGCTGATGAAGGTTTGGGATTATCGCCGTTGTTTCTAACCCCGATTCTTTCCTTTCACTCTAGGATGATGAATTTGTGGTATATAAAACTAATCAGATTAAAATGAAATATATTATTAAGTTTTGCCTGCCTGGGGACCAAGTAAAGAAATTTCACCCTCCTGAAAATACTGAGTTAGAGGAATACAGACCTATGTTTTCAAGCATTTCAAAGGCTGAAGGTAAGACAATTTTATGATATAAAGAACTCAAATATTGTGTTTTCTTTTTTAAAAAAAGATTTATTGTTTTATTTATTTGAAAGACAGAGTTATAGAGAGAGGTAGACACAGAGAGAGAGGACTTCCATCCGCTGGTTCACTCCCCAGATGGCCGCAGCAGCAGGATCTGAGCTGATCCAAAGCCAGGAGCCAGGAGCTTTCTCCAGGTCTCCCACGTGGGTGCAGGGACCCAAGGAGTTGGGTCATCTTCTACTGCTTTCCCAGGCCATAGCAGAGAGCTGGATGGGAAGAGGAGCAGCTGGGACTAGAACCGGCACCCATATGGGATGCTGGCATTTCAGGCCAGGGCATTAACCCACTGCGCCACAGCACCAGCCCCCAAATATTGTGTTTTCAATGAAACTTATATTCACTCTTGGCAAGGATTTCTATGACCCCATACACACATTTTTTCATTTTATTTTTTGTTTTGGACGTGGAGAAACCAGCATGTGTGAGAAAGGTTGAGTGATCTCAAAATTTTGTGTTGTTTTGTTAATACACCCAAGTTGAACTCATTCTCCTCAGAGCATAGCCAATCCTAAAACCCATGGAGCTATTCTGAAATGTCCCAGTACAAGAAGTTTACCAGGGAGATGTGGATTAGGCCATTTTTTGTTGCGATAGTGAAATTCCTAAGGCAGGCTAACTTCATAAAGAAAGGAAGTTTATTTGGCTCACCGTGTGGGGGCTAATATCCAAGGTTGGGTGGTCCCATCGGTTCTTCCTCAGCGGGAGGCCTAACAGCATCATGGTGGGAGCCTGTGTGAGCAATTACACCTCGAAACAGGGAGTCAGACAGTGAGTCAGTTTGTTTGTTTGTTTATTAAGATTTATTTATTTTATTTGAAAGGCAGAGTTACAGAGAGAGAGAGAGAGAGAGAGAGAGAGAGAGAGATCTTCCATCTGCTGGTTCACTCCCCAAATAGCTACTGTGGCCAGGGGTGGGCCAGGCTGAAGTCAGGAGCCAGAAGCTTCTTCTGTGTCCCCCACATGGGTATCAGGGGCCCAAACACTTGGGCCATCTTCCGTTGCTTCCCCAGGTGCATTAGCAGGGGGCTGGATCAGAAGTGGAGCAGCTGGGATTCCAACTGGTGCCCATACGGGATGCCAGAGCCACAGGCAGCAGCTTAACACACTACACCACAGCGCCAGCCCCTGGGTTCACTCTTAATAGCCTGCTCTAGAGAGAGCTCAGCACTCCCACAAGAGCTACTTTAGTCCTTTCTGAGAGCAGTGACCTCCCACTGGGCACCATGTTGAAGGGCTCCACGACCTCCCAGAATCACTACACCAGGGGCCAAGCTCCCAGCGCAAAACCTTTTGGGGGACAAACTCAGACCACATCCCAGTGAAGCAGGGAGGACAGAAAACCCAGTCTGCACAGCTTTAGAATCAAGTTAGGGCCGGCGCCGCAGCTCAGTAGGCTAATCCTCCGCCTTGTGGCACCGGCACACCGGGTTCTAGTCCCGGTCGGGGCACCAGCATGGTGTGCCGGCCGCAGCGCATCAGCCGTGGCGGCCATTGGAGGGTGAACCAACGGCAAAGGAAGACCTTTCTCTCTGTCTCTCTCCCTCACTGTCCACTCTGCCTGTCAAAAAAAAAAAGAATCAAGTTAGGGTTTGTGGGTGAACCTACCACTTTGTAGGCTGTGCCATCTTGAACAGATCGCATGAACTCTCTGAGCTTTGCCTTCTCCCAGATGGAGATGAGAGCATTGTCTGCATCAGTGTTGCCATGGGAACTCAACAGGAAAAGTGAAGGGGTCCCATGGATTGTGATGTGTGGCTGTGTGTTACCAGCAGTACGTGTGTATGAGGGGATGACAGCTTCTCAGAAAATCAGGGTCTCAAGTTTTTTATTTTATTTATTTATTTATTTATTTATTTATTTATTTTTACAGACAGAATTAGACAGTGAGAGAGAGAGAGAGACAGAGACAGAGAGAAAGGTCTTCCTTCCGTTGGTTCACGCCCTCAAATGTCTGCTACGGCCAGCGCGCTGCACTGATCCAAAGCCAGGAGCCAGGTGCTTCCTCCTGGTCTCCCATGCGGGTGCAGGGCCCAAGGACTTGGGCCATCCCCCACTGCCTTCCCGGGCCACAGCAGAGAGCTGGACTGGAAGAGGGGCAACCAGGACAGAATCCGGCACCCCAACCATGACCAGAACCTGTGGTGCTGCTGCCGCAGGCGGAGGATTAGCCAAGTGAGCCACAGCGCTGGCCAAGGGTCCCAAGCTTTTATAGTATGGATTAACAGGAGTATAAGACTCATGAACTTTCGGACTGTGGTCAAATTCTTTTTGTTAGAAATGTGTGAGTTCATGTCTGTTCAAAAACCTACTCCAGTTTTTTCTCTGGAAATCATTAAAAGAAGTAGCTGGCAAGACAGTGTATTTTTGGGGTTGGCGCTGTGGCATAACTGGTAAAGCTGCTACCTGTAGTGCTGGCATCCCATACGGGCACCAGTTTAAGTCCCGGCTGCTCCACTTCCAATCCAGCTCTCTGCTATGGCCTGGGAAAACAGTACAAAATGGTCTAAGGCTTTAGGCCCCTGCACCTGCATGGGAGACCAGAAGAAGCTCCTGGCTCCTGGCTTTGGATCGACGCAGTTCCAGCCATTGCAGCCAACTGGGGAGTGAACCGATGGATGGAAGACCTCTCTCTCTCTCTCTTTCTGCCTCTCCTTTCTGTGTAACTCTTTCAATTAAATGAATCTTTAAAAAAAAAGACAGTGTGTTTATGTATCTAATCATATCATATCTTTATAGCACTTATTATATGATGGGACTGTTTTTCCAAATACTACAGTAGAAGTTTGATTTAGCCTTCCTTGGATTGAATATCTAGAAGGTTTCATATTGCTCCAAAATACTTTTGTGGCATGATAAATAATAGTGACTGATTAATTCACTATTATAACTAGGGAGTGCAGCCAGCCAAATGAATGCTTCCGCTAACTCATTGAGAGAGTCTGAAGACTCTGTGTTTTTGCTTGTGTTTAATTTAACTTTTGGCTTGGACATTTGGCCTAGCACTCAAAATGCTTGTTAAGACACTTGCGTCCATAGCAGAGTACCCAGGTTCAATAACCAGCTCTGGCTCCTAATGTCAGCTTCCAGCTAATGCAGACCCCGGGAAGCAGTGATGGTGCTCCAGTGGTTGGGTTCCTGCCATCCATAATGGAGACCTGGATTGAGTTCCTGACTCCTGGCTCCCACCTGGCGCAGGGCTGGCCATTGCAGGCAGTGAACCAGTAGATGGAAGATCTTGGACTGTCTCTCTGTCTCTCAAATAAAATGAAAATAAGTAAATAAATAAGATAAAGTGAAAATGAAAGCTAACACTGACATTTCCAACACACAGATTATCAGTTGCCAGACACCCAAGCTTCCAGCAACACCCAGGCTGGTCTTCAGGATACCTCTGGGAATTTGATTCCTCTTGAGAATGTTCACATCAAGGGCAGAATAATAGACTTTGTAGCCCAGGTAAGTTCTCTGTGGTTTTATGGTGCTTCAACCAAATAGGTGTACATCATAAGAATCTGATTGCCGTTGCATGAGCTAAACCAACCATATGCATCTCTAAAATCCATTTGGCCCACTGTGATTTGCTGGGCAGTACATGGGAGGGGCTGCCCCCATGGAGCATACCCATAGACATGATAAATGAGTAAAATACCTAACAGGATAGATGGTGATGGATGCCAAAGAGAGAAGTCAATGCAGGGAGTGTAGGAGCTGCCCGGGAAGGCGGGGTTTGAAGGTGCAAACAGGACAGCCAAGGAAGGCCTCACTGGGAAGGTGACATCTGATTACAGACGTGAAGGGAGTGAGAGGTAAATCGAGTGGACTTCCGGGGACACTCATTCCAGGCAGAGGGAATGGTGTGGACAAAGCCCTGAGGTGGGAGCGACATCAAGGAGGCCACTGTGGCAGAGCAGCGGGAAGGGGGAGAGCGGGAGGGGGCGGAGAGCGAGGGGGAGGCTCGAGTCAGGGCATGGGATGTGCCGCCTTGCTCTGAGCCAGTTGGAAGCCTCTGGGAGATGTCTGGCAGAGGGCAGAAGGGGCAGTCCTGTGTTGACAGGAGGCTTGTTGAGAAGTGATACAGGAAAGCAACACCTGTACGGGAGTGTTGTAAGAGGTGGGGCTTGCAGAGGGAGGTGAAGAGTGGGACACGGCACAGCAGAGTCGTTGGTGACCTCGGGGGACAGAGATGATACAGACTGAAGCAAGGGGTCAGCCTTTGTCCTCCACAGTCCTAGTCGCTGCATATGGCTGTTCTGGGGTGGGGGGAGGGGGCAGTGTATGCTTCGCCAGGATGACTTCTGGGCAGGAGCTCAGCAGGCCACACTCCAAGAAGCCTCGGCCCAAAGGGGATGTCTGGGGCCACATCACAGCATCAAATACAGAAAGATGAACTGGCAAGATAGGAATGGGAAAGGACTTGCTTCTGGAAGAATCATGGCAAGAAGAGATGTGGAGCTGGATGAGAAAAGACCCCAGCGTGTTGCTTAGAGGGGGCAAAGCCCCAGAGACATTTCAGAGAGGGGATACCAAGACCCTGAACGGTGACCGGGGCAGAGCAGGTAGGGGTGGAATGCACACAGTCTTGATTAGGATGGCTCAACTTGGAATTTCGCCACTTTATGAAAGTTTGACTTTTACTGATCAGTAGAAACCCTGTCTGGAATTTAGAATTGGGATCTTTCCCGGCTGGCGCCGTGCAGTCCAATCCTGGCTTGGGTAAAAGCGCAGTGCACTGTGTGGCCGAGCCGGGATGTGCAGCGAGCGTGTTACGTGCATTTTCTACTTAGGATATTTTTAATTTACCATGGGTTGCAGGGGTGGGAATCCTTTTTTTCTGCCAAGGGCCATTTGGATATTTATAAATTGTGGCCTATGCAAAATTATCAACTTAAGAATCTGCCTGTTGCAAAGAATGACTCTACATGAAAGATCTCTGTGAGTGAGATCCCAGTGGAAAGAACAGGCCATCAAAGAAGGAGGTACCTTTCTCTGAATGGTGGAGAGAACTTCCACTTTGATTAGGGCCCTGTCTAAATAATGTCAGAGTTTGTGGACTCAAGAGGCTTCCATAGCCTTTGCAGCTCATGACAAGAGCCTCGGGTGATCACTGACGTCATTAATAAGAGTGTCAATTGTTAAATCAACAACAGGAGTCACTGTGCACTTGCTTCCCATATAGGACCTCTGTCCTTAATGAGTTGTACTATGAGAATTAATGGTAAAACTAGTCTTCAAACAGTACTTTATACTTTGTGTGTCTGTGTGGGTACAAACTGTTGAAATCTTTACTCAGTATAGAGTTGACCTTCTGTATATAAAGATAATTAAAAATGGATCTTAATGAAGAATGGGATGGGAGAGGGAGTAGGAGATGGGACAGTTTGGGGGCGGGGGGACGGGTATAGGGGGAAGAACTGCTATAACCCAAAAGTTGTACCTATAAAATTTATATTTATTAAGTAAACGATTTCTATAAAAATAAATAAATACAATACAATACTACAAAAAAAAAAAAAAAAAAAAGAATTTGCCTGTTGGAGCCAGCACTGACTTTCAAATAAATAAATCAATTTTTGGGGAAAAAATAATTCACCCACTATAGATTTACTGAATATCAAGTCCCACCTGTGACTGCCTTGGCAGGGCCAGACCAAATGATTTCATGGGCGTTATGCAGCCTACGGGCTGGACACTCCCTACTCCTGGATGTGACCCCGTGATAAGTCCAGGAGCACCTGAGTAGTTTCTGGGCCACCTGACAGGAGGAATCACAGCCCACAGCATGCGCGGGGCTGTTGGAAGTGTTGCTGAGACTTCCACCAGTGGGCACGAGCTCCTGCATGTGCAGCCAGTGCCTTTGGCCAGAGCACCTGGGGTCTGCACCTCCATGCGGGGGTGCGTGGCAGCTGAAACCAGGGCTGGGAGTTCACGGGACATGCTAAAAATGTAAGGAACGTAAAACAAATATGTGCAATCACTTCTGTGTTGTTCAGAGTCTCACCAGTGTGTGGGTTTTTCTCTTCGTCAGGTTGTTGTTTTTCAGACATACACGAATCAGAGTCATGTGCCCATTGAGGCAAAATATATCTTTCCTTTGGACGACAAAGCAGCGGTGTGTGGCTTTGAAGCATTCATCAACGGGAAGCACATAGTAGGAGAGGTAAGGGGGCAAATGCTCTGTGACTGCCCTCGGCTTCTGGTTTCCCAGTTCCCCAAATCTTTGTTCCAGAGTCCTGCTGGCTACAAGGCCGGGGATCAGTCTTTTCCTAAAACAAAAATATTCTTGGAAGAACCAGCTCTCACACAATTAGCCTATACTCCAACATCTCTCCCTGCTTAGCTGGTTTCTGTCCAGTCTTAAGCTGTCAGTGTCTTGCAAATTCTGTGCTTAGGTACTTCACAAAAAGGTGATTTCAGTATCAGAAGTTTAAAACAGGTGCATTGGGAAATTGGTGAATCCCTTATGTATGTTTGCAAAAATCTATTTTCCAGCCCCTGCTGTAAAAGTTAAGCTGTGAGGGAGAGGGGTGGCTCTGTGGCGTAGCAGGTAAAGCTACCGCCTACAGTGCCGGCATCCCATATGGGTGCCAGCATCCTATATGAGCTCCAATTCAGGACCTGGCTGCTCCACTTCCAGTCCAGTTCCCTGCTTGGAAAGCACCTTGGAAAGCAGCAGAAGATGGCCCAAGTACTTAGACCCCTTCAACCCACATGGGAGACCAGAATGGAGTTCCTGGCTCCTGGCTTCCACCTGGTTGCAGCCTTTTGGGGAATGAACGAGTGGATGGAAAAATCTCTCACTCTTGCTTTCTCTCTCTCTGTAACTCTGACTTTCAAATAAATAAATCTGAAAAAAAAAAAAAAACAAAGTCAAGCTGGGGCAGGCATGTATTACAACCATTAAAATGCCAGTTAGGGAGCCAGCGCTGTGGCATAGCAGATAAAGCCACCACCTCCAGTGCCAGCATCCCATGTGGGCACTGGTTCAAGTCTCAGTTGCTCCACTTCTGATCTAGCTTCCTGCTAATATGCCTGAGAAAGCAGTGGAAGATGGCCCAAGTACTTGGGCCCCTCATTCACTTGGGAGACCTGGAAGAAGCTCCTGGCTCCTGGTTTTGGATCAGCTCAGCCCCAGCCATTGCAGTCATTTGAGGAGTGAGCCAGTGGATGGAAGATAATTCTGTCTGTCTCTCTCTCTCTCCCTCTCTCTCTCTCTGCCTGTAACTGCCTTTCAAATAAATAAATAAATAAGTCTTTATCTTTTTTTTTTTAATTTTTTGACAGGCAGAGTGGACAGTGAAAGAGAGAGACAGAGAGGAAGGTCTTCCTTTGCCATTGGTTCACCCTCCAATGGCCGCCGCAGCCCACGCGCTGCGGCCGGCGCACCGCGCTGATCCGATGGCAGGAGCCAGGTGCTTCTCCTGGTCTCCCAGGGGGTGCAGGGCCCAAGCACTTGGGCCATCCTCCACTGCACTCCCGGGCCACAGCAGAGAGCTGGCCTGGAAGAGGGGCAACCGGGACAGAATCCGACGCCCTGACTGGGACTAGAACCCGGTGTGCCGGCGCCGCAAGGTGGAGGATTAGCCTAGTGAGCCGCGGCGCCGGACTAAATAAATAAGTCTTTAAAAAAAAAATGCCAGGGGCTGGCACCATGGCTCACTAGGTTAATCCTCCACCTGCGGCGCCGGCAACCCATATGGGCACCGGTTCTAGTCCCTGTTGCTCCTCTTCTAGTCCAGCTCTCTGCTGTGGCCCAGGAGAGCAGTGGAGGATGGCCCAGGTGCTTGGGTCCCTGCACCTGCTTGGAAGACCAGGAGTAGGCACCTGGCTTCTGGCTTCGGATCGGTGCAGCACCAGCCATAGCAGCCATTTGGGGAGTGAACCAACAGACGGAAGACCTTTCTCTGTGTCTCTCTCTCACTGTCTATAACTCTACCTGCAAATAATTTTTTTAAAAATCAAATAAATAAATCTGAAAAAAAAAAGTCAAGCTGGGGCAGGCATGTACTACAACCATTAAAATGCCAATAAGGGGGCCAGCACTGTGGCATAGCAGATAAAGCCGCCACTTCCAGTGCCAGCAGCCCATATGGGCACTGGTTCAAGTCTCAGCTGCTCCACTTCTGACCCAGCTCCCTGATAATATGCCTGGGAAAGCAGTGGAAGATGGCCCAAGTACTTGGGCCCCTTATTCACTTGGGAGATCTGGTAGAAGCTCCTGGCTCCTGGTTTGGGATCGGCCCATCCCTAGCCATTGCAATCATTTGGGGAGTGAACTTGCAGATGGAAGATCTCTCTCTCTCTCTCTCTCTCTCTCTCTCTCTGCTTGTAACTGCCTTTCAAATAAATAAATAAATCATTTTTAAAAAAAATACCAGTCAGGACTCCCGCATCCCGTATTGGAGTGCCTGGTTTGAGTCCTAACCTCACTCCCATTTCTAGCTTCCTGCTAATATGCACCCTGGGAGGCAGCAATTGATGTTGTATGAAGTACTTGGGTCCCTGCCACCCACATGAGAGACATGGTGGAGTTCTCAGTTCCTGGCTCCAACCTGGCCTTGGGGAGTGAGCCAGCAGATGAAAGTTTTCTCTTTTTCTGCCTTTCAAATAAATAAAAACGAATAAGGAAAAATTTAAAAAAGAGAAACAGTTTAGCTGTAATGAAAGCTATTGTAGTAAGTTTCTAAGAAAAAGTATACCAAAGGAATTAGAATTGATTTAGTCTTTAAGGATTAGCATACAGTTGGAAGTAATTAAAAGATTATTAAATTTAAAATAAACTTTGGGAGCAGCAATTAATATGCCACTTCATACGGGACACTTGCATCCTGTATCACAGTGCCTGGTTCAAGTCCCAGCTGCACTCAGGATTCCAGCTTCCTGCTAATGCACACCACGGGAGGCAGCAGGGATGGCTCAAGTAGTTGAGTCCTATTTGTGTGACAGACACATAGATCGAATTCCTGGCTCCTGTTTTTGCCCTGGTCCAGGCCTAACAGTTGGGGGTTTTCTCTTTGTCCTCTCTTAAATAAATAAATAAATATCTTTTCCAGATTAAAGAGAAGGAAGAAGCCCAGCGCGAATACCGAGAGGCCATCAGCGAAGGCCACGGCGCGTACCTGATGGACCAGGATGCTCCGGTATGCCTTGGCACTCACCCAGCAGTCAGCCTGTTTATGAGAAAGGGGAAAAGAGTTGGGAAAGGTTTTGAAATGTGAAATCCATATGAGAGAGCAAGATCATTTATGCTATTTTAGGCCCCAGGGTTTTAGTTGCTCTGAGCAAGGGAGGCCAAGCGGGTCAGATCCATTTGATTGACTCAGTAAGGGAGGGACTGGGGTCAGTGTTACTGGACTAGCAGGAAAAGCAGTCCCTCTCACTGGGAACCCAGTGTCCCAGAAGTGAGGACAAAATGAAAACATTTGGGGCTGGCGCCATGGCTCACTTGGTTAATCCTCCGCCTATGGTGCTGGCATCCCCTCTGGGTACCGGTTCTAGTCCCGGTTGCTCCTCTTCCAGGCCAGCTCTCTGCTGTGGCCTGGGAGGGCAGTGGAGGATGGCCCAAGTACCTGGGCCCCTGCACCCACGTTGGGGACCAGGAGGAAGCACCTGGCTCCTGGCTTTAGATTGGTGCAACCCCGGCCATAACGGCCATCTGGGGGGTGAACCAAGGGAAGGAAGACCTTTCTCTCTGTCTCTCTCTCTCTCAGTGTCTGTAACTCTACCTGTCAAATAAAAAAAAAAAACATTTGGGGTGCATCATTTTACTTTTCTGATAAAAGAATGTAATACAATGCTATCTCAAAAAAATTCACAGAAAAATAGAATCGAAAGTTTGAAGTTAGGGGTAGGTGTTGTTGTGCAATAGATTTACCCACATCCCATCTCAGAATGTCCTGGGACCGAGTCCTGCTTCTGCTTCCAATCCAGCTTCCTGCTGTTGCACAACCTGGGAGGCAGCAGGTGATGGCTCAAGTACTTGGGTCCCTAACACTCACATGGAGACCTAGATGGAGTTCCTGGCTCCTAGCTTCAGCCTGGTCTGCATTAGCTGTTGAGGGCATCTGGGGAGTGAACCAGCAGATGGAAGATTCTCTCTCTCTCTCTCTCTCTCTCTCTCGTTCTTGCCCTGCCTTTCAAATAAGTAAAATAAATAGATAAACAAAAAACATACCAAGAGGCTAGCTTAGCCTCTGCCTGCAGCACTAGCATCCCATATGGGTGCTGGTTTGTGTCCCAGCTGCTCCTTTTCCAATACAGCTCTCTGCTATAGCTTGGGAAAGAATAGACGATTGCCCAAGTGCTTGGGCCCCTGCACCTATGTGAGAGACCCCAAAGAAGCTCTTGCCTCCTGACTTCGGATCAGCCTAGATCCAGCCATTGCGGCTATTTGGGGAGTGAACCATTGGATGGAAGTCCTTTCTCTCTGTCTCTCCCATTCTATGTCTATAACTTTACCTCTCAAATAAAATCTTTAAAAATAAAAAGTAGAAAACACACACACACAAAAAAAAGAAATGAGTTGGGGCCAGCGCTGTGGCACAGAGGGTTAACGCCCTGGCCTGGGTGCCAGTTCTAGTCCCAGCTGCTCCTCTTCCGATCCAGCTCTCTGCTGTGGCCTGGGAAAGCAGTAGAAGATGGTCCAAGTCCTTGGGCCCCTGCACCCATGTGCGAGACCCAGAAGAAGGATCTGGCTCCTGGCTTCGGATCGGCACAGCTCAAGCCGTTGTGGCCATCTGAGGAGTGAACCATCAGATGGAAGACCTCTCTCTCTCTCTCTCTCTCTCTGCCTCTCCTCTCTCTGTGTAACTCTGACTTTCAAATAAATAAATAAATCTTATAAAAAAAATGAATCTAGGGGCGGGCTTTGACCTGGCAGTTACGCTGCTGGTTAGGATACCCACATCCCATGTTGGAGTGCCTGGGCTCAAATCCCAGCTGTGGCTCCTAATTCCAGCTTCTTGCTAATAAAGACAGTGGGAGGCAGTAGGTAATGGCTCAAGTAAGTTGGGGTCCTGCCACCACAGGGGAGACCCGGTTTGGGTTCCTGTCTCCCAGCTTCAACACAGCCCAGTCCTGGTCATTATGAACACGTAGGGAGTGAACCAGCAGATGAGATCTCTCTCTGTCTCTCTTTATTTCTCAAATAAAAAAAAATTAAAGATAGGAGTTTATTTTGTTGCAAAAAACTAAATTTAGAATCTATGAATATTTTTTCATAATATACATTTTCCACTTTTGAAAAAAACTTTTTGCATCAAAATTAATTCATATTGCTGGGCTAGCATGGTGGCATAATGGGTTAAGTCACCTGTTGCAATGCCAGCGTCCCATATCAGAGGGCCAGTTTGAATTCTGGCTACTGCGCTCCTGACCCACCTTCCTGTAATGTGCCTGGGAAGGCAGCAGATGAGGCCCAAGGGCTTGGGTCTCTGCTACCCATGTAGGAGACCCAGGTGGAGTTCCTGGTTCCTGACTTCAGCCCTGCGCAGCCCTGGCTGTTGTGGCATTTGGGGAGTTAAGCAGTGGATGAAGATCTCTCTCTTTTCTCTCTTCCTCTGTCTTTCCTTCTCTCTCTGTTGCTATACCTTTCGAATATATAAATACATGAATTTTAAAAAACACATAAATTCATGCTTTTAATTCTGTAAACTATTTGAAATACACTTGTATATTTCTATTTTTCCTAGAACTGAGCTCACCTAACAACTTGCCCAGTTTTCACCAAAGCATCACTCAGGGAGGCATTTCCACAGGACCCTGTGACAAGTCCAGCTTCTTTGCTTTCTGGTTACCAACATTAACAAAAGAACACATATCTCATCCACAGGCTTATTTTCTTCTTCATTTAAAAAAATATTAACTTTACCTGAAAGGCAGAAAGAAAGAGAGGGGGAGAGAGAGAGAGAGTGAGAGAGAGAGAGAGAGAGAGAGAGAGATCTTCCACCTACTGGTTCACTTCCCAAGTGGATGAAGTGTCTGACCCAAGACCAGGCTGGGGCCAGGAGCCTAAAACTCCACCCAGGTCTCCCACATGGGTGGCAGGGCCCAAGCACTTGGACCATCATCTGCTGTCTTCCCAAGTGCATTAGCAGGGACCTGGGTTAGAAATAGATCTTTGTAAAAATTGTGAGTGGGAATAGGAGAGTGAGGAAGAAGGGTGGGAGCAAAGTATCACTATGTTCCTGAATCTGTATATATGAAATTTATATACCTTAAATAAAATTTTTAAAAAATAAAAAGAAATGGAGCAGCCAGAACTTAAACTGGCACTCCGATATGGGATGCTGATGTTGCAATTGGCAGTTTAATCCAGTATGCCACAATACCAGCCCCTTCCTCTTATTCTTTTTGTTTGTTTGTTTTTGAAAAAAAATTTATTTATTTATTTGAAATCAGAGTGACACAGAGAGAGGGAGAAACTGAGAGAGAGAGAACTGTATGCTGGTTCACTTCCAAAATGCCTGCTCCTACGAGGGCTAGACTAGGCCAAAGCTAGGCACCAGGAACTCCATCCAGGTCTCCCTCGTGGGCAACAGAAACCCAAGTACTTGAACCATCACCTGCTGCCTCCCAGGTACATTAGCTGGAAGCTGGATAGGAAATGGAGGAACCAGGACTCTGATGTGGGATGTAGGTATCCCAAGTGGCAGACTAACCTGCTGCATCACAGCACCCACCCCCACTTTAATTTCTTATTGCGTTTTGTTTTGAGTAATTTCTATTGACATTTTCAAGTTCACTAATTCTTTTCTCAGCTGTATCTAGTCTGACGATAAGCTTGTTGATAATTCATCTCTGATCATGTGTTTCATTCCAGCACTTTTGATATTTTTTTATAATTTCCATCTGTCTGATGAGCTGTTTCATGTACTATCTTCATCTTTCTTATAGTTCTTTTAATTAATTTATTTATTTGAAAGGCAAAGTTACTTAGAGATGGAGACAGAAAGAGAATTTCCATCTGCTGGTTCACTCCCCAAAGGCCTGAGCCAGGCCAAACCTGGGAGCCAGGAACTCCATCCTGGTCTCCTACATGGGTAGCAGAGGCCCAAGTACTCGGGCCATCTTCTGCTGCTTTCCCTCACATTAGTAGGGAGCCGGATCAGAAGTGTAGCAGCCTGGACTAGAAGCAGCGCTTATATGGGATGCCAGTGCTGCAGGCAATGGCTTAACCCACGGGGCCTCAACGCTGGATTCACAGTCCTGTCTGTTCCAACGTCATGGTTACCTCTGATTCTGTTCCTGTTGGTTGCTTTATCTCTTGATGCTTGGTCATGTTTTTCTTGCTCTATTTGTGTGTGTATTTTGGAATTTGTGGTTGAGTACTAAACGTTGTGTGAAGTGTGTTTACACTTAGTAACAGCCGCTCCTGTTTAATCAGGCTATTGGAGTAGGAGCTGTGAAGAACTGAGTCAAGTTTGATTCTCACTGTGGTTATCGTTACCCTCAGGCAGTACTTGGGTGTCGGGAGTGGAGGTGGAGGGGATGGGTGTGTTCTCCTTGTTCAACCTCATTTTTCTTTTCTTTTAAGATGTATTTATTTGAAAGGCAGAGTTATAGAGAAAGAGGAGAGACAGAGCAAGAGAGAGAGAGAGAGAGATCTTCCATCTGCTAGTTCACCCCCAAGAAGGCCGCAAAGACCAGGGCTGGGCCAGGCCAAAGCCAAGAGCTTCTTCCAAGTTTCCCATGTTGGCTACAGGGGCCCAAACACTTGGCCCAACTTCCGCTGCTTTCCTAGGTGCATCAGCAGGGAGCTGGATTGGAAATGCCGCAACTGGGGCTCAAAAAGGTGTCCCTATTGGATGCCAGCGTCACAGGTGGCAGCTTTACCTGCTATGCCACAGCACCAGCCCCAGCAGCCTGGTTCTTAAGGGGCACCTGTGCGTCCTCCCCTAGTGGCGGCCAGATCCTGCCTTGCGTCTGCCGAGGGCTGTCTGAGGATATTTCCTGCCTCCTGCGCAGTTGCAGCTTGTTCTGATGCCAGCACTTCATCCTGTGCAGAGCCCTGGGCCCAGCAGGCGCTTATCTGTGGGGAGGTAGCTTTTGCTTCTGCACTTCTCTTTGAAGCAGTGGAGCTTTACCTGTTTGCTACCCTCATAAGGAAGATTTCTCTCCCTGTTTGGCTTCTGTCCCTGTCCCAGTGAGGTGGAAGAGTTTGCTACCTTTCCCCAACGACTTAAGGCTTTTGCTTTGTAGGTGGAAAAAATCCAGGGAAGTGGCTGGTGCGCCAGGCCCAGACCCCAGCAGCAGCCAGCTGCCTCCTGCACATCTGTCCAGCTGGCCACCCCCACACACCTGCCCTGCCCGCTGCCTCCTGTAGCTGTCTCACACCTGCTCCCTTTGGTCTCCTGCCCCATTCCAGTCTTTCTGCTGGACTCGGTGGAAGACTGTGGAGGAGAGCCTGCTTCCCTTGGGTCGAGCGCTCTTGGGTAGTCTAAGTGTGGAAGCTATCACCTGTAGGAATCTACACCATTTCCCTGACCCATCTGCCCCCAGAGGGGCCTGCCGCTGGTTGGAATTCAGTTCTTTTGGTTGAAGGGTTCAGAACGAGTTATGTATGTATAGATTATCTGGTGTGTTATAACAGAATTGACGTCGTCTGCAGCTCCATAGTCCTACCCACTAAAGGAACTGCAACCCACCCAATTCAGCCGCAGTCCCTCAAATGAACCCCAGGCTTTTACACCTACACTGCTTTTAACGGCTAGAATTATTAACTATTTAGTAATTACCACTTCATTGTTCATTTCCATCTTGCAGATGGATTTCTTTGATGTCCGAGAATATATTAAGATGTCTTTAAGACTGTATTAACCATTAATATTCCACACCTCTCATGTAAACACACCAAATTTTCATGATAGTGTGATAGCCTGCCCAGCAGACACAAATAGGGATATTGAGAGAATCTCTGTGTAGATACCAGAAAAAGACACCTCTAGCCTCTCTTAATTTTATTATTTTATTATTTTTTAAAATTTAATGGGACCAGTCCTGTGGCATAGCGAGTTAAACCACTGCTTCTGATGCCAGCATCTCACATTGGAGCACCAGTTAAAGTTCTAGCTGCTGTATTTCCAGTCAGCTCCCTGCTAATGCACCTGGGAAAGCAGCAGAAGATGGCCCAAGTATTTGGGGCCACCCGTATAGGAGATCTTGATGGAGGTCCTGGCTTCTGGCTTTGACCTGGCCCAACTCTGGTTATTGGTTATTGCAGCCATTTGGGAAGTGAACCAATGGATAGAAGATCTTTTTCTTAAAAAAAAAAAAAAAAAACTTTAAAAAATTTATTTAGTTGAAAGGCAAAGAGACAGAAAGATAGATAGAGAGAGATCTCCCATCTACTAGCTCACTCTCCAAAGCGCCGGCAACACCCAGGACTGGGCCAGACCAAAGCCAAGAGCCCAGAACTCAATCGAGTTTCCCATGTGGATGGAATGGACTCAAGCATTTGAGCCATCAGCTTCCCAGGATACACAGTTGCAGGAAGCCAGAATCAGGTGCAGAGCCAAGACTCAAACCCATCTATTTCAATACAAGACATGGGCATCCTAACCACTGCACCAAATACTTAGCCCAGCCTCTCTGTTTTCTGCTCTAGCTGATTCTGAAGTTTCTATCTTTTATTCATTGATTTTTTTTTTTTTTTTTTTTTTTACAGGCAGAGTGGACAGAGAGATAGAGAGATAGATAGAAAGGTCTTCCTTTTGCCATTGGTTCACCCTCCAATGGCTGCTGCGGCCGGCGCGCTGTGGCCGGTGCACCGCGCTGATCCGATGGCAGGAGCCAGGAGCCAGGTGCTTCTCCTGATCTCCCGTGGGGTGCAGGGCCCAAGCACCTGGGCCATCCTCCACTGCACTCCCTGGCCACAGCAGAGAGCTGGCCTGGAAGAGGGGCAACCGGGACAGAATCCGGCGCCCCGACCGGGACTAGAACCTGGTGTGCCGGCGCCGCAAGGCGGAGGATTAGCCTAGTGAGCCGTGGTGCCGGCCTACACTGATTCTTAATATCCCATTCGAAGAAAGTTAAATACATTTTGTGAAAAATAAAGTGATACACTTACTAAACAGTGGGGCTTGTCGGAGGGTGAAGCTGCTGCCTACAACGCCAGCATCCCAGATGGGCGCCAGTTTGTGTCCTGGCTCCTCCACTTCCATTCCCGCTCCCTATAATGCACCTGGGAAAGCAGCAGATGTCCTAAGTACTTGGGCACCTGCCATCCATGTGGGAGACCCGGTAAAAAGATCCTGGTTCCCGGCTCTGGCCTGGCCCAGCCCCAGCTGTGTGGCCATCTGAGGAGCAGACCAGCGAATGGAAGTGTTAGGTTTGGAATAGCTCAGGGTTCCAGCCTTCTGTAGCCCCCAGAAAACATACGGAAAAGAGAGACAGAGACCGACCTCAACAGATGCAGGTTGCTTTTATTGAAGCAAAGAGGGACAAACAGTCTCTGAAGAGACTGTGCACAGGGCGTGCATAGGGCTGGGCTATTATCCAGCTGAAGAGAGAATCTGCCACCTCTCAAGGGAAACAGAGGGCTTGCTGCTGGGTGGGAAGTAGGGGGCTTCTTCTAAAGAAGCCACTAGGGGACCAGCACTGCAGCTCACTTGGCTAATCCTCCTCCTGTGGCGCTGGCACACCAGGTTCTAGTCACAGTTGGGGCGCCGGATTCTGTCCCGGTTGCTTCTCTTCCAGTCCAGCTCACTGCTGTGGCCCGGGAGTGCAGTGGAGGATGGCCCAAGTGCTTGGGCCCTGCACCCGCATGAAAGACTAGGAGGAAGCACCTGGCTCCTGGCTTTGGGTCGGTGCAGTGTGCTGGCTACAGTGTGCTGGCCACAGCGCGCTGGCCGTAGTAGCCATTTGGTGGGGTGAACCAACGGAAAAGGAAGACCTTTCTCTCTGTTTCTCTCTCTCTCTCTCACTGTCTAACTCTGCCTGTCAAAAACAAAACAAAACAAAACAAAAAAACAAAACAAGAAGCCACTGGGGGGCCGGTACTGTGGTGTATGTAGCGGGTAAAGCTGCCACCTGCAGTGCTGGCATCCTGTATGGGTGCTGGTTTGTGTCCCAGCTGCTCCACTTCCAATCCAGCTCTCTGCTATGGCCTGGGAAAGCAGTGGAGGATGGCCCAAATCCTTGGGCCCCTGTACCCGCATGGGAGACCTGGAAGAAGCTCCTGGCTCCTGGCTTCGGATTGGCACAGCTCTGGCCATTGCGGTCAATTGGGGAGTGAACCAGCAGATGGAAGACCTCGCTCTTTCTCTCTCTCTCTCTGTCTCTCCTTTCAAATAAATAAATAAATAAATCTTAAAAGAAGAAGAAGAAGAAGCCACTGGGAACTTTCTTCTTATCTCTTTCACAAGCTGCCCCTCGCAGCTTACCTGTTTTGCCAGCAGATTTGCAAGGAGTCTGGGGGAGGTCGAGCTTGGGTTCCTGCACCAGTGGTCTCAACACATAGGGAGGAAATGGGAGAGGGTACCATTTTGTGAGTTTTATTGCCCTTTAGAAAGGTCTCTCTCTCTCTCTCCCTCTTTCTCTGTAACTCTGACTTTCTAATAAATAAATAAATCTTTTTTAAGAAATTTACTATACGGTAAAAGAATTAAGTGAAGACCAAGTTTAGAGAAAGTTGCTGTCGCCTCGCAGCTGCCAGGGGAACTGATGCTGCGTGCTGTGGCGTCGGGGGCCGGGGCACAGGTTTTTCCAGGATTGGCAGCAAGTGGAGGCCGTCTGGGTAGCGGAGCCAACACCAGCACGGCCACCAGTGTGGAGTCCACTGGGGGACTTTCCTCAGCTCAGCAGCCCAGGGCCTCCTCTGCCTCCGTCTCCTGCGATCTCACCCTCTCCTCTCGACTAAGGAGTGGCTCCCAGGTTCTCCTTTAAAGCCCACCGCTGTCTTGTAGGTTCTGTTGCCATTTTGAGCCTGGTCATTTGGGATTTAAATCATTGAAGTGACGTGAGGGCTTGACTAGAATGGATATGGTTTTGAGTTGCAGCCTAATCAGTCAAGGTGGCTAACTTTATAAAGAGAAAAAATATGTCTAGCACATGGTTTGGTAGGTTCAGGTGGCCCTGTTGTTGGGCATCTGGTGAGCATGTGTGAAGGGAAGACCACATGGTGAGCCAAGAAGCAGAGCAAGCAGCTGGGCCTGACCGAGGCTTTTATAGCAGCCCACTGGTTACCTCTGAGGACACGCCTCCAGTGGCCCAAGGACCACCCCCCACTAGGCCTACCTCTCAAACACCATCATTGGCTTAAGTTTCCATCAACTTCAAAAAATATATTTATTTGAAAGGCAGAGTTACAGAGGCAGAGACACAGAGAGAGAGAAGTCTTCCATCTGCTGGTTCACTCCCCAGATGGCCGCAACAGCCGGAGCTGGGCCAATCCGAAGCCAGGAACCAAGAGCTTCTTCCAGGTCTCCCATGCGGGTGCAGGGGCCCAAGGACTTGGGCCATTCTTCTACTGCTTTCCCAGGCCATAACAGAGAGCTGGATCAGAAGTGGAGCAGCCGGGTCTTGAATCGGCGCCCATAAGGAATGCTGGTACTGCAGGTGGCAGCTTTACCCACTATGCCACAGTGCCAGCCCGGGTACCATCAACTTTTAACTTTGGGAGTTAGACTCTTGTATGAGTAGGAGAGCCACATGGCCTTCAAACCACAGCATCTGTTTCTATTTCAGGATATTTTTACTGTCAGCGTTGGAAACCTGCCTCCTAAGGCTAAGGTCCTTATCAAGATTACCTACATCACAGAACTCAGCCTCCAGGGCCCTGTTGCTGTGTTCTTCATGCCAGCCACTGTAGCTCCCTGGCAACAGGACAAGGCTTTGAATGAAAACCTTCAGGTTTGTATGCTTAAGATTGGATTTGAGGATGCATGTGGGGAGGATTTATGCATGGGGAAGGAAAATTTTTCTGACATTTGTGTGTATGCCCTCTCTGTGAAATGAATTGAAATGAAGACAAATATACTCAATGGGCATAATGTTATTTTACTATTAGTCACTCAGAGAAGTTTTGTGTCTGTATTGCATGTTCAGTCCTGAAGAATCTGGATAAGCATAGAGAATGCAAATAAGCCAAAAGAGAAGAATTAAAATCACCCTTAATTCTATCATCCAGAGAAAGCTATGATCAGTGTTTTGATATATATATCCTTCTAGACTTCCTTGTATATATTTAAATAAATCATGTGTGCATCTGTGTATATGTGTGTGTGAATATATGCACACAGAGAAACATGTGTGTGGTTAAAATCTCTGTCAACATGGCCGTATGTGATTCCTGTTTTGAAAGTTACTATTATTCCAAGTGTTTCAGGACTTGGAAGAGAAACCACCTGTCTCGTTGCTGCCATCAGCTGTGGCCCAGCTGAGATTATCTCCAGTTCAGAGTTCCACTGTTAACTTTAAACAGTTACTTAAACACACATATTTCTCTTTAAACAGGATACAGTAACGAAGGTTTGTGTAAAGGAAATAGGAAAGCAGCAAAGGTAAGCACCTAAAATATAAAGCCTGTCAATCATTCAATGGACATTCATTTTATGGTTTAAATTTTCATTTAAAATTATTTGAAACAACTTGGCAGAACTCTAAGGTATCTAAAATAACCTCTTCATTTTTGGTAGCTTCTCTTTGACTATGTCGATTGAGATGCCATACGTGATCAAGTCCATTTCCAGTGACACACACAAACTGAAACAAAAGGTTAGTGAATGCTTGATTTCTTTCTTTTTTAAAAAAATTGTTTATTGAATGGCAAACCTAGATACAGCCATAGACTTAGACATAGAAGGAGATGGAGAGAGCTCCCATTCCCCAAATTCCAAATGCCCACAACAGTCTGGGCTGGACCAGGCTGAATCCTATGTGGGTGGCAGGGATCCAAGTACTTGAGCCATCATCTACTGCTTCCCAGAGTGTACATTAGCAGGAAACTGGATTGGAAGCAGAACAGAGACTCAAACCCAGGTACTCTGATATGCGGAGCAGGTGTCCCAACTGGCATCTCCATCACTGAGCCAAAAGTCTGCTCCTTGGATTTCTTTCCAAATTAGTCAATTTTTTAAATTTCTAATGTGTTTATTTTAGAGGCAGAGAGATAAAGAGCTTCCATTCTGTGAATGGAGAGGAGCCCTCTCTATCTCTTTGCCCCTCAAATAAAAATTTTCTTAAAGATATGAGTTTATTTTGGTGCACAACAGAGGCAGCAGAAGATGGCCCAAACACTTGGGTTCCTGCCGTCCACATGGGAGACCTGGATGGAGTTCCTGGCTCCTGGTTTCAGCCTGGCTCAGCCCTGGCTGCTATGGGCATTTGGGGGTGAACCAGCAGATGGAAGATACCTGTGTGTGTGTGTGTGTCTGTGTGTGTGTCTGTGTATGTGAAGTAACGTGAAAATAAGTAAATACAATTTTAAGTTATTATGATTATATAAACAGTATTTACCATTGAACCAAGAAATACATTATGATGTCATTGTTTTGTAAAAGTTGGCTTTTCCATTTGCTTGGTGTTTTAGGAGTTTCTTCTCCTTGCCCTAACACGTTGGTTCGAACCTCTCTCCATACTGTTTTTCGCACTGCCCATGCCTCAGACAGCCCATTTCCTCTGTCTCCCCAAGCTCCCCTTCCAGCTCCCTCTGCAGCCTGGCTGGGTGCCGGCTAGGCCTCCCTTTTCCATCTTTTTCTCCTTTTTCTTGTTTCTTCCTTCAGCTTGGCAGAGCACAGCCCCCATGCACTTCCTGAGCAGGAGAGTGGGGGGTGGGGTAGAGTGTGGAAAAACCTTTATTCTGGGTGCTGCTCTTGGCCCTCCGGTGAGATGTGACTTTCTGGGCTGGGATTCAACTTCTCCCAGAATATTGACTTATAGTTTCCAAGGTTACTTTTGAGAAACTCAGTGGTATTCTTATCCCCTGTTCTTTGTATGTGGTCTGTTTAGCTGTGTGGGTTATTTTTACAGATTTATTTATTTATTTTAAAGTCAGAGTTACAGAGAGGAGAGACAGAGAGGGAGAGGTCTTCCATCTGATGGTTCACTCCCCAATTGGCCACAACGGCTGGAGCTGCACCGATCTGAAGCCAGGAACCAGGAGCTTCTTTCCCAGTCTCCCACATGGGTGCAGGGGCCCAAGGAGTTGGGCCATCTTGTACTGCTTTCCCAGGCCATAGCAGAGAGCTGGATCGGAAGAGGAGCAGCTGGAACTCGAACTGGCGCCCATATGGGATGCTAGCGCTTCAGGCCAGGGCATTAACCTGCTGCACCACAACGCCAGCCCCTAACTGTGTATTTTTTTTTTTTTTAGATTTATTTATTTATTTGATAGAGTTACAGACAGGCAGAGACAGAGAGAGAAAGAGAGGTCTTCCATCCACTGGTTCACTCCCCAGATGGCCACAGTGGCTGGAGCTGCACCGATCCAAAGCCAGGAGCCAAGAACTTCTTCTGGGTCTCCCATGTGGGTGCAGGGGACTTGGGCCATCTTCTTACTGCTCTCCCAGGCCATAACAAAGAGCTGGATCAGAAGTGGAGCTGCCGGGACTCAAACTGGCGGCCATATGGGATGCCGGCGTTGCAGACCAGGGATTTAACCCACTGTGCTACAGTGCTGGCCCCTGTTTCACTGTGTTTTTTAAGATTCTGCAAGATTTTTGGATCTTCTGTTTATCCCTGGGGTTCTGAAATTTCCTAACAACGTGATAGTCATTCGTTGTATATAACTCATGGCCTTTAGTTCTGGGAAACTCTCATTTTTTTAAAATGAGTTGTTCCTTTCTCTTCTTCCCTACTGCTACCCCTTCCAATCAGGTGGGCCCGGGGAAGGATCCGCTTGCTCTCTGGAGTTTTCTGTCTTATTGCCCACTTCATTCTCTTTTGGTTCTACTTTCTGGGTTATTTTGTTGTTCAAATTTAAATTTCCACCTTTCTACTAAACGTTCTAATTTGGTTCTCACGCACTTTATTTCTAAGGGCTCTTTCCTGTTCTGTGAGTATTCCTTTTTTCTACAGCATCTTTGTGTGTCTCATGCGGGAACTCTCCTCTTTGACGTTCCCCGGAAAACATTCCCTATGTTGTACTTCCTCTTTGGGGGTTCCTTTTTCTCCTTCTGGGTCTCTGTTTGTCTCCAGTTTTCATGTTAGAGGTTTTTCCTTAAGTGCCTGAGTGACCCTCCCTGTGTCCGTGGTTAGGGCTGAGATGAGAAGCTCCGGGTGTTGAGAAAGCCTGACTGGGGAGGGCAGCTCGGTGGCTCGTGTTTTAGGACGCCAGCTCGCTTTCATGCCCCTGAAGAAGCAGCCCTGTTCTTCTCTGTGCCACTGTGCCAGCCTTCCCTAGTCTGGGTACTATTTGGTTGAGTTTTGTCTTCTTCTTTTAAGATTTCTTTATTTATTTGAAAGGCAGAGTGACAGAGAGAGAGAGAGAGTCAGAGAACTCGCATCTACCGGTTCACTCCCCAGATGGCCACAACTGCCAGGGCTGAGCTGGGCTGGGCTGAAGCCAGGCTGCATCTCCCACATGAGTGCAGGGGCCCAGGTACTTGGGCCATCTTTACCTGCTTTCCCAGGCACATTAGCCAGCAGCTGGGTCAGAAGCAGAGCAGCCGGGACCAGAACCAGCATTTGGATACAGGATGCCAGTGTCACAAGAGGCGGCTTAACCTGCTGCGCCACAATGCCAGCCCCTGGTTGACTGGATCTGAGTCAAGAGTCTTCCATCTCCTTAGTGAGAAAACAGGAGAAAAATGGCACTAGCTGCTTGGCTGCTCGGTGGGGAGGAGCCTGGGGCCTGCAGCTGAGCACGTAGTCTCTTGACTATTGAGCCTTCCTGCCCGGATGGCTGAGGAGTAATGAGACCACAGCTCTGAGCTGTCCCCTCTGTAGGTACTTGGGCAGTAGCTTCCTCCACGTTGGCCAAATCACTTACCACACCTCCATCAACTTTCCATCTTCCTAAGATGTGTTGATGTCTCTCATCTGCTATCATTTTGGTTCCTGCTCTCAGTGTCTTTTATGAGTTAAACCCTTTTATTGCTTCCTTGTCCCTGTATGGAAACTTAGCACTTTGCTAGGGATTATAGATAAGCACATGTCCTTAATCCATCCTGGGTGAGATGACCACTGTCTCAGTTAGATTTTGCTGCATAACAAACAAATCTTGGGGCTTCAAACAGTAAGCACTTGTTATTCTCACAAGTCTGTGGTTTGGGGGAGGGGAGCAGTTCTGGGCTTGGCTGGAACAAGATGGTCTAACAAGGCCTCACCAGCGCCTGGCAGGTGGACTCAAGGTGGTTTGTTCAGTGGTAGGACAGCCCTCTCTCGCATTGAGAGAGGGCCAGTGGCATTCCACAAAGACTTTGTTGTGTTGTTGAAGCTCAGAATTTCCCCACAAATGGAATTTTATTGAAGGCTCTAGTTTATTCCCTCCCAAAAGACCAAATGAAGTGAACAGTAACCTTAAGATTTCATTGTCTTCTTGACAAAAGAGAAGATGGAGATTAGAACTAGATCCTTGGTCTTTTCTTCCCTCCTCCTAGTTCAAACTGTTTACATCTCTTAATAGCCAACGTTCTCTTGGGTCTTCAGTTGGGCTCCACACACTCAAGAGTCAGCCCAGTCTTCTTGTAGTTTGAACCTTTTCCTGAAAACGCAGCTTAGTCTGTCCATCCCGGCCACTCTGCTCCCCATCACATCACTGCTTTCCCTGGGCATCCAGAGTCTTTGCCCTTCTACTTGTCACTGTGTGGAGCTGGTGCTTGCCAGACTTCTTGCAGAAGCTCTGTTGGATTTTAGGGATGTTCACCACATTTGCAGAGCACAATTGGTAGGGAAAGCCCACAGACACTTTTTAAGTCCCTGCTTACATCACATCTGCCAGTATGCCATTGGGCAAAGCAATTCACACAACCAACGCTATTAGGCAGTTCAAGATCAGGGAACTAAGGGCTGGTGCTGTTGCACAGTGGGTTAAGCTGCTGCCTGTGCCACTGGCATCCCATATGGGCTCTGGTTGGTGTCCTAGCTGCTCCACTTCTGACCCAACTCCCTGCTAACGCATCTGGGAAAGTAGCAGAAGATGGCCCAAGTGCTTAAGCCCCTTCCCCGATGTGGGAGACCTGGAAGAGACTCCAGACTCCTGGCTTCAGCCTGACCTAGCTCTAGCTGCTCTGGCCATTTGGAGAGTGAACCAGCAGATGGAAGATTCTCTCTCTCTCTCTCTCTCTTTCTTTCTCTCCTGTCACTGTGTGTGTGTGTGTGTGTGTGTCCCTTTCTCTCTGTAACTCTGCCTTTCAAGTAAATAAATAGATAAATAAAAAGAGCAGGGAAATTGGCACCAACTCTTGATAAGAGGGGCTCCAAGATCACAGAGGCGTGGGATTACAGGAAGGGAAAGAGCTTGCGGCCATTTATGATCTGCGTATTGTCTTCGTTGCTTTGACACTTATGTACATTTTCAAAAGCTGCCTTACATTTGTGAAAATATGATCTACAAATAAGAGTTAACTCTAAGATTTCTATTGACTGTTCTATGCTACTCGTCTAGGTTCTGGTTATCTGGTGTGCTTTCTGCCACACCCAAGTAAATCTAACTGAATACACAGCCTATAACCTTTGAATCCGGAGTTGAGACTATCTGAAACTTACCTAAATGTGACTGTGTAAATCAACCCTGAGATTCCAGGGGGAATTGATGATACTGCTCATATGCCTAAAAATCTACATTTCATACACTTGGGATGTATTCCTACATCATTGCCTTTTAGTAGAGTTATGTAAATCCAACAAGGGTTTCCTCCTTGCTGGGTAAGTGCAAATGGGTAACATGATGTAACCCCGTTGCTCACCTTGTCGGCTGGCTGTTTGCTTTGCAGAGCACAGACTGCAAGGCCGTGATCAGCACTGTGGAAGGCAGCTCCTTAGACAGCAATGGATTCTCTCTTCACGTCAGTCTGAGTGATGCGTACCTGCCAAGAATGTGGGTTGAAAAACATCCAGAAAAAGAAAGCGAGGTACAGTCCTTCTTACTTAGAATTAAGCAAAATGATTGGAATAAAATACTTTGGAATAAGTGGGTTATTTCACTTTGGAAATTACTGACTGGAAATGAGTGCGTCCTGTTGGGCCCAGCGGAGTGAGAGGCTGGCGTGAAGCTTGAGAACAGGAGTGTCCGAGCCAGCACCCAGCGCTGCGGCCCTGCGCAAGGGCTTGAGCGTTTGGTGCTTCAGCGTCCTCAGCTCTCAGGACACAGGCTAATCTGAATATCAGCACTGGGAAAACAAGTAAAGAATGAGGTATGATCATCTGAGATGGCTGTCACAATGAACTGCTTCTTATGTTAAAATAAAAATGGAAACACTCTTCATTCGAACTCCTAGTAGGCTATCGTGTTGTTGGATACACCTTACTCCGTTTAGTTTTATAGTATGAGTTGACCTTCCTAGAGAGTTTTTGAATTTTACTTACTCCATTTATGCCAAATCCCTGCAGATTTTAGCTACATGTACAACTCACTTTGTACCCCAGGATGATGCCTGGAACATTAGTTGTATATAAACTCAACACAGCTGAGTGTGGTGTTTAAGGAGTGTGGAAATGCATGGGCCCTCTCTGGTATTGGGGATGAGCACTTGGGATTTGCTTGCCAGCTGTTCCCACTGCAGGTAGCACGTTCCCATCACAGCGTGAAATCTCGCGAGCCCACAGGGCTTCTCACAAGGTTCCACTGCGCCTCTCTTGGCTCTGTTACAGGTCCACCCTTTAGTAGTGGAGGGTGTGGGGGTGGGGCTGGAACTCTGTGATCTGCTGATACAGAAGGTGATGCCGTTCTAAACTCACCAGGGCAGGGGGAGTGGTGAGAAGCTCCCATGCGGTGCCTTTCCCTCCTTGCAGGCTTGCATGCTTGTCTTTCAACCCCATCTCGCTGCCACCCTCCCAGAGCTGGCTGTCAAGAGTGAAGTGATCATTTGTCTTGACTGCTCCAATTCCATGGAGGGTGTGACGTTCAGGCAAGCCAAACAGATCGCCTTGCATGCACTGTCCCTGGTGGGCGAGAAGCAGAAAGTAAACGTTGTCCAGTTCGGCACAGGTGAGTGCACCTGGGCCCCACCCCTCGTGTGTCTCCTCCTTAATGTGAATGCACCTGTTAGAGGAGTGAGAGCCTGGCATGAGGCTTGAGAGCAGGGATGCTGGAGCCAGCGCCCAGCCCTGCCACTCACAAGCTCTGTGTGTTGCCATGGGCAAGTGCTTGAGTTTTTGGTGCCTCAGTTTCCTGATCTGTAATCTGAGGGTAAGAGCCCCTGCTTTGTGGTATTGGCATGTGCATCGAGCTGATGTATGTAAAGGGTTTAAAACAGGATCTGTTCCAGAGTAGGTGAGGATGAATATTCTTAGTATTATGACCGACTGGACCAAAGGCAAGACCCTTGGTGTGACAGGCAAGGATAAAGATGGAACATTTGCAATCAGCGTGGTCATAGAAGGTCTGTAAGGTATGGTTCCAGGCAGCATCAGGTCACTGTGAGGAGGAAGGTGACGCTGTCCTCAGTGAGGGCCCAGAAACACCTCCTCCAGTCGCGGGGGACGCTTCAGGAATGAGAGAAGGGGCATAGAGAAGAGCGCATGACTCTTGTCCTCATGATTCTCCTCTTCCGTGCCAACCAGCAGATGGCCCAGAGCCTTCATGGTGCAGCTATGGACAAAAGTCGGGTAGACGTGGGCAGTGCCAAGGGCATGCCTGGAGCCTGGGCCCTTCAAAGGCGAGCTGCCCCTGCCATTGCCACACCCCATGCTTTGCACAAATGATCTGCAGAGCAATGAATCAACCACGTGACCGGATTTGACTCAGAACATTTTGCATAGTGAAGTGCAGACATGGAATGCTCTAGAAGGTACTTAGAAGTGTACTACACTGAATTTTCTGTACATTAAAATAATCAAACATGGTTTTCTGAAAAGGAAGGTATACACATAAATAGCATTTTCTTTATGATAGCAGCAGAGGTATCAAGTAGCATTCTTGTTTGTTTGTGGTTAATCAAGTGAATATTTCATGGGAACATCTCATGCTCCTCTTCCTACACAGGTTACAAGGAGTTATTTTCATATCCTAAACACATCGCAAGCAATAATGCGCCAACGGAGTTCATTTTGGTGAGTGAAAATGTTTTCTCTATCTTCTGAGTCTTTCCTTACGAAGCCTCAGAGATCCTGTGTAGGACCCATCCCCTCTGAGGGCTTCTACGTCGGCAGGTTCTTTATTTTATTAATAAACATCATGTGAAGTTGTTAAAGAAAAATTGGAAAGTAAAAAGAGTAGAGAGAAGAGTCATCCACGGTCCCACCACCAAATGCAACTGGCATTACAGTTTAGGACAATATCCTTAAAAAATCTTTTTTTTTTATTTGAAAGGGGGAAAGAGAGAGAGAGAGAGATTCAGTCTGCTGTTCACTCCCAAGGTGGCCACAGTGGTTGGAACTGGTCCAGGCCAAATCTAGGAACCTGGAACTCCATCCAGGTCTCCTACATGTGTGGCATGGGCCCAGGTACTTGGTCCATCCTCCACTGCTTTCTCAGGTGCATTAGTAGGGAGCTGGACCAGAAGTGGAGCAGGCAGGACTCACAATGGCTCCCATATAGGAAGCCAGAATCACAGGCACCATAGCATTGGCCCCTTGAACAGTTAACTCCTGTCTCCAAGTGGAGTAGCCTGAGACTGGCCTGGTGTCAGCAAAATCCCAGCTGGTGAACCCAGGGGTGCTTTGAGGGGACACTTCTCCCAGACATAAAGTAGTTCTTTGAAAACTATAACAAGCAGGGGTCGGTGCTGTGAGTAACAGGTAAAGCCACCATCTGTGGTGCCATCATCCCACGCGGGTGTTGGTTCAAGTCCCGCCTGCTCCACTTCTGATCTGGCTCTCTGCTATGGCCTGGGAAAGCAGTAGAAGATGGTCCAAGTCCTTGGGTCCCTGTACCTGCATGGAAGACCCAGAGGAGGCTCCTCCTGGCTCCTGGCTTCAGATTGTCACAGCTCCAGCCGTTGCAGCCAATTGGGGAGTGAACCAGCGGATGGAAGACCTCTCTCTCTCTCTCTCTCTCTCTCTCTCTCTGCCTCTCCTCTCTATGTAACTTTGACTTTCAGATAAATAAATAAATCTTTAAAAAGAAAAAGAAAACTATAACAAGCAAGTAAGTGGCAAGTGATACTATTATAGCTATTGTGTGATATGAAATGAACTAAAGGGTGCAGCTGTTCCACAAATTCGGGACAGCAGTCTTTTCAGTGACGGCATATCTCTAAGCCCTCGTTAAGAGATGGGCTTGGCCAGCACTGCGGCTCACTTGGCTAATCCTCCACCTGCGGTACCGGCACCCTGGGTTCTAGTCCCGGTTGGGGTGCTGGTTCTGTCCCAGTTGCTCCTCTTCTAGTCCAGCTCTCTGCTGTGGCCCGGGAAGGCAGTGGATAATGGCCCAGGTGCTTGGGCCCTGCACCCCATGGGAGACCAGGAGAAGCACCTGGCTCCTGCCTTCAGATCAGTGCAGCAGGCCAGCTGTAGTGTCCATTTTGGGGGTGATCCAATGGAAAAGGAAAACCTTTTTCTCTGTCTCTCTCTGTCTAACTCTGCCTGTCCAAAAAAAAAAAAAAAAAAGAGAGAGAGAGAGAGATGGGGTTCAGGGAATGGTTCCAGTCGATGGTGAATTCACCCAAGAAGGAGTGAATAATCTTCTGCTTCATCTCCTCCAGTCTGCTACTCCTACCCTGGGCAACACGGACTTCTGGAAGACCCTCCGGTATTTGAGTTTGCTGTACCCTGCTCAGGGGTTACGGAACATTCTCCTTATATCAGATGGGCACCTCCAGAGCGAGAGCCTGACCTTGCAGCTTGTGAAGAGAAACGTGCACCACACCAGGCTGTTCACCTGCGGGGTTGGGTAAGTCTTGGCCATCCGGGCACACAGTGAAGACCACCTGAGCGGCGCCGCGGCTCACTAGGCTAATCCTCCGCCTTGCGGCGCCGGCACACCGGGTTCTAGTCCCGGTTGGGGTGCTGGTTCTGTCCCGGTTGCCCCTCTTCCAGGCCAGCTCTCTGCTGTGGCCAGGGAGTGCAGTGGAGGATGGCCCAAGTGCTTGGGCCCTGCACCCCATGGGAGACCAGAAGAAGTACCTGGCTCCTGCCATCGGATCAGCGCGGTGCGCCAGCCGCGGCGGCCATTGGAGGATGAACCAACGGCAAAGGAAGACCTTTCTCTCTGTCTCTCTCACTGTCCACTCTGTCAAAAAAAAAAAAAAAAGACCACCTGAGAACGCAGCCTGTACAGGCTTTCTGAAAGCTTGGAAGTTGAGCAGCGTCACCCAGTGCTGAACAGCAGGGGTTGCTTGCTGAGAAACGAACCGTAGACGGCGCCTGAGGGTGACTTATACATACCTAGGGCGTGTAAGTCTTCATTCAGTGTTGCCTCTTGATGCACTCAAAAGTCGGTGTCAACATGAGATGTGCAAATGCAGGCCAAAACGTTTGTGGAAGGGGGCCGGCGTCATGGCATAGAGGCGTATGGATGCCGGTTCTTGTCCTGGCTGTTCCACTTCTGATCCAGCTTCCTGCTAATGACCTAGGAAAAGAAGAGGAAGATGGCCCAAGTGTTTGGGACCCAGCCACCCTCATGGGAGAGCTGGATGAAGCTCCTGGCTCTTGGCTTCAGTCTGGTGCAGCCCTGGCTGTCGCAGCCATCTGGGGAGTGAACCAGTGGATGGCAGACCTCTCTCTCTGTCCCTCCCTCTCTCTCTCTAACTCTGACTTTCATATAAATAAAACAAACATTTAAAATAGTATTTTATAGTAAAATATGCTTTTTTAGTGCAAAAATTTTTGTGCACTTTTTTTATAGTTCACTTTCCATGAACTTTTTTTTTTTTTTGAAAGGTAGAGAGACAAACTCAGAGAGAGAGAAAGAAACAGAGAGATCTCTTAACTGTTGGTTCACTCCCCAAACACCACAATAGCTAGGGCTGGGCCATGCCAAAGCCAGGACCCAAAAATTCAATCCAGGTTTCCCACATGGGTGCCAGGGACCCATGAACTTGAGGCTGCCTGTCTCCCAGGGCCTGCATTAGCAGGAAGTTGGAGTCAGGGGCAGAGCCGGGATCCAGGTATTTTAATATGACATGTGGGCATCCCAGACACCAAATGCCTGCTCTCCATGAACTTTTTGAAGACCTCTCAAGTGAGGCTGCCACTAGTGTCACAGCCTATTGTCACACAGTAAACTTTTTTTTATATAAGTAGAATACACTCTAAAATAATGATTAGGGGCTAGCGTTGTGGCACAGTGGGTTAAGCTGTCACCTGCAAAGCCAGCATCCCATATGAGTACCAGTTGGAGTCCCGGCTGTTCCACTTCTGATCCAGCTCCCTGCTAATGCTCCTGGGAAAGCAGCAGAAAATGGCCCAAGTGCTTAGGTCCCTGCACCCATGTGCGAGACCCAGATGGAGTTCCAGGCTCCTGTCTTCAGCCTGGCCCAGGCTGTTGCAACCATTTAGGGGGTGAACCAGGACATGAAAGATCTCTCTCTATCTGTCTCTTTTCCTCTCTTTCTCTATTTAACTCTGCCTTTTGAATAAATTAAAAATAAATATTTAAAAATAATAAAATGACTTAAAGAATAATATAGTGAATATATCATCCAATGACATAGTTGTTTATGATCATTATCAAGTATTATGTCTTGCATAATACAGATGTTATGCTTTATGTGACCACCAGTACACTTGGTGTGTTTACACCAGCATACTGCACACCTATGATGGCTGTGACATCACTAGGCGACAAGAATTTCTCCTCCCCACTATAATCTTACGGATCCACAGTGCCCATGCAGTCCGTCTTGAGGAAAACCCCCTTATGCAGCGACATGACTGCTCCAGTAAGCAGAAGCTGCACAGTGTGGCGGGACGGAGGCCTGGGCTTAGGGTCTCAGAACTGGAGTAGGCCGCCCATCAGCTGTGGCCTTAGACCCTCTTAACCTCTCCTCTGCAAAATGAAGCCATTCGTGAAAATGGCTCCCGTATCAGATTATTCTCCTGCGTAAGAATCCGAACGCCCAGCCTGTCCTGAGCAGCCAGGGCTGCCCACAGGCTGCTTTGCTCCGTCGCCTCCCTTCCCAGGCTGCCATGTGCATTTTCATCTTCCAGTCTGCAGTGTGCACAGCCTGTCTCCTGGGGAGGCTGCCACCTCACATGGCTGGCACTCCCCTCCCCCAGCTGCAGCTGCCTCTTTCAGATAGCCCTAAGGCAGACGGCGGACTGCAAGGCAAATTACAATCAGAGTCTGCCCTACAAGTGGTCACCAGGAGCTCCCGTTCTGAGGTCCAGCGCAGAGCGGACTCATCTCATACACTGGAGGGCGGGCGAGGGGTGTGCTGGGCCATCCCAGCCCCGTGCTCCCGGAGCTGGCCCGGTCGCTCTCAGACCAGCCCTGCCCACCCGTCCTCCATCACAGCTCTCACTGTTATTCTTTGTAACCCCGGGCACGCTTGGGCATCACAAAGCTGAAGCAGACTCCTCCAGGAATTGTCCCGGGCAGGCTTACCTGGGACCCCGCACTGGAGAAGGCTCCGACACCTGGGCAGCGCCTGTTTCCGCCTTCTGATGGAAAGCTGTCCCGGAGCAGGCGATGGCCCTCACCCTAGTGAGGGCCTAGTGGTGCCAGCCGATCGACCTAGGAGGAAACAAAGGGGGTGCGGAGGGGAGGAGCAGGTGGCAAGGAGAGCCACCCGGGAGCACCATCCAGCCCGGGGAGCTAGGATCCTTAGTGTTCTGTGAAATTTTGGGGCTTTTTCTGTGGGTTTCTGCCCCATTTTCTATGCATACACTTTTGTGTCTATGCACTCTAGCAATGCTGTCAGTTCTCCAGGATGGAGACTGTGTATCCAGCCTTGCCTTCCCCCTGGGGTGTGTGTGTGTGTGTGTGTGTGTGTGTGTGTGTAATCATTGTCCTCAGGCCCCACAGCAAGAGCACTGAAAAGACTCCAGCCAGCCCAACTAGCAGACACATCTGTACAGTGCTCTCTGTCTTAAGGATTTTTTTTCAGTCAGTGTTGGAGTCATTGCAAATTAATTTTGAGAACTAGGGGCTGGCCCTGTGGTGCGGTAGGCTAATCCTCCACCTGTGGCACCGGCATCCCATATGGGCATCGGTTCTAGTTCTGGCTGCCCTTCTTCCAATCCAGCTCTCTGCTATGGCCTGGGAAAGCAGTAGAAGATGGCCCAAGTGCTTGGATCCCTGCACCCACATGGGAGGCCGAGAGGAAGCTCCTGGCTCATGGCTTCGGATCCGCACAGCTCCGGCCATTGCAGCCATCTGGGGAGTGAACCACTGGAAGGAAGACCTTTCTCTCTGTCTCTCCCTCTCACTGTCTATATCTCTACCTCTCAAATAAATAAATAAAAAATCTAAAAAAAATTTTTTTTCGAGAACTAAAGACAGATGCGATGTGTTAGTCAACATTTTGTTGCTGTAACAAAATACCTGACACAGGAAGGTTTATTTTGGCCCATAGTTCTGGAGTTTCACAGTCTAAGATCAGGTTGCAACTATCCTAAGTGGTGTCTTAACTGCTCCGCTAAACATCTCCCACCCCCAGAAAAGCAAAACTTGGGCCTTTGGGGGAGGAGACGTTCAACATCCCGACTAATACTCAAACCATAGCATCCAGTCCTTATCAGTAGCCTCAAAAAAATTGTGATGTAGCTTTCTTTAGCTCTTTTCCTAGAAAAATAATCCATCATTTCTTTCATGTTTCAGAGGAAATGTCCTAAGAAAGGAGTTCATTTTTAAAAAGATTTATTTATCTATTTGAAAAGCAGAGTTACAGAAAAAAGGGGGACAGAGGGACATCTGCTAGTTGGCTCCCCAGTGGCTGCAATGGCCAGGGCTGGGCCAGGCCGAAGCCAGGACCCTGGAACACCACCCGGGTCTCCTATGTGAGTGGCAGGGGTGTAAGCCCTTGGGCCATCTTCTGCTGCCCCCGACCCCAGGTGCCTTGACAGGCAGCTGGATCAGAACTAGAGCAGCTGGGACTCAAAGCAGCACTCATATGAGATGTCAGCGTCACAGGCAGTGGCTTAACCTGCTCCCTACATCATGTGCCCCAGAAATGAGTTCTTAATAGTTTTTTCTCCAACTGTTATCAAGAGAAACGTAACAGGACACTGCTAAGTATCAAAGATGTTCTTTGCTAGAGTGAGCATTGCTTCTTTATGCTTTTTGCTTCTAGGTGTGTATCCAATTTTAAGGTGTAAATTTTGTTCACTTTTTTGCCAGTTCTTGGCTTTTGGGATCAAAACAGGAAAACTGACATTTGTTGATAGTTGGTTGACATCTTAATCACATTCTGATGCCTTTGGGGGTGTTTTAGAATCATCTACACCTTCCTTTGGTAAACTTGAAGTCAAGAAATTTTACTTTCTAATTGTGAAAAATAAATAAGTCTTCTGAAACACAGGGATTTACATTAGCAAAACTTTGCAAAACTATTTTCTGCTGCTCTCAGTTTTTCTTTAACTTCAGCTACATTCCCACAGATGATCTCTTTCATTGAGTTTTGAGTTTTCTCAATATGTTGAGAAATATATATTTCAAAAATGTTTTTAAAATTTCCTGAAAATTAAAGTGTGAAATGTGATCAGTTCTACAGCAAATCGTCACATCTTAAGAACTTTGTCCCAGTATGGTGCTGGAGTATTTGAATATTTTAACTCAAACTCCAAACAGAGTTGGAAAAAGCAGGTATGTTTTAAGAATTTCTTATACCTAATTTGATGTTTGTATATAGAATATGATCACACAAGTCTAGGTGATGGTAACTACTGTTTTCTTTTAAATATTTACTTTATCTTCAAAGCAGAGTTAAAGAGAGAGATATTGGGAGAGACAGAGGAAGAGAGGTTTTCCATCCAATGGTTCACTCCCCAAATGGCCACAACAGCTGGGGCTGGGCCAGGCAGAAGCCAGGAGCCAGGAACTACTTCCTGGATTCCTACATGGGTACCTGGGCCCAAGCACTTGGCCCATGTTCTGGTGCTTTCCCAGGTGCATTAGCAGGGAGTCACATTGGAAGTGGAGCAGCCGAGATGCAAACTGGTGCCCACATGATGCCAGCACTGCAGGCGGAGGCTTTACCTGCTATGCCACAGCACCAGCCTCTCCTGTGTTTTCTTGACTGGAAAGGGGAGCTATAGAGAGACAAAAGCAACAGAAGCGTGAGCCTTGCTCTTGGTACTGCTCCTCTTACACCTATCAGGAATACCGTGACTACTGTTCCATGGTATGAATAGACCGCATTTTGTTCACGCATTCATCCATGGTGGACCCTTGGGTTGCCTGCACCCTTTGGCTGTTGTGAGTAAAGCTGTTGTGAGCACTGGCATACAAGAGTCTGTCTGAGGCTCTGCATTCAATTCTGGGCAGCTCACTGAGAAGTGGAACTGCTGAATCGTGTGGTCATTCTGTGTGTAGATTTTTAGGAGCTGCCATACTGTCTTCCACAGTAGCTGCACTATTTCATATTCCCACCAGCCGCACATAAGCCTTGCAGTTTCTCTGATCCTCTCCAGTGCACATTGTGTTCCATCTTTTATTTGTTTGTTTAATAGTAGCCATCCTAATGGATGTGAAGTTATATATCATTGTGTTTTTTATTTACATTTCACTATGAACTAGTGGTGTTGAACATTTTTTTTGAAGAATTATTTTTTATTTGAAAATCAGAGTTAAACAGAAAGAGAGGGAAAGACAGAAGGAGATCTTCAATCCACTGGCTCACTCCCAGATAGCTGCAACAGCCAGGACTGAGCCAGGCCAAACCCAGGAGCCATGAGTTTCTTTCAGGTCTCCCGTGTGGGTGGCAGGGGCCCAAGTACTTGAGCCATCATCTGTTTGCAGCAGCGAGCTGGATCAGAAGTGGAGTAGTGGCTGGTGATGCGGCTCAATAGGCTAATCCTCCACCTGCGGTGCCGGCACACCGGGTTCTAGTCCCGGTCGGGGCGCCGGATTCTGTCCCGGTTGCTCCTCTTCCAGTCCAGCTCTCTGCTGTGGCCAGGGAGTGCAGTGGAGGATGGCCCAAGTGCTTGGGCCCTGCACCCCATGGGAGACCAGGAGAAGCACCTGATTCCTGGCTTCAGATCAGTGCGGTGTGCCGGCTGCAGCGCACCAGACACAGCGCACCGGCCACAGCGGCCATTGGAGGGTGAACCAATGGTAAAAGAAGACCTTTCTCTCTGTCTCTCTCTCTCCCTGTCCACTATGCCTGTAAAAAAAAAAAAAAAAAGTGGAGTAGCATGGACTTGAACTAGTACTCTAATGTGGGATGTGGGCATCTCAAGTGTGGCTTAACTCACTGTTAAGTGAATGAAACCAATAGAGGCCATAACTCCCACCCCATAGGATTCATTTTTGTAACTGGTATCTATTCATACCAAAGTTGCAAGGAAGTCATTAGCTAATGGCATAAATTCAGGGTGCTTTGTAAACTTAAATCCTGTAATAGTGCTATTATTAAACATTTTGCCTCAGCCTTTGGGAAAAGTACCCATTAGTAGGAAAGAGGAAAAAAAAATCAAGGAGCCACAAAATCTGTAAGCGGTAGAATGTAAACACAGATATTACCTTGAACAAGAAGTAATTCCCATTTTATCCGTAGATAGAAGAGCAAATGACCAGGCTGCGTTCTCCAAGTTGCCACTCTGTCTCTGTGAAATGGCAGCAGCTAAATCTGGACGCACCTGAGCCCCTGCAGGCCCCAGCCCAGGTGCCCTCCTTGTTCCACAACGACCGGCTCCTTGTCTATGGATTCATCCCTCATTGTACACAGGTAGGAGGGTGCACAGCAGGTGCACCACGGGGAGAGCCATACGTTTTGCTACTTTTTCCCCTCTGGGTGGCAGATTTTCTCCTTCCGGGGACACAGCCAGGGGTCAGCCTGGGCTCAGAGAGGCTTCTGACTCATCAGACACTGGGGTGACAAGCTAATGACGAGGTAATGTTTTTCCTCTGTCCCAGGCAACTCTGTGTGCACTCATTGACGAGAAGGAATTTCAGGCCATGGTGTCCACTACTGAGCTTCAGAAGACAACAGGGACGGTAAGAGTCAAACGAACTGTGGACCGAAAGTTCTGTGTTTTCTTATGTGGGCCTAATGCTCCATGTGTTTCCTGTGTTGTATGTGATATTGAGCTTGATCACGTGTACACACAGGGACAGTGCTGAATACGTGGGTGACACCAGCTCTGTGCCCTACATCTTAATCCACCTCTGACTGTTAACTGCCCAGACTCAGCCTGTGTCCCAGGAGGAGAGGGCACAGTCCCACGGGATTGCCCCCAACTCAGACACTCGTGGGCCCCCAGGTTGCCCACACTTCTGTCTGCCTCAGCTACAAACTGCAGATTCCCACTACCCTCGTAACGTGCTGTAACAGCTCACAGAGCTCAAGGAACACTTCCTCCCTCTTCCCAAGTTCCTGTGTTACTAGGATGATACAAAGCACACATCCAGACAGACAAACGGGGCGAGTCTGGAAGGGTCCCCAGTGCTGGAATTGCTGCCCCCAGGGAGCTGGAGTGTGCCACCCCACCGCCTGTGGATGTGTCCAACCCACAGGCCCTCTGGGCCTTCAGTCGGGGTCATCACACAAGAGTCGCGATGGGCTCACTGACCCCTGTGATTAACTCTGCCCCTGGAAGTGGGCTGAGCAAGTCCCAGTGCTCTAATCTCTGGCAGAGCGGGGGGGGGGGGGGGGGGGGGGGGGGGCACCTGGGGGACTTCCAGAACACAGTCTTATTAACATAGATGTGGGCGTGGTTGGAAGGAGCCAATAGAGAGTAACCCTTTCAGCTTTGGTGTCTCTGGAGGGGTTTCAGGATCCGAGAACGAAAGATCAAATGGAGCAACAAATGCTCCCTCCCTTTTTCTTTTAAACATTCCTTTATTTATTTGAAAGGCAGAGTGACAGAGAGAAAGAGAGAAAAACAGAGCTCTTCCATCCACTGGTTCACTCTCCAAATGTCCACAACAGTCAGGGCTGGGCCAGGCCAAAGGCAGGAGCCAGGAACTGCAGCCAGATTTCCCATGTGGGTGCAGGGACCCAAGGATGTGGGCCATCCTCTGCTGCTTTCCCAGGCGCAATAGCAGGGGCTGGATCAGAAGTGGGGCTGCCAGGACTCGAACCGGCGATGTAGTTAACCTGCGGTGGCGCAGTGCCAGTCCCTCCCTCTTACACTAAGGAAGTCACAGTGTATTCTTTAGTAGGTGTGTGCCAGGAAGTATGGACAAAGACCAAAATACATCTATATTATGAGATTACAGCATCACAAGCAATCACCAAAAAGCTTGCGGCATTTGCCTTAGTACTCATCCACTGTAGTTTTGACCTTGAAAACTCCTGAGCTGTCAATTCTATCTATGTACTTTGTTATTCATAGGATTATTTGTATAACCAGGTAAATCATATTCTGGTTATTGCTGTCATTCAAAAATAAGATACAGCTTACTTTTTGGACAGTGAATCAATATAACTGACTTAATATTTGCCAGCGACTTAATGTATGGAATTGAAGGGAATCTTGTTTTAAAAATCGAATCTAAGGGGGCAAGAAAGCCAAGGATTTTACCTGGAAATGGGTCATTTTCCATAAAATCACAGTCTGGGTGCTGACCTTCCTCTGTGACTTGTGATTATTGAAAGCAGACGTTACCATTTGAGACCCGTTCCTCTTGTTAGTCTGAGAGGAAGCATTTCACCTGCAGGTCCTGTGGCCCCTGCCCTGCAGCATGGAGACCCCATTCCTGGCTGCACACCCCCAGCACCAGCTTGGCTCCTCCTACAGTGGAAGAGCAGTTATAAATTGTCTGCAAAATGGCCATTGATAGAAAAGGCACATCTCAAGGGACAGAAAACAGAAGAATGGTGGCCAGTGGTTGGGGCCAGGAGACTGACCACAGAGGTGGTTTTTGGGGTGAAGGGATGTTCTGTGTCTGCATTTTGGGCATGGCCACACAACACTATACTTCCGTGAACACTCACCCAATCGCACTCTGGTAAAGGGTAAATTCTACCACGTGTAAATTATACCTCAGTTTTTACAAAAGAGTGTCCTACGTCTTGGATGAGAAGCCATTTGAATCTCTCTCACCTTTGTTGCTTAAACACAGATGATTCACAAGCTGACGGCGCGAGCTCTGATCAGAGATTACGAAGATGGCATTCTCCATGAAAACGAGACAAGCCATGAGGTTCGGGCTTTTTTTCATAGAACCCATAGAATCGCTTGTTTTAGCCAAGGGAATGTAAGGTGAGGACAGCTGTGTGGAGAAGAACGTGCTGTCCGGGGAACATCCACCCCTGCTTCTGTGACATCCGGGCCTGGAGTATGGGTGCTTCAAGAATGTTCCTGGAGTATGGGTGCTCCAAGAATGTTTGTTGAAGTTCGTGAAAGCATGGATGTCCGTGCCTTCCTGAGAATTCTGTAACCTTTTACCCTGCACAAAGAGACTGCAGTGGCGCTCAGCCAACGTTCATTGAGTGCCTGTAATGGATGTCATCTCAGCTGTCCTGTGGCAAGGACCAGGGGCAGGCCGGTGGGAGACCTGCCTAAGGCACCCGGCAGAGCCAAAGGCCACCCTGTTCCCTTCTTGCTGTGTAGATGGACCCGGGCTGAAGGTCTCACCCATCGAGCCCAGCCTGGCAGTTCAGCTGGTCACCCAGGGGCTGTTATCTGAAAGAAAGTTGGGGAGTGTTGGTGTTACGTGCAATCCCAAAGGAAGGTGCCAGATGCCGTGGAGGGCCAGGTACCCTGACGGACAGGCACGGCCGGTGACAAATGGCCTCGCGCTCACTCTGGTCTCCTAACAGCCTTGGAGCACAGCTTTCTGTTCTGTTTTGCTTAAGGCCCTTTTATCTCTGGAGGCAACTGACCAGGCCCTGCCCGGGACCATCCTACACTGCGCCCTCTGCCCCTTCAACGCCTCCATGGACTGAGGGCTCTCGCCACTGGTGGGTGCTCTTTATAAACTCCAAGAGCTGGCTTAACAGGAGCTCCTCTTCTGTGGCTGAGCTAGGTCAGCTGACCCCGTGTTACACGGAGTGTTGGGTCACCTACCTGACAAGGCCCTTAACCTAGCATTCAGTTTGACGTGCTTAATAGAAGGAGGCTTACTTGTCATAGAAAAACACCAATTTAGACTAGTTAATGCTCTCTTTAACCGAGCGTGTGTAGCTAGACTCAAATAAAATGGGTCCTGGTTTCTTTGGTTTTATTCTCTCCTAGATGAAGAAACAAAGCTTAAAATCTCTGATCGTTAAACTCAGTAAAGAAAACTCTCTCATCACACAATTTACCAGCTTTGTGGCAGTTGAGAAAAGGGTATGTATTGCTAATTCGTGGTTACTTTATGGTATTTACATCTTACGGAAGTGGCTCTCGCTCTGATCTTGTGAAGGGCAGGGTGGGGGAAGCCAGCAGGCCTCCTGTCCATCATGGCCTCCACCAGGATTTCTGATGACCTCTCTAAATGCTTATGTTATCATTTTAATGATATGATTATTAATTAGCTACATATGTATTCTCAAGGTGTCCTGCCATTCTGTTACATTTTTGGCACTTCTCATCTTTCATTAATCTGACACTTCAAAAAAGTAGATAAGGCCTAGGTTTCCCTTCCCCCACCAAGACGCCCTTTCCTCTTCATGAGTAAGAAACCCACGTGCAGCACTCAGCACAGCTCTCAGCGGCACCCCTCAACTGAGGGGCCTGTTGGTGCCTCTTTCTCTCAAACCCGTGACCCAGGCCATGAGACCCAACCTGACAGACAGACCCAGTGCAAATGCAACAACCACAAGGCTTTAGAATGTGTGATCATCATTAATTTGAGAATGGCAGTTTTAATTTAACCCCAATGTGATTCAATATAGGATGGTAATGAGTCACCGTTTCCTAATACACCAAACATCTCAAAACTGATTGCTGAAGAAGATGTGGACTTTCTGCCTTACATGAATTGGCAGGAGAAGCAACCAGGAGCCAGCACAGCGCAGGTGAGCCCTAATTACCAAGTCAGCAGAAAATGCACTTTCATAGTTCCACGACAGAGCTCGAATAGCACCCTTGTCACCTGCATCTACAGGTTGTCTCCTTGATGAGGGAAAAAACACACCAGTGTAGCAGCAAAGTACAAAACGAGAATGACTGTGGCTATGCTTCGTTCATGGGCAGATTCACTGCCACACAGCCAGCCAGTCAGGTAACAGGAGAGGACTTCAAAAAGTTTATGGAGGGCTCGGTGTTTGGGGCAGTGGTTAAGACACCACTTGGGTTGCCCACATCCCATCTCAGAGTGCCTGGGTTCTACCCTGATTCCAGCTTCCCGCTAATGGGCATCTCGGGAGAAGCTCGTGATAGCTCCTGGAGTGGGTCCCTGCCAGCCACATGGGAGACCCGGATTGATTTCCAGGTTCCTGGTTCCAGCCTGGCCCAAGCTGTTGTTGCAGGCATTTGAGGACTAAGTCAGTGGGATGAAAGATCTCTCTCTGTCTCTGTCTTTATTTTTGTCTCTATTTCTATTTCTGTGTGTCTCCCTCTGTATTCTTTGCCTTTTAAATAAGATAAAAATAAATGAATAAATAAAATTGTTTTAAAGTTCATGGAAAAATGGAATTTAAGTTTCTTTTGGTGCAAACAATTTTGAAATCGGTGCAGTTTTCTCATATTGTACATTCCACATGAACTTTTTGAAGATCATTTTTTATTAAAGATTTATTTATTTGAAAGTCAGAGTTACAGAGAGGCAGAGGCAGAGAGAGAGAGAAAGGTCTTCCATCTGCTGGTGCACTCCCCAGATGGCTGCAACAGCAGGAACCGTGCCTTTCCAAAGCCAGGAGTCAGGAACTTCTTCTTGGTCTCCCACGTGGGTGCAGGGGCCCAAGGACTTGGGTCATCTTCTACTGCTCTCCCAGGCCATAGCAGAGAGCTGGATCAGAAGAGGAGCAGCTGGGACTCAAACCAGCGCTCATATGGGATGCTGGCACGGCAGCTGGCGGCTTTACCCACTCACTGCACAACACCAGCCCCTCTCATTTTCTTAATATTGCCAGAAAGACTGACATAATTTACTTCAAATTATTTGCTTATTTTCGGGCTCATTTCCACACTACGATTCTGTTCAGTGTAACATTTGGACAAGTCACTTCTCCGCGGGAAAGGAGGGGTGGGTGTCCACGGTTCTGATTCTCGGATCACAGAAACACCTTTGGAGGTGTTGTTGCTGCTGTTCTCTCCAGAGCTCTGCGTCCTTATCTATAAACCCAGGGCTCCTATTGAAACGTCCTGAGTACCTCGGGTGCCCTGCCCGCGCGTGCTGACGACCCTGACTGCGATCCCGGGGTCCTTGGGACGCCAATCGCGGGGAAGAACGTTCACCTGACCCTTCATTTTGTTCTGTTTTCCCCTTCAGCGCCTTCCTTCAGTATCTGCATGCGATGAGGAAGTGCAACCTAAATATTTGGTTAAAAAGAAACTGAAGCGGCGTATGTTGCAGGTCCTTGAAACAATGGAAGAGGCAGACTCAGATTCACAGCTATTGGCAGAACCTCTCACACCCTATCTTGGATGTGGAGATCCGGAAATGTTTTTGGATTTAAGAGTGATGGATTCACAACAACAACCAGAAATCACAGTGCAGTTAGACAGAGGCGTGCCAGAAAATGCAGTTGCTTCCAGCTTTCCTGTGGGGGCTGCAGCCTATGGCTGCTCCGCCATGCCTCCTCCGCCCCCTCTCCCTGGTGCCTCCTTCGCTTCCAACAAGGGTCGTCAAGTGTTTGCTTCCAGATTTCTTTCGCTGGCTGCAGCCAGTGACTCCTCCGCCATGGCTCTAACGCTGCCTGTCTATGGTGCTCCCTCACCTTCCTACATGGGTCCTCAGGTGTTGGCTTCCAAACGGATTGCTTCCAGCTTTCCTTTGGCGGCCGCAGCCGGTGGCTCCTCCTCCTCTCCTCCTCCACCCCCTCTCCCTGATGCTTCCTCCTCTTCCCGCACATGTCTTCAGGGCCCTCTTTTTGGTTCTTCTTTCTCTTTTGATTCTCTTTCTCCTTTCAAACACTCAGACCCACCAAATGACGGCCAGCGCCCTGAGACCAGCAGCTTGCTTCAGTTGGAGTCTTCTCCCAGTCCGCTTCGCCGGATCCCCAAAGGGAGGTTGTCCTCTCTTAGCTTTAGGAGGTCTAAACTGTCGGAGTTACCTGAACCTCTTCGAGCCCAAAGTAGCAGGCTTAATGTTAAAAACGCCAGCCCCGGCCCACATTCGCTGTTCGCTCGTCAAGGCCCTTCTGTTGGTCCCACCGGCCCCCGTAGTCCCTCTTACAGCCCCCTTAGTCCCTCCGTTTATTGCGCTCAGAGCGTCAGCTCACCAGTGCTCTCAGTACACCAGCGCCCTCTCCTGTCCTCTCTTCCTGCCAGAGCTGCACCGTCGGGTTCTCCCACAGGAGGGCTCTGTGCTGATGACAGGTCTGTGGGAAAAGACAGTGATGGATTAGCAGACATACCTATGAGTGAGGTGTTTGCAGACGTACTTATGAGCTGTGAGTCTTTCGACGTGGAGGATCAAGCTGATGAGACCGAAAGGGACTTCCCATTGCCTCTACCTTGCCTGGCAAAAGAAAGAAAAAAGGAACAAAGGGACTTTCAGGCAGGAGAGAGAGGGGAAGCCGTGGTCCAGGAACAGAGCCGCAGGAGTGCTGCGACGTACACGGAACTCTTCAGTCTACAAACCGAGGTATTTGGCCTGCTTCGCTGTAAATGTGTGGTTAGTTGGCTTCGTGGTTAAGCAGTGCCGCTCAGAGTAATCGGCCATCAGAACTGCTGGTTACCAGTCAGTCGTAAAGTAAGGGATTTGTGCCAGTGCTGAGTCACGCTGCTTTCTTCATCAAGAAACTCTTGCTTCCCAAACCCACCAAAACCACACCAGCTAGCGGATGGGAGCAATATGTTTAATAATGACTGGTGCTTGCCCATTAACTGTTGAGCCAGAACCTCATGTTGGTGAATTTTAATATTCCTCAGTTGACAGCGTCCCTGAGCAGATCGTAGGGTAAGACCTTAATTCCCTAGGTGCTAGAACTGATGAACTGCCCTTCATACACATTTTCTATTGTGAAGCAAAACAGAATGCTATAAATGTACTCTAGTTATTTTTCTTTAAAGATGTATTTATTTGAAAGAGTTACAGAGAGAGAGGGAGGGAGAGACAGAGAGAGAAAGAGAGAGAAAGAGAGAGAGCGAGCTTCCATCCACTGGTTCACTCCTCGAATGGCTACAACAGCCAGAGCTGGGCTGGTCAGAAGTCAGGCGCTTCCTCTGGGTCTGCTTTGTGGGTGCAGGGGCCCAAGGACTTGGGCCATCCTCTACTGGTTTCCCGTTAGCAGGGAGCTGGATCTGAAGTGGAGCAGCTGGGACTGAAACGGGCACCTGTATGAAAAGCTTTACCCGTTACAGCACAGCGCCAGCCCCTAGGTATTTTTGCATGAGTTCTTGGGAATACAGGAATTAGTCGACCTGTAATATTAGATTAGATCTTATCATTCCATTTGTTAAACTAAGAAACACTCCAGGAATTGAGCTCCTACGCTGATGCTAAGACCCCATCTGACCTCTGTAACTGTATTGACTTAAGGTAATTTAATAAAGTGGAAGGGGCTGGATTTAGCATAAGATTAAGCATGAGTCCCAGTCCTACCACTGTGTGACTTGGGGCAAGTCAGGTCACCTGTGTGAGCCTCAGTTTCCTCATCCACATAGTGGGGATATAATGGCGTCTACCTCACAGAAGGGTTTTCCGGTTGAAATAGGACGGTCCCAGCTGCCCACCTTCCCTGCCTGCGAGGATCAAGTGCAAGCCGGCAGGAAGAAGCAGAGCAGCGCTGCCCACAGAGCAGAGGGTGGGCCCTGCCGCCAAACTCCAGGGGCTCCAGTCCTGCTCTACGACACAGTACGCTGTGACTTTGGACAAGGCGCCCACCCTCTCCCTGTCTCCACATCCTCACCTGCAAAGTGGGTAAACGATAGGACCTCCACCAGGAAAGTGCCTGAAAAGACAGAAGAACCGCTCCCAGGGGCTAGTTCTGTACAGGTGGCCCCTAGCATCGCTGCTGTTAGTTTTCAGGTTTCTGCCATAGATCCGGTCACCTGTGACCTGTGCAGGATGGGACCCTCCTTCCTGCTCTCTCTCTTAGTTCCCAGAGGGCCTAGGGTCTGTCTCTTTCAAGGTGAGGATCCCCAAGCCCAGACTTCTGCATTCTCCTATGCACATGACAAGGCAGGCAGGGGACGGTGGGCACAGGGAGGGTAGTTTAGAAGAGCAGGTTCAATATAACACCTTTGTATTTAGAAATATGTTGCCATCATATTTCAGACTACCTAAGGGCTCACTTGTAATGCTTGAACAAAAAGAATCAGGCAGGCGTCCTAGTGTGCGTGATGAACAATACTGTTTTCTGCTCTTTGATACCTGTGAAGACAGGCCTTACGCCCAGTGCTAAGGAGGTGGAAGGGAACTTTCGGAAGCGCTGGATGAGTTGCGGCGTTGTTTGCAGTGGTGGTTAGTTATAAACTGATGTCCAAACACGGCAGCTTGCACATTCTAAAGATCCGAGGCTCTTTTTTTTTTTTTTTTAATGTCAGTCATACCTTGAAAAAGACGCCTTTAAAGAAAGGAATCATGCAATTTAAAAGTTGGAGGAACACGGGTTCAGAGTATTGTTAGGAGGAAACAAATGTGTAGTACCATTTTTAAAAAATCTCTACACCTGAGCCTCTTTCCAGATTTTTTGTAAATGCCACCATTTAATGTCTATAGTACTTATGGTATCCCAGACAAGATTGTGTCCTAGGGTGTGAAGACCCTTGATATCTAGGTAATAAAAGCTTTTCAAAAGTCTTAATTGTTGAAATTGAAAAACATGGAAATTTATTTACTACTTAACCTCGTTTGTGATGAAAGTTTAATAATGTGACTTAAAACTTGCTTCTTAATTTCATAGGATGGCTTCTGGAAACTTACACCCAACCTAGGATTTATTTTAAACTTCAATACAAATGTTTTACTCAGCTTTCTTGAACAAAAAGGCATTCGCTCTCTGGGTAAGTCTCAATTTTTCTGTTCACTTAAGGCACAATAATTGTTCATTTTTCCATTCATTCATAGGTATGTGCCTAATTGTTATAAATTTTTTAAAGGTTTATTTATTTGGAAGGCAGAGTTGCAGAGAGAGAGATAGGCAGAGGTAGAGAGAGAAGTCTGCATCTGCTGGTTCACTCCGCCAGATGGCCACAACAGCAGGAGCTGGGCCTATCCAAAGCCAGGAGCCAAGAGCTTCTTCCGGATCTCCCATGTGCGTGCAGGGGCCCAAGGACTTGGGTCATCTTCTACTGCTCTCCCAGGCTATCAGCAGAGATGCTAGATCAGAAGTGAAGCAGCCGAGTCTTGAACCGGCACCCACATGGGATGCCAGCACTGCAAGTGGTGGCTTTGCCCACTATGCTACAGTGCCAGCCTGTGGGGAGCAACTCGGACTAGACTAAGTTACTGGAATTAAGACTTATTCTATGCATCTGCTCTCCCACAATATGGCACTGGGAGAGGAGTAAACAACTTCTACACAGCTGCCTCCAGTTCGACCAATAACCTGCAGGAGCTGATCCTGCTCCTGATTGGAGGAGAGCAGCGTACTCGGCATGTGGGTAGCAGAGTTGGGATTGGTGGAAGAGGACTATAAAGGAGGAGAGAGATAACATGCACCAGGAACATCTAAAGGGAACATCAGGATAACATCTGAGCAGCCCCCGAGAGAGAGCCGGCCGGTGGTGTGCCGCTCCCCCGCGGAAGTGGGGAAAGTGGCAGGGGGAGCCGCCCTTCCACGGAGGTGGAAGGGTCGGCAGCCAACCTGGGAAGGACCAGCAGCAAACCCGGGAAGGGCCGAGCAGACAAAAGAACAGCGCAGGGTCCTGGGTCGTTCCTCCGCGAAGGGGGGAGCGACACTAGCCCCTATAAATTATTTTGTAAAGAAGTTAATTAATACAATAATTATTAAAGTTGTATATGAATGGGATTATATTTGTTAAATATCAATGGAAATAGGAGAGTAGTTTGTAATCATACCTTAACCACTACTTAGGGTGTTATATGTGCTGTAAACAACAATCCCACAATCTTAGTAGCTCAACACCATCGAATGTTACCCACCAGGATGGGTGCTATCATGCAACACTCCTGCTAATGCGCCTGGGAAAGCAGCTGATGACCTAAGTGCTTGGGCCCCTGCACCCATGTGGGAGATCTGGATAAAGCTCCTGGTTCCTGGCTCCTGGCTTTGGCCTGGCTCTGCCCTAGTTGTTGCAGCCATCTGGGGAGTGAACCAGCAGATGGAAGATATCTCTCTCTCTCTCTCTCTCTCTCTCTAACTCTCCCTTTCAAATAAATAAATAAAATATTTTAGAAATATATTGCTTGCCCATATCAGTCAAATATTGGTCAGCAGGGAAGTTCCTCTCCCTGTAGTCACTTACAGACCCTGGCTCTTTCTGCATGTGGCTCTACTATGTTCAACAGGTAGCTTGAAAATTATTCTGGTAAAAGCAAACAAGAAAAAAGATTACTGTGGTATCTTCCACTTAGTAGACAGGAGGAAGAAAAGATGGTGAGAACCAGTCACATGGCCCCACCTGGGAACAAAGGAGCTAGGGGCTAGGGGAACTTTTTTGTTTGTTTTTTTAGTTTTGTGCCCAGGAGAGACAACAGTTTTGACAACAGCCAGGCTCTGCTGGAACCAGTTTTGTGTTGTCAGGACAGCAAATGCAGAGGTCCTGGGCATCTTCAATCCAGCAATGGTTTGGAGGTCAAATGCTAGCCCTGAGATAAGAATTTGTATTTATTCTGGGGCCGGCGCTGTGGCACAGCGGGTTAACACCCTGGCCTGAAGCACCGGCATTTCATATGGGCGCCGGTTTGAGTCCCGGCTGCTCCACTTCCGATCCAGCTCTCTGCTATGGCCTGGGAAAGCAGTAGAAGATGACCCAAGTCCTTGGGCCCCTGCACCCACGTGGGAGACCCAGAGAAAGCTCCTGGCTCCTGGCTTTGGATTGGCACAGCCCCAGCCATTGTAGCTATTTGGGGAGTAAACCATCAGATGGAAGACTTCTCTCACTGTCTCTCCTTCTGCCTCTGCCTCTCTGTAACTCTGACTTTCAAATAAATAAATAAATCCCTTAAAAAACAAAGGCCTGTAGAACAGTCAAAACCAGGCAGAGACTGGAGGATGATGCTCAAAAGAAAGGAAGCAAAGCAGGCCAGCCCCACATTTCCCAGCTTCCCGCCTGGGGGCACCTAGGTTGAAGTCTTAATGGGATGAGGACACAGGGTCAGAGTTCAAGGTGTCAAAGTGACTGCAAAGTGTGAACATTCTAGAAAGAGGTAGGTGTTCTGGTGCTATGGGTTAAGCCAACACGTGGGACACCCACGTCCCACATCAGAGTACCACGGATTGAAGCCCACCTCCCCTACCCATCCAGCTTTCTGCTAGTGCACCTGGGGGCAGCAGATAATGGCATAGGACTTGGGTTTCTGCAACCCACTTGGGAGACTCAGATGGAGTTCCTAGCTCCTAACTTCAGCCTGGCCCAGCCCTGGCTATTGTGGGCATTTGGGCACACACACTTGTGCAGCTACCAGATGGAAGATCCCTCGGTCTCTCTCTCTCTCTCTGTCATTTATTCAGATAAATAAATCTTAAAAAAAATAAAATTCCTAGGAAGGAGGTAGCCACACAGAGGAGGAGCTCTGAAATTCCATGCACATCCCCCTCAGCTTCTTGGCTCCCTTAACCCACGCGTTCCCAGGCTGTGAGTATAAGGAAACCAGGAAGAAAAGCTGGGAAGCCCAGAGCTGGGCCAAGGTTTTCAGCTGCTGCCTAGGGCTGGGAGACAGAGTCTGGTCTTCAAAGGATGTCATGCACCCCTGGAAACATCATGAAGGCCTTCTCTCTCTCCTTTTTTGAAGTTCTATTTATTTGTTTTTATTTATGTATAGAGACAGAAATCTCTCACCTGCTAGTTCACTCCCCAAATGCCTGCAACAGCCAGGGCTAGGCCAGGCTGAAGCCAGGAGTCTGGGCCTCAATGTAGGTCTCCCAAGTGGGTGACAAGGACCCAATTGCTTGAGCCATCACCTGCTGCCTAGGGTCATACCCCTTGATCAAGGACTATATCACAGGACAAAAGGAAAAACCAAAATAGGCCCACCCTAGCAGAGCCAATAAAAGCAAACTCTTCACAGGTCCCACTAGAACAAAACTGGACACTCTTCAAAGTAGGATGGCATAATCCAGGGTCTCTTATAAAGAATCATCTAAATGTGCAGTATAGAGTGGAAAGAAAATGTATTTAACCTTGCTTCTTGGATCTCCTTTTTCCCATTTTATTTGAAAGGTGGAGTGATGGAAAGAGAGGCACCCAGGCACTTTGCTAGGAATGTGGGCATCTTTTTTTCTAAGACCTTTGTGGCTCTTGCTTTTTATTATTATTTGTGTGTATTTGAAAGAGAAAACGAGAGAGAGAGAGAGAGAGAGAGAGAGAGAAAGAGAGAGAGAGAGAAATGTTTTCCATCTGCTGGTGCATTTACCAAATGCTCGCAGCAGCTGGGGCTGGGCCCAGGATGGAAGCAGAAGCCAGATGTCACTCCCATGTGGGTGACAGGGACCCAAGTATTTGAGCCATCACCTGCTGCTCTCAGGGTCTGCATTAGCAAAAAGCTGATCTTGGAAGCAGACCTGGAATCTGAAGCTGGCACTTGAACCCAGGAACTCCAATACGGGATGCTGGTGTCCCAACCAGTATCTAAACTGCTGGACCAAACTCCCACCCTGACACTGAATTTTTTTCATCATACTTCATGTACTTCATGCCTCCCTGGTTACTGAAGGTGGCAGGGGAGGGACTTCTGGAACCAGTCTACTTTCCTCATAAACATCTTGCTGTGATAGGCATGATTCTGTCATCCTCATTTTTAAACTTAAATAGCAATCTAAGTACCTTGATAGAGTTTATGATGTAGCCCTATGTTATGGTTTAATAATAACAGTATATTCTTTAATGGAAATTGTGTACATGGGCACAGTTTGAGATGCAGCCCTGATGGAGGTCTTTCCTTTTAGGTGTCAACGGGAGAGAATGTCTCCTGAACCTGATTGCCACGTTGCTGGTCCTGCAGTTTCTTCGCACCAAGTTGGAACAAGAGGGGATTGTCCTGAAGTCGTTGATGAAATTGGACGTGCCTTCTGTTTGCAGGTGGCTTTTGGGATAGCAATAAACAACACGTGGATATTCAACTGTTTCTTAAATAAGCCTTGCAGAGTGAATTTGTTGAAGGGTGGCAGAGCTGCCAAGTCTCCTGTGATAGGCGGGGCTGACCCAGGGTTCTGGGTCTGCAGACCACACAGGAAACAGGCTCTGAGAGTTTACCTGTAGCTCATGCTGCAGCACAGGTCTCCCAGCTCCTGGATAGCTCTTCTTCACAATAGTGTGTTAATCCTGTGTGCCTTCAGGAGATCCATGACATAACTGTTGGGCCCAAGCCTGTTCCCAACAATTGCAGGGTGTGGGACCAAGAGGACAAATGGAAGCCCACATGCTCGATGTCTAAGTATTTAGCAGTTATAAATCAGACTGGCACACTACTAAGTAAAATGTGTTCTAATCTTCTACCTTGACAAGTACAACTCTGTAACCACCTGGGAGGCCAGGGTCAAAGTTAGCCTTCATTTGACCCCTCAGCACCATTAGAGGCCTTCAGTGCCCATATAAACACCACACATCACCCATCACAGAGCCAGGCACACCAGATGCACTTGACCGCCCTGCAGACCTAGTGACATGTTAGCACCATGCAGACCCAGGAGGGCAAACAAGGGGACTCTGGCCATCTGCTCAGAGAATGCTGTGACTCAAGGGTCTACAGGAAGGCTATGGACTATTTGAGAGCCTTTTTGCAGGCTCTGGGCTCTGGGTGGGCACATTTCTCTCTCTCTCTCTCTCTCTCTCTCTTTTAATTAATTTATTTATTTGAGAGTCAGAGTTACACAGAGAGAGGGGAGGCAGAGAGAGAGAGAGGTCTTCCATCTGCTGGTTCACTCCCCAGATGGCCGCAACAGCCGGAGCTGCGCCGATCCAAAGCCAGGAGCCAGGAGCTTCTTCCAGGTCTCCCACATGGGTGCGGGGGCCCAAGGACTTGGGCCATCTTCTACTGCTTTCCTGAGCCATAGCAGAGAGCTGGATTGGAAGCGGAGCAGCTGAGACTCGAACCTAAACATTATGCAAATTACACTTTGAAATATTTGTTTTAAAATTACTGTAGCTAGTCTTTTTCGCATTACCTTGTAACCTCTTTCTGTGCAAAGGTCTTTACATATTACTAATTAAATGAAGTCCGTTTTGACAATTTTTTATGTGGATGAGTTACTTTGCAAAATGGAAAATTGACATGAATTTCAAGAGAGGCCACCTCTGGCTAACAATTTAAGCCATGGCTTTTCTTTCTCCCTTTCAAAATCATTTGACTAATTTATCACAGCTTGCTCGAAAATAACATTTTTCTGAGTTTGTGAATCAAACATAGACAGGTAAGATATTCGGAAGTGAGAAGTGATCAGTTTTCTTTGCCTTTTTTTTTAAATTCAGTTGTATTTTTTTAAATATTTTAGTATGTTATTTATTTTCACTTTATTTGAAAGGCAGAAACAGAAACAAGAGCCTGGAACTCAGTCCAGGTCTCTCACATGGGTGGCAAGGACTCAAGTACTTGAGCTGTCATCTGCCTCAAGGGGCGCGCATTTGTAGGAAGCTGGATCCAAAGTGGAAGAGCCCAGGCTTGAACCAGGCACTCCAATAATGCACGTGTCCCAAGTAGCATGTTACCCACCATGACAAATGGCCACCTTTCTGCCGTTTAACTGTGGGTCTTGGAAAAGTGCAAATACAAGACTTCCAAATGAAAGAATAACAAGTGCAGGATAACAGAGTTGTCACACATTTTTAACTCTAAAACATCACATACATGCATGACAGGTATATACAAGATGACTTCAAAAGATCAATGGAAAATGCAGTTAAAAGACTACTTTGTAAAATAATTTGGAGTCATATATATGTAGAATCTTCAAAAAAGTTCATGGAAAATGGGTATTACAATAAAACTGCATTCCAATTTTTATTTTTTACCAAAATAAACCATCTTTCCATTATACTTTTCTGTGAAGTACCCTAGTACTTACATCCTGATAGTAAATCTTTGTATCTCATGAACAACAACAAAAAAAAAGTGGAGCAGCCAGGTCTCCAACTGGCGCCCATATGGGATGCCAGCACTTCAGGCCAGGGCGTTAACTCACAGCGCCACAGCACCAGCCCCCTGACAGCTACTTTTAAAGTGTCATGTTTAAGAAAAAGTTATTTCTTAGAGATACATGTGTATAGATAAATTTAAATAAATAAATAAGTAGACCTATTTTTACCTCTCACAAAGACTGATTATATGTTCTATTCTCAGGGTGCCCAGCACTGTGACACAGTGGGTTAAACCGCCACTTGCAATGCTGACATCTCATAGCAGCGTGCTGGTGCAAGGCCTGGCTGCTCTGCTTCCAATGCAGTTTCCTGCTAATGTGCCTGGGAAGGCAGTGGACAGTGGCCCAAGTACTTTTTGAAGACCAACTGAAGTAAAGGAAAGGCCAGCTAGGGCTGATGTCGTGATGCAACGGGTTAAGGCACTGCTTGTGACACCCACATCCCGTGTCAGGGCACTAGTTTGAGTCCCAGCTACTCACTTCCAATTTAGCTTCCTGCTAATATGCCTAAGAGGCAACAGAAAATGGCCCAAGGACTTGGGTCCCTGCCACCCACTTGAGAAGCCCAGATGGAATACCTGGCTTCTGGTTTTGGCCTGGCACAGCCCCAGCTGTTGTGACCATTTGGGGACTGATGCTGTGAATGGAATACTCTCTCTCTATCTCTGCCTCTTCCTCTCTCTCTGTCACTCTGCCTTTTCAAATAAATCTTAAAAAAAAAAAAGTCATGCCAACATAGTCAAATTATTTAAAAACAATTCTGTTGCTCCCAGTAGTAGTATAAGTAGATTTATAATTGTTGGAGGGCCTTAGTTTCTTAACACTTTGGGCATGCTCATTCTTCATGATATTCAGCTACTATTTGTTGAGTGCATACTCTATACTAAGGACTCTTCTTCTTCTTTTTCATTTTTAAGATTTATTAATTATTTGAGAGGTAGAGTTATAGATGGAGAAGGAGTGACAGAGAGAGATCTTCCATCTGCTGGTTCATTCCGCAAATGGCCACAACAGCCGAAGCCAGCCCCATCCAAAGCCAGGAGCCAGGAGCTTCCTCTGGGTCTCCCACATGAGCACAGGAGCCCAAACACTTGGGCCATCCTCCACTGCCCTTCCAGGCCATTAGCAGAGAGCTGGATAGGAAGAGGAGCAGCCGGGACACAAACCAGTACCCACATGGGATGCCAGCACTGCAGGCAGAGGCTTAGCCTACTACGCCACAGCACTGGCCCCGCTAGGGACTCTGAAGCGTATTAAATTATGAGTTCTGTGCATCTCCACAACAAACCTATCAAACCCCGTAGTATTGTCCTAATTGGGGAAATGGAGAACTCCGGTGTTGAGTGGAAGTTGTGCAGTGTCCCACAGCCGACACCGTGTGAATGTGGTCAGGACTTGGACCCACACTTCAACCACCACCCCGTGCTGATGGCCCTTTGCCAGTTCACAGGGAAAAGCCAGGAAACTGGAGAGAACTTTCAAAGTGTTAAGTCCCCCCTTTCCCTTAGAACTCCCATTAAAACTGTGGTATGTGTTAGTACTTGTTGAGTCACTAGTTTAGAAGACGACAAGTGAGGAAGTATGTGACATTAATGAAACATCTCAGAATTTTTCTGAGTCTTGAGTAGATATGAATACTCAATAGTGTTTTTTTGACATTTATATTCTGCACATTTTACTAGTGGGTTGTTCCTGGTTTACATGGCACAGTTCCATAGGTGCCAGTTTCTTGAGTGACTCTCGGGAATTCGGCAAGTAACGAATCAAAGTGAGAATTCCCAGAACAGAGGAATGGAGAACAAAACAGAGGCCTCCTGAGTTTGTGCTTGAAGAATTTAAAGGGTTTAGGGAGAGAGCAGGGGAGCAGGGGTGACAGCGAACACCCATGCAGAAGCTGGAAGAAGCCAAGTGGTTCTGGGAACTGGGAAGGGAAGGGGAGGGGTGAGGTACTTGAAATGTGTGGGACAAGCTTAGAGCCCCAAGTCAGACTGGGAGAGCTTTCATATGACGGCCAGCAGAACTGCTTGTGTTAGATTTTTATTTTTAGTTATTGTTTTCATTGTACGCTTTAGAAATTATTTATCTCTTTAAGATGTAAAGACACAGACTGGCAAAGAGAGCTCCTGGTTCATGCCCACAAACAGCCAGGACTGGGCCAGGCTGAAGTAAGGAGCTGGAGACTCAATCTAGGTCTCCCACGTGGGTTTCAAGATCTTGAACTATCCCCTGCTGCCTCCCTAGGCGCATATTAGCAAGAATTTGGAATGGATTGCAGAATCGGCACCATAGGTGACACAGGCTTCCCAAGTAGCATTTTAAATGTTATGCCAGGAGCCGGAGCTGTGGCGTAGCAGGTGGAGCCACTACCTGCAGTGCTGGCATCCCATATGGGCGCCAATTCGAGACCCAGGCTGCTCCACTTCCAATCCAGCTCTCTGCTATGACCTGGGAAAGCAGTAGAAGATGGCCCAAGTCCTTGGGCCCCTGCACCCGCTTCAGAGACCAGGAAGAAGTTCCTGATTCCTGGCTTCGGATCGGCGCAGCTCTGGCCATTGTGGCCATCTAGAGAGTGAACCAGAGGATGGAAGACCTCTCTCTCTCTCTCTCTCTCTCTCTCTCTCTGCCTTCCCTTCTCTCTCTAACTCTGACTTTCAAATAAATAAATCTTTAAAAAATGTTATGCTGGGCCGGCGCCGTGGCTCAATAGGCTAATCCTCCGCCTTGCGGCGCCGGCACACCGGGTTCTAGTCCCGGTCGGGGCGCCGGATTCTGTCCCGGTTGCCCCTCTTCCAGGCCAGCTCTCTGCTGTGGCCAGGGAGTGCAGTGGAGGATGGCCCAAGTACTTGGGCCCTGCACCCCATGGGAGACCAGGAGAAGCACCTGGCTCCTGCCATCGGATCAGCGTGGTGCGCCGGCCGCGGCGGCCATTGGAGGGTGAACCAACGGCAAAGGAAGACCTTTATCTCTGTCTCTCTCTCTCACTGTCCACTCTGCCTGTCAAAAAAAAAAAAAAAAATGTTATGCTAAACTCCTGTTATGATTTTAGATTGTATATATTTATGAAAGACAGTGTGAGAATTCAGTGTGTGATGATCATATCACGTTAGTTAGCATTTCCTTAACACTTAATAATTGCACAAACTTATGGGCTAATGTGTAAATATTTTGATTTTTGACAGAATCATTTTGTCTGATAAAGTGTAATGGATTTCGTATCGTATTATATTTCACACGTAATTATCCTCTGAAATTGATGGAAACTTTTTTTTTAATCTAGTCATATTCCCTGGGCTTTTGAGAAAATAAAGCGAGCAAGTGAATGGGTCAGAAGAACGGAAGGCCAGTATTCGTCTATCTGCCAGCGGCTTGAACTGGGTAAAGACTGGGACTCGGCCACTAAGCAGCTCCTGGGAATTCAGCCCACAGACCCTGCCTCTCCTCTCCACAAGGCTCTTAACCAAAGTCAAAGCCAGTGAAATTCTATTTTACATTGTTTCGATGCTTCTATGTGCAAAATAATCAAATATTAATGGAAACCTACAGTTAAACTTAGTTATGATTTTATTTAGCATAGCAATCAGACTTGATCATTTGTCTTTACTAGCAAGAAACAATAAAATTACCATATAACAGTTTCTTTTGCCTTTGTGTTTTAAGGTGATGGGAAACATGTGTGGATGGGTGGTTGGTTCTGAGGCTCAATTCCTTCCCTGGTCCAGGAGTCTCGTGGAGACTGGCCCAGCTGGCTTGAGCAGGCTGGAAAGAAACCTGGTGTCTGCAGGGCTTGTGTGCAGGCCATGGCTCTCTGTGTGCTTCCTGGATTTGCATACCCCTTGATGCACTTTGCTTTTGGTGTTGCATCTTATCCCCAGATCCAATATCACCCAGATCTTCTGCTATGCTGTCTTCTGGAAGTTTTCTAGTTTGGCATTTTCCATTTTAGATCTGTGAACCCGCTTTGGGTTATTTTGTGAAAGGTATAAAGTCACCTTCCATCTTCCCCCAACACAACCACTTGCAAACGATTACATAAAACCCTGGTTTTTCTGAAAATCCCATGTTCTGGCCATACCCTTCTCTGTTCTCACCATACACCTAGCACCTGCCCTCATTTACAAGGCTTTTCCACTCTGAGTCCTGCTTTCATCTTTTGTGCCTGCCAAAATCCTGATGTATGCCTGTCCTGACTCCCTGGGCTGTCACTGGTAACCTTTGTAAAGTTATATTGGTAGTGCTCAAAATATACCCCTTGAAATTTAAAAAGGGAAAAGGTGCAGAGTTTTGACCTATATTTGGAAACTTTCAATAAGATAAAATAACAGAAAATAAGAGAATTCTGCTTGGGTCTTATGAAGAAATGAATCCAATGAAGGAGAAGATCCCATTTTTAATTTACATTATTTTATTTATTAGAGAATCAGAGCAAGAGAAATAAAGCCCCTTTCACTCCTCAAATGTCTGCAACAGCCTGGCAAAGCCCGAAGCTGGGAACTCAATCCAGGTCTCCCTCATGGGTGGTGGGAACTCAATTACTTGAGCCATCACTGCTGTCTCCAAGGGCATGCATTAGCAGGAAGCTGGAGTCAGAAGCTGGAGCATGTACTCCAGTATAAGGGGGCACCTTGCACTTTGCCATGCAAGCAAAGGCTTGGGCTACAGCTAATCTGAGTTTTGTGACCCCACTGGGCCACAAGAGAACAGGGCTTTGGAGGAGCTGCCACCAAGCCTTCTGCCATGTGCCTCCCCAAGGAGGCTACCAGGACAGTTTCTCACGATCTCCCAGTTCTGATGAGATCCAAGACTTAACCCCCAAACCCCCATAGCTGCAATGGAGCACCCACGTCTCAGCAACGGGGCATCCAACAACCCAGGTCTCAGTGATCTAACTCTTCTTGGTTCTCTGTGGTTTTGGTGGTGTGCAACAAGGATCCCCGGAAGCTAGCACTTATTTTTCCTTTTACCGTTTAAATAAGTAATAAAGCATCCAAATCTGTAACTCTGACTTTCAAATAAATAAATAAATCTTAAAAAAAAAGGAAAATTGATAGTGCCCAATAGAAAAGAAGGTGAGGATAAAAGATACTTCTTTGCATTGCTACTTAAAGTATATACTGATGAAATACAATTTGGAAACATCTCTCACAATTTAAAAATTGGCACCCTCTTTGGCCTATAAATTCCACTAATAGGAATTTCACTTCTAGACATTCAGCTAACAGAAGAAAGGACACACACATATGTGATATTTAAAAGCTCATCTCAAAATCATGTACGGCAAGCATTTGGCCCAGAGGTTAACACCCTGCTTGGGATGTCCATATCCCAGATCACAGTGCTTAGGTTCTGGTCCCAGATCCTCTGCTTCCAATTCCAACTTCCCGCTAATGCACACTCTGGGAGGTAACAAGTGATGACCCAAGTAGTTAGGTCCCTTCCACCCACGTGGGAGACCTAGATTGAGTTCTGAACTCCTGGCTGCAGCCTAGCTCAGCCCTGGCTGTCATGGACATTTGGGGGAGTGAACTAACAGATGGAATTTCTCTCTCTTTCCGTTTTTTCCCTTTCAAATATTTTTTTTAGTTTAAATTTTAGGTATATATTAAGTATATGTGTTTGGGGTAAACATCTGTTATGTCATACTCCAAACTGGTTACCTTTGAAGAGTAAAAACTTTCTGTTTAAATTATTATTTTTGGCCGGCGCCGCGGCTCACTAGGCTAATCCTCCGCCTTGCGGCGCCGGCACACCGGGTTCTAGTCCTGGTCGGGGCGCCGGATTCTGTCCCGGTTGCCCCTCTTCCAGGCCAGCTCTCTGCTGTGGCCAGGGAGTGCAGTGGAGGATGGCCCAAGTACTTGGGCCCTGCACCCCATGGGAGACCAGGAGAAGCACCTGGCTCCTGCCATCGGATCAGCGCGGTGCGCCGGCCGCAGTGCGCTGGCCGCGGTGGCTATTGGAGGGTGAACCAACGGCAAAGGAAGACCTTTCTCTCTGTCTCTCTCTCTCACTGTCCACTCTGCTTGTCAAAAAATAAAAATAAATAAATAAAAATAAATTATTATTTTTAAGTTTGAGAAAGAGACAGAGAAAGAGAGAGAGAAAGGACACCCCCCCACACACACTGTTTCCCAGCTGATAACAGCTGGGGCTGGGCCAGGGGCCAAGGCCAAGAGCCAGAAACTCAATCAATTTCTCCCACAAGTGGCAGGAACACAATTAAGTTAGCCATCTCCATGGCTTCCCAGTGTCTACAACAGTGGGACACGAGAGAGGCCGGAGCTGGAGCCAAACATCAAGCCCAAGCACTTAAATGTAGGAGGCGGGCATCTTAACTGCTAGGTTCCATGTTTCTATTTTATATATTTTTGAATGGACAAAATTTTACCATAATTTACCATATTTTTTTTAATTTCAGAAAGCATATCTCATAAAAGCAGAGAATAGTGTAATGAACCATTAATATTTAAAATACAAATACTTAAACTATGTTGTCCTGTTTTTTAAGTTCTTACAAATTTAGAACCATCTTTCTTCCTTTGACTTGAGACAGACTCAATTGTCCAACAGAGTTTACCACTTCCTGGATTTGTCTGATTGTTTCCCTTTCCTCTGATCCTTTTGTTCTTGTAAAATGGAAATTAGATCTGAAGGCCATAGATTAGGGATCCTCAATGGGAGGCATAGTCTGCTTGTTCTACTCTTAGTAATGCTAAAATTGATCGGTGGGTTTTGAATGTGAAGACAGCACTCCCCTATAATCATTAAATAATCTGTGGAGACACTTTGGCACACTGAACATCCCAGTTCCTATCTTTGCCTAATCATTTTCTTTCTTTCTTTTTTTTTTTTTTTTTTTTTTTTGACAGGCAGAGTGGGCAGTGAGAGAGAGACAGAGAGAAAGGTCTTCCTTTGCCGTTGGTTCACCCTCCAATGGCCGCCGTGGCCGGCGTGCTGATCCGATGGCAGGAGCCAGGTGCTTCTCCTGGTCTCCCATGGGGTGCAGGGCCCAAGCACTTGGGCCATCCTCCACTGCACTCCCGGGCCACAGCAGAGAGCTGGCCTGGAAGAGGGGCAACCGGGACAGAATCCGGCACCCCGACCGGGACTAGAACCCGGTGTGCCGGCGCCGCAGGCGGAGGATTAGCCTAGTGAACTGCAGCGCCGGCCATCATTTTCTTTTAAAGATTTTTTTGTGGGGTTGGTGTTGTGAAAAGTTCATGGCCATAAAGATTTTAGTTGCTTATTTGAAATTCGAAATGAGAAAAATATTTTGTCCTTAAATAGATCTTCCTAGCAGTATTTCGCTACGTGTGGGCAACTATCTCTGTCAGTTACTAATAATCTGGACAAAACCTTTCATCACGCCTTTCTCTGATTTTTAAAATGTTTTCTTTTATTCATAGGAAAGGTAGGACCAGAGGGGTGGGAGGAGGCAGGGAGACAGAAAAAAAAAAGGTAAGTCTATTTCTTTAAAAAAGAAAAAAAGATTTATTTATTTGAAAGGCAGAGTCAGAGGGAAAGAGAAATCTTTCATTTGCTGGTTTACTATCTAATGGCCCAAGGGCAACGGAAGCCAGGAGCTGGGAACTTCTTCCAGGTCTCCCAGGTCGGGGCAGGGCCAAAGGTCATCTTCCTCTGCTTTCCAAGGCCACAGCAGTCTGGGCTCCAACTGGCGCCCATATGGCATGCAGGGGCTACACAACCTACTAAGCAGGCATCAGAGGGTGTTCTGTGTGCTGGTTCATGCCCCAGCCAGGAAGCCCAGGAGCCGGGAACTCTATCCGGGCCTCCCACGTGGGTGACAGAGACCGCCACCCGTGGCCTCCCAGGCCTACAAGCACAGCACCTGGATTAAACCAACTCGCAGACGTCTCCGGGGGGAGCACCCCCTCCCTCTGATATTTTTAACTGATAAAAAAGGTACTAGAACTTGGGAAAGACATGTTTTATTAGGCCAATAAATTTCCTTATCTTTAAACAACCTCATTAAAATATAACTGCCAGAAGACATATACGATTGGATTATTCACACCAGTAAACCAAACAATATATGGATTCCTGGGCAGCCATTCCGCTCTGCTCCGGTGGCGCCAAGCACACAGGGTCCCTTTACAAGACAATCCTGAGGTCCCGCCCCATCTCAGTCCCTGGGCGCCGCCCCCTATCCCAGGGCCCCTTCCCACTTCCCCGAGCCTCTGCGACACCTCCTCAGGCTCGGTGCCCCCTCCTGCGGCCACCGTGCCGGCCCTGCCCAGCCACAAGGACCGGCAGCAGCCCCGTGTCCTCCCCGCGGGGACCCCTCCTGCACCTCCCCCAACACCGTCCTTCCGCCCAGGGCGCTCCGCCGCCCGCCTTCCCGCTTCCCGTAGGCTCCGCGCGGCTCCCCTGCCCCCGCATTTATGATTGGCTCCCGTACTTGTCAGTCCAGGATGGCCTAGCCGGCCATTGGCTGACTTCCTCATGGCCTCGTGACGCCGCCGAAGTGGCTTAAGGCCGGGCGTGGAGCGCGAGGCGCCTCCGCGGTGTATGTCGCAGCCGGTTTTTCAGGGCGGTTTTTGGCGCGCCTGCGATGGCGGCGGTGGAGCCGGTCGCAGAAGAGACAAGTGTGACCGCAGTACCTGTGTCCGATGCCTGCAGCAATGTTGAGTCTTACGAAGTCGAAGGAGTTGGAGCCGCGGATCCAGACAAGGACGGAGTCGCGAAAGGAGCGGAGGCCATTGGAGACAGCGAGGAGGACGGGGAGGATGTGTTCGAGGTGGAGAAGATCCTGGACATGAAGACCGAGGGAGTACGTGGAGGGGGACCCCGGCGTGAGGGGGCGGGCGGGGGCGCTCGTCCCGGCGAGAGGGCCAGCCCGGGGAGGGGTCCCGAGTGAGGGGCCGGGCGAGAGGGTGCGAGCCGGGGACGCTCGCGTTTCTAGACTCAAAACAGGAGCAGCGAAGGGACCGGCCCGAGCCGAATCGAAGTCGTGGGCGAGGCAGTGGGACATTTCGGAACGGACTCCCTGGGCCGTGATGGTGAAGGGGATGCTCCAGGAAGTTCTCTGGCAGAAGGGGTGAAGCCGTTTGGGCTGTGGGGTGGGCGGCCCAAGAGGGCAGACCACTAGTGAAGGACTTCTGTGGTCATCTGTGCACAGAGCTGGGCTGCTGCCCCGTGCTGGACAAGAGTCGTAGACGGTGCTGTGTTCACAGTCCATTGTTCGCCATCGGTCCAGTGTTGGCCAAAACCGTAATCGTTCCCTGGTTGAAAACCATATGGAATTAGCGTTCACCCTGAAATAACATCTCAGTCCCGTCCACGAGGCTGGCGTTATAAAGGCCTTCAGAACCTGATCGGTATCATCCCTCTGTCCCTTATGCGTTTTGACTGTGGCTATACAATAAACTTAAATTCCCCCTCCCAGTTGTGCCTTGGTGTTCACTGCCCTCTTGGCCTGGGCTGCTCTCTTCCTTCTTTGGTGAAATCCTGCTCGGCTTTTCAAGTCTTTTGGGGGATAGATTCCTCTGCCCTCAAGCCCACGGAGTGAGGTGCTTTCTCTTCTCCGCCCTTACTGCCCTTTGGATAGACCTCTGTTAAGGCATCAGCCTTCTTTATGTTTGTTCTTCTGTTAGATTGTGGACTCCTTTAAACTAGGTGGTGTGGGTCCCCCCCCCCCCCCACATAACGTCCCTCCAACCCGCAACCCTCCCCTTATCCACTCCCTCTCCCCTTCCATTCACATCAAGATTCATTTTCGATTCTCTTTATATACAGATCAGTTTAGCATACATTAAGTAAAGATAGGTTTTTTTTTTTTTTAATTAATCTTTGCATCACTGGTACTTAGTCCAGTGCTTAGCTTATGCTAATTGCTTAGTATGAATCAGATTATTGAATGAGTGAGTGAATTCTGAACTGGAGAGTAGGGAGGAATGAGAAGAAGCATGGACTATATAGAAAAAGAATGTTTCAGGGGCCGGTGCTGTGGCGTAGTGGGTGAAACCACAGCCTGCAGAGCCCGCATCCCATGTGGGTGCTGGTCAGGTCCCTGCTGCGCCACTTCTGATCCAGCTCTCTGCTGTGGCCTGGGAAAGCAGTAGAAGATGGCCCAAGTCCTTGGGCCCTTGCACCAGCATGGGAAGACCCGGAAGAAGCTCCTGGCTCCTGGCTTCCTATCTGCACAGCTCTGGCCGTTGCAGTCAGTTGGGGAGTGAACCAGCGGATGGAAGACCTCTCTTTTTCCCTCTGCCTCTCCTTCTCTATATGTGTAACTCTGACTTTCAAATAAATAAATCTTTAAAAGAAAAAAAAATAAAAATAATGTTTTAGTAGTTAAGGAGTGAAGTGTCCAAAGGCCCCATGCAGTGAGCTGTCCCTATGTCATTTTTTCCCTAAGGTTTGTTAATCAACTTACTTATTTGAAAGGCAGAGCAACACAGAGAATCTTCCATATACTTGTTTGCTCCCTAAATGGCCACAACAGCCAGGTCTGGCATAGGTGGAAGCCAGGAACGAGGAACACAATTCTGTTTCCCACTTGGGTGCAAGGGCTGCTTTTCTAGGCTCATTAGTAGGAAGCTGGATTGGAAGCTGAGTGGCCAAGACATTAACTGGCATTCCTGTATTGGATGCTGCCATTGCAGCACAACACTGGTCCCTTGTTGTATTTTTTTTTTTTAATGTAGCAGACACTGGCTTTTTCTTTTCTAAAATTTATTTATTTATTTGAAAGAGTTACACTGAGAGAGAATCTTCCATCTACTGGGTCACTCCCCAGATGGCCACCATGGCTGGGGCTGGGCCAGGCCAAAGCTGGGAGTCAAGAGAATCATCCTGGTCCCCAACTTGGTGCAGGGGCCCAAGCACCTGGCCCATCTTCTGCTGCTTTCCCAGGTGTACCAGTAGGGGTCTAGATGGGAAATGGAGCAATCAGGCCTTGCACCAATGCCCATATGGGATGCTTTACCCACTATGCCACGATGCTGACCTCTGTTGTATTTTTTAAATTGTCTCTTTATTTCCTATTTGACAGATGTTACCTTCTCTTCATTTTTTGTCCATTCATTCAAAATTTTCTTATCAATTATTGTGTGCCAGGTAAATGTGTCAGGTTCCAGCAGAGATTAGTTGAAGCATGTACAGTTGTTGAAAGATTTTCTGTCCAGGAGAAGTTAAATAATTAAAATCTAGTGTTAGTAATATTACTGTTAACTACAACACAGTCAAGATCGAAATGTTTTATTGTATAATTTCTGCACATATATTTTAAGTACCTTGAAGAAAGAACCAATCTTTTTGTTTATTTTAAAATTTATTTATTTATTTTTTTGACAGGCAGAGTGGACAGTGAGAGAGAGAGACAGAGAGAAAGGTCTTCCTTTGCCGTTGGTTCACCCTCCAATGGCCGCCGTGGCCAGCGCACTGCGGCCGGCGCACCGCGCTGATCCAATGGCAGGAGCCAGGTACTTCTGGTCTCCCATGGGGTACAGGGCCCAAGCACCTGGGCCATCATCCACTGCACTCCTGGACACAGCAGAGAGCTGGCCTGGAAGAGGGGCAACTGGGACAGAATCCGGCGCCCCGACCGGGACTAGAACCTGGTGTGCCGGCGCCGCTAGGCGGAGGATTAGCCTAGTGAGCCGCGGCGCCGGCCAAAATTTATTTATTTTTAAAAAGGTTTATTTGAAAGAGTCACACAGAGAGAGGGAAAGGCAGAGAGAGGGAGAGATCTTCATCCACTGGTTCACTTCCCAGGCTTCATCTGGGTCTCCTGCATGGATGGCAGAGGTCCAAGCACTTGGGCCATCTTCCACTGCTTTCCCAGGCACATTAGCAGGGAGCTGGATTGGAAGTGGAATAGCTAGGACCTGAACTGGTGCCCTTATGGGATGCCTGCACTGCAGGCAGTTGCTTAACCTGCTGTGCCACAGTGCCAGTCCCCAGAATTTATTTGAAAGGCAATAATGGAGATCTTCTATCTGCTGATTCACTCCTCAAATGGCTGCAACAGCTGGGGCTGGGCAAAACTGGAGTCAGGAACTCCATCTGGGTGGTAGGGGCCCTCGTGCTTTTACTGCCTTCCCAGGCACCTTAACAGGGAGCTGGATTAGAAGTGGAGCAGCTGGAACTCTCAACTGGTGCTCTGATATGGGATTGGCATGCCAGCATCACAGGCAGTGGCTTAACCCACTGGGCCACAATGCTGGTCCCAAGAACCAACCTGTTTTGTATTACCTGCATTTAACTTCAGTGCTGTTACACAGAAGTTATTTAGAAAATAGGAGTAATTGGTTAGGAGTGTTATATTGTTATTTATCTTAAAGATTTATTTCTTTATTAGAAAGGCAGAGTAACAGAGATGTTCATCCTCTGGTTCAATCTCCAAGATGGCCTCAGAAGCAAGGGCTGGGTCAAGGTGATGCCGGGAACCAGGAACTCCATGTGTCTCTCCCACAGGGGTGGCGGAAACTTGAGCTAGCATCCACTGCTTCCCTGGCACATGAGCAGGGAGCTGGATCTGAAATGGAGTAGCCAGGACTACAAGCAGGCATTCTGATATGAGATACAGGCATCCCAAGTGACAGCTTCACCCTCTGTGTCACAGTGCCCATCCCAAGGAGGGTAATGTCTTTAGAATTAAGATTCATACAGTATTTAATTTTGCCACTGTCAAAGAATTGTTGGATTTGTACCTAAAGCTTCATATTTTAGTGTAAAATAAAAACTTTAAGTGTGTAAGGTAGTAAAGGAGAATTATGTTTTAGCAGTATAAGTCTGAGTTAAAATTCTAGTTCTTAGGGACTTGGTTGTAAGTGTTCTTAGGAATGATTTATAACATGAAAGGTGTTAGTTCAGCAGAGCAGGATTGTAGCAAACTTACCAACCATCCAACTGTTACCAAATTCCTAATAATGATTTATGAGGCCTCCTTATAGTCTAGGGGCTTAAATTTTAGTTAGAAACATTTAAAAGTTACTTTTGACTAATTTATACATGATATTTCTTTTTTTTACAGATTTATTTTATTTATTTGATAGAGTTACAGAGAGAGGTAGAGACAGAGAGGTCTTCCATCTGCTGATTCACTTCCCAGATGGCCGCAATGGCCAGAGCTGCGCCAATCCGAAGCCAGGAGCCGGAAGATTCTTCCAGGTCTCCCACGTGGGTGCAGGGGCCCAAGGACTTGGGCCATCTTCTATTGCTTTCCCGACCACAGCAGAGAACTGGATCAGAAGAGGAGCAGCCGGAACTAGAACCGGCGCCCATATGGGATGCCAGTGCTTCAGGCCAGGGCTTTAACCCGCTGCACCACAGCGCCAGCCCTGTACATGATATTTCTTGATTGCAAGGTGCATATATGAACAACCAACCTAAGAACTGTGGAAATATGTACATTCACCATGCTAGCCTATATATTATTATGTATTTGGGGTAACAGAATAATCAAACAGTGTAGTACTAGTAGATGAATGGAAAGATGGCAGTAAACATTTTGAGTTGTATAGATGTACCCTGTGAGCTTCTTGGCAGGAGAGAATTATAGTGCTGTATCAAGTGATGGGGGCAGATTGGACACTCAGAAAAACTGGGAAGTAACAGGCAGAGAGACTGGCATTCCAGAAGAGTGGAATGAGTAGGCCAGCAGTTTCAAATGGGCCCCTAATTGGCCTGCAGACTTATTTTGTTTGGTACATACTGTTAGTTACTAACATTTAAATTCTGGAGAAGGGCGAGCATGCAGCAGGTTAAGTGGCTGCTTGCAATGCCAATTTGAGTCCTGGCTGTTTTGCTTATGAACCAGCTCCCTGT